GTCAATGCCTACTTTATCCCCCCGCAGTGGTGAGTTATATGAAGCACGCAAGGAGGCTTTATTCTGCTCGAGCTTGATGTTGACTTGGTTCTAGGATCTGCCTTTCCATCACCTTCATCGAAATATTTGCCATCTTCATTCCCTGCTGGCAAGTAGTCAAACACAAGACCCTCAGACAAGAAACACTCGAGTCTATCGCCGTTTGGGAAGCCAAGAACAAGGCTCGCACCGGAAGAGACTCTGTCATCACTGGATCGACCAAGGTCGGCAGCCAGTCCTCCGTTGATTGGAAATCCCTTGCACAGCTCGAGAAGGACACCAGTCAAGCGGAAAGCGTCTACACAATGGGCGCCCTTGAGTACGTCTTGGACAAGAATCCTGAGCCCCTCCGCAAATTCTCTGCCCTCAGAGACTTCTCCGGCGAGAATATTGCCTTCCTGTCAGCCGTTGCCGAATGGAAGTCATCAATCCCCCAAAGCCCCGGATCATCACATCGATCTGCCGAGATTACACGGGAACGATTTAACCGTGCCCTGCGCATCTACACCGAGTTCATCAGCCCCTCCCACGCCGAATTCCAGATCAACATCGCATCACAGGATCTGAAGCGCCTCGAAGGCGTCTTCGAAGGCGCGGCGAGAATACTATACGGCGACCGGACGGAACGCTTCAGCGATCCTGTGGTGCCATTCGAAGATAACAGTTGGGCCGGGCCCGAGTCCACAGCGGGTGGCTCTGAGATGAACTGCGTATCACGAGATGGCAGCGGGGACCCCATCGCAGACCGGGTGCAGTACTGGGGTGAAATCCCGGAGGCATTCAACGCTGGAGTCTTTGACGATGCGGAGTCGAGCATCAAGTACCTCGTCCTCACCAACACTTGGCCTAAGTTCGTCAGGGAGAGGAGGTACTCGTTGGACTCGGAGGACTCGGGGGAGACGGTTGAGACATTCCAGTCATCGTCAACTTTATCATCACGGGTTAAGAAGTACTTTCGCACCATGAAGGTCGTGGTATAACCTTGGACGACACGAACCATGGCATTGCATTGGCTGTCTTCTCTTTCGTTTTTCCTGCGATGATATCCCGGTTTGCCTGAGTTTCCTATACCAATTCGTAATTTACTATAGTCAAAAAAGCCAACAACAATGCCAAAGTCACTGCCAAGCACCAAAACCTTTCACCAAAAGATGAATGCAGCGCGTTGTCGAAAGTGAGACAAAATCGAGATTCATCCACGTGTACTCTCCATCTCCGTGATCTTCCAGATTTGAGATTCGTCAAGCCAAACTCCGCGGAACCACACCTTCTGTGCCTTTGTCCTCTTCCACGCTGTAGGCTACTCGAGCACAGCCATGTGGCGAACGTTTAGATCCGGGATCGCCACGCCACGGGCCGGGGTATGAACAAAGGCGAAGCGGGCGTTGGAAGCAGTCGACTTCGGCATATCGTAGACACGAGGACTGCCTCATCGCTGCGTGACCCTGCGGTAGATGCCGCCATGGAAGAGCCGTGATGGAAAGGTTCGAGCTACGGAGATGGAGTGAGAGTGTTAACGGATTGCGGAAGATGATTTAAGTCCTAATTCGTATGGGCATCGCCTTCCCGGTGCGATTGGTTCCCGGACGGATTGTGTTAAAGATTTTAGAGTCAGATCAAGGTTTGCTTCGTCGCCAGTGTCTCACGTCAAGATTCCAATGATGCGGACTTTTCCCTTCAAAAGTCTTCTGGCCTACGACTTTCTTACATCCATAACGACATCTCTAAAATTGCCCAATTGAAACATTGTTCTTTCGTGCGTAACATCATACCTAAGATTCCGCTTCCGTCCGTTCGGAGTCTGTGAGACTGTAACACTAACTCAAAAAGTCTCGGCCTAGCCGTGTGTAACTGTGCACAAGATCCACGCGTCTGATCCTTTTCACGACTTTGGTATGATTAACGGACTAGGGATATTGGTATTCCTGACGGACCGTCTTCCACCTAATGGAAGGCAAGTATGTACAGGAGCGGATAGATGCACAATGCCGACGGGCCGCCCGGCAGTTGTCATCCACGGTCCCTTAACGGCCGGGGCTGTACTATAATTGCACTATAGCGCCCGGAGTGATTACATATGCCAAGCTTTAGTTTGAGTCTCGAGGGCATGCGAAAGCAAATGTGTTACTCTGTGGTTGATCGACGGGCTGGTCGGGAGCCGCTATGGAAACGGGTCGAGCCTTTCCACCACATACAGTTTTCGGAGATGAATTGATGGGCATTTGTGTAGAAGCAGCTGCGCAAGTCGGCAGTAACTGCACTAAGCAATCAAAAATTCTTTCATGTCAAATCTTAGAAGTGTATTTTGAAGGGTATCATATGCCCTTTTAGCACATGAAATTTGGCTGTTAATAACCACTTACTTCAGACTCCTGGTTCACGGTGACTAGGACAAATTCCCACTGCACACATTCAACGTGTCGCAAGTCGACCTTCGAAGAAACGCGCAACGCGCAAGGTTCTTAGGCCCTTGTACGCCGCTACCAATCACAAAAATAAGAATTTAAATGACCAGGAACAAAGCCCTCAGTCGGGACTCTGGCATGACACTCGAAACTTCCCCCTCGTGCCCCTCCCTGCCGTGGTAGCCAGCACCGGGGGCCGGTGATACCACGAGTGGATACCCCGCCAGCGCCGAGACCGAATCGGGTGCCGCGGCGACCGCTGTGCCGCAGTTCTGCAGTGTTAGTGCTCACTCCTGTGGTTCGGTAGGGACGGTGCCAAGAGCATTGACTTTCATCCGATGCTTACCTGGCGGACTCCGCGCGGCCTCATGCACGTCAATTCTTGAAGATACAAAACACTCGCGATGCGGCGTTGTTGTAGGAATCTGCTGTACCGCCAAGTTGTATCTCATCTCACTATTCATACACTTCTCCGCTGAGCTTTACTCAGACTCACCATTCTGAAAGCATTTCGATACCAACACTATGGCGGGATTGGCCCTATATGCAGCTATCATTGCTGTCATTGCCATTTCCCTTCGTTTCTTCTACCTTCGACTCTTGCCCAAGCCGATTCCTGGGGGACCACCGTATAACCTCGACTCTTCTAAGAGAATTCTCGGAGATGCGCCATACATCATCGAACTTGAAAGTGCGGGCGAATACTGGCTCAAATTCTTCACGCAGCTGCTCGCGAAGCACGACACCCCCATTGCCCAATTCTTCGCTGGGCCTTTCGATAGGCCGCATGTCGTCATTGCTGATTACCGCGAGGCTCGCGACTTGATGGCGAAGCGGAACAAAGATCTCGGTCGTGGAGTTGCCAACAATATAACGTGGAATAGTGTGATTCCGGGACACTTCATCGCCATGGAAGATTCACATCCATCTTTCAAGGACACCAAGTTTCTCACCAAGGATCTAATGACACCGAGCTTCTTGCATGGGGTACGTTCATGATTAAAGCCAGTCTGCTCAGGGGAATTGCGATGCTGACAGAAATCAGGTATCGGCACCAGCTTCACATAAGATGGTCCACAAATTCATAGAGATGTGGAAAACCAAAGCTGCCATCGCCAACGGCCGGCCTTTCGAAGCGGACGCCGATTTGGAGGCCTTCACCTACGATATCATGAACGCTGCGGCCTTTGGGACTTCTGTAGAAGACAGCTACACTTGGGAACGACTTCGGTCTCTTCCCTCACCAAACACATCCGAATCGCTCGAATCTGATCTCTCAAAACTTGCTGAGTTCCCGCAAGTCAAGCAGCCAGAACTTCTAAACGCTCTGACCATCCTGGGCGAACGAATCAACGGTGCTTTCCGTGCACTTATTCCCAAGCTCTTCTTTCTCTACGATGACAATCGGCCGACTATCCGCAAGGCCTTCCACTCGAAAAAGACCATTCTCCAATCTCACATTGACCGCTCCGTCGAGAAACAGACACGCAGTACTTCAAAGGAAGAATTTGCCTCAGCAGTTGACTACATCGTCTCACGCGAAATCTCAGCAGCCAATGCCGCAGGCCGAAACCCCGTTTTTGACTCGGCGCGGATGACCGACATGATCTGGGGCTATCTCGTCGGCGGCCAAGACTCTACCCACAGCACGCTCTGCTTCACGGTGAAGTACCTCGGAGCTCACCAGAACATACAGGCCAAGTTGCGCGAGGCGTTGCGATTTGCATACCCAGATGCGGTTTCTGAGGGGCGGGAGCCTACAGTCGACGAGATTACCAAGACCCACGTCCACTACCTCGACGCTTTCATTGAAGAGACCCTACGCCTGAGCAGTCCCGCTGGAGCCATTATGAAAGAGACACTTGTTGATATGGACATGTTTGGGTACCGTATCCCCAAGGGAACACCCATCGTCTTCTTGTTGACGGGACAGACGGTCTCAGAGGCCGGTGCCAAAGTCGACGAAGCCAAGCGTAGTGAGACATCACAAAAGCTCGCCAACGAAGGAGTCGGAGACTGGGCGGAGACCGTATATCCCCCGGAGGAACTCCACCCGGACCGATGGTTGCAGCCTGACGAGAATGGCAAAATCGTGTTCAACAACAAAGCTGGCCCGTTTATGACTTTCAGTCATGGCCCTCGAGGATGCTGGGGCAAGAGACTGGCGTATATGGAATTGAAACTGATTATCACGCTGTTGGTCTGGAACCTGGACTTTATGGGGTTGCCTGCTGAGTTGGAGGAGGATGGGCTTATCGAGGGGATATTCGCGAAGCCGAAGTCGTGCCTGGTGAAACTGGGAATGTGAATATAACTCTACAATGGCGCCAATAAGTTGATTCCTGGGGATCTGAGGAGGTTCCCTCCAGCAAGCATCTGCATCTAGGATGTGTTTAAGATGAGAGTGGCAAATTAGTGCTCTGTTGCTGATGCGGAGCTTTACCGTGTTGCAATTAGAGAACGTCGCTGGAGCAGGTGGATGTTGATGATGCGCAAACTGGGTAATATTGTGTGATAGGCTGCGATCTGTCATACGGCATACTGCAACTTGACTCCAGACTGTTCCCGTAGTTTAGTTGTACGGCTAATCAAATATACTACTTTTATAGCCGCTCAAATACCAGTCACTGTGTCCAATGCAACTCCTCATAAAGTCTCCAAGTCATACCCGCCATTCCTTCATGCTTGATGGGCTGCAGACCTATTTGACAAGTCTGCATGACCAGGGAAGCGTGATGCTCATCCCTGTCCCTGGAAGCGTCCCCAGTCACAGTAAGGTAGGCTGACAAACCCCTGTGTGCTATCTAAAGTACTGATGTAACTTTACCGTGTGCTTCTTCCATTTCGGCAAATAGCCTGTCAAAGTCTGCCAACTGCACATCGTCGGAATCTTTAAACCCTGATCCAATGGCAGACAACATTTTTCCTGGAGAATCTTCATCGATGGTCGGATGATGAAGATGGCTATGATTCTCATCATTGGAAGGCTGGAGATCGGTTTCGCCAGGCTCGCTTAAGAAGCTCGTGGTATCCTCTTCAAACCCCAGATGAATCGGGGCCCGAGTGTCATCCACTACCACATCAGGCTCGTTAGCAGAGGGCAACAGTCATAGCAGGTGGACTGGACCAACACTTGCAGTGCGACTCGAGCTCGATATCACGATTAGGAAACAGGAGCTTCTCTACTTTGGAATTGCATTCACTACGTCGCTCAAGACGTTCAGATGATCTGGGTCGCCATTTGTTGAGTGGGCTAAGAATAGCAACGGTGCCACCCCAATGCTCAGCACGCAGTCGGTAGAGAGGAAATTTATTCAAGAACTTTGTTGTTTGGGCCGCTTGGTAAAGCGTTAGAGGCTTGGTGCCTGTGTTGTGGATGACTTCTTGATCGTCCGTGTGAACATGGAACCGCCATAAGTGTAGCCTGCCATTCAAGGTCAGCCTAGGCGATTCAGATTGCAAAAAGCCGCAGCGGACGAGGGCCGCCTACTTCAAATCGGAAGGGTTTTTAAAGTCGTGTTTTTGACAGCTTTGCATTGTTCCCGAGCCGAACTTCCCAACAAATGGGCATGTCAGATGTCCCGTACTCAAGGCGCCGTGCCTTGCTTGACTATCGGAGATCTCAGTTGGAGGAGTCGTGGGAGATCGCCGAGAAGTGCCGCTCCATTCCGCTTGAGTGCTGGGGTGCGCGGTGGAGGCGCCATGGTGGGGGTCATGGCTGGCTGTGGGAGGCTCCTGAGGATGTGCGGATTGGATTCGAGACTACCTGATGTTATTCGTCCACTCGCTGATTTTCATCGGCTTACCAGACTTACATGAAGGTCTTTTAAAGTCTCCCCTAACTCCGTTGTATGATCGGCCGTTGTATCTTCCCCACTGACGAGAAACTCCTGAAAATGGGCATTCGAGTGTTCAGAAGCTACCGTTGAGGGCCAAAGCTGGAGCAAGATACTAGCATTAGTTTTGATTGTACGTGCTTGATGATGGGTAGACCCTGCGTTGAAAAGCCCCGGTCCCATGGGATGGGGCCGTGGGGAACGGGAGTGCGCAAACTTCGGCGCGAGTGTGGAGAAAGAAGAGACGACGGGCAGGGAAAGCATGTGTCGCAAGAATCGCGGATGCATGCAGGAAATAGGAAGGCACCGGCGAGGTATCTGAAAGGCATCCGCCAACTCACCTGGTCTCTGCTGCCTTGTCCATGGCCTTCGGCAGACATGTTGCAGCGCAGAGTTCACGCTCTACGATGGGCTTTTTGGTTCGCCAGGAATTTCCGATGTTTGGGTATATAAATGGAAGAAGGGGAAAGGATGGATTCTTCTTGGACTCGAAGTTGAGCGAGGGAAGAAGGAGATCTTAGCAGGCTGAGCTGCCGGCGTCACTTCAGCACAGCGGTGCTTTGGGGTCGGTGCGGGGGACGTTATCAACCGGGTGGGTGGTGGCCAGACGCTTCTTGGCAATCATTCTTTCTCCACGAAGGTTTTATCAGTAAGAATCCATATGTCTACGAGCTTTCCTCATTTGACAAGCTGCCCTACTGCAGAGCTTAGCTACTTCGTACCTGAGCAGCGCCTGTACCGGAGCGTGTTCTGTACCTTGCATTTGACAACTTGAGCACCATTGGCTGTGGACAAAGTTGGTTGGGGCTAGCAAAGGGGTTGTTCTCACTCATTGGTCGTGAAGATAGTCATCCGGAGCTAATTAGTGAGCAGAAGACAGCGCCGACGTCACTGACGAAGCTCCCTCGTTTCTGCAGTACCTCTCTGCCACAACAGCTTGAAGGCTTCTTTCCGCTGACCAAACTTCAACTGTGAGGGAGATGAGTACACATGTACTGCCAGATTGTATTCAGAGCCTCCAGGATAGGGTACCTTACGCTTCAGCACTGCAGTCCCGGCGGTGTCCGGCTATCCAGCAAGCCTTACCCCGACGCAAGCCGGTCCGAAGCAATGATTCAGTCACCACCAATTCAACAGCGCACGGGTTGTCACCAGCACATCGGGACTCACCGATCCCGGATCTTGGCTGCCGTTCATCGTTCGATACTACCGAGAGGCTCAACACCCTACTCCTGAGTTTGACTGGACCGACTCTGGCAGTATGATGGCTTTTGCTCACGTGCAACCTTCTAGCACCGAGGGAAGCTTGGTAGGCGCAAGCCGTGGACATACTGACAGTCCTAGGAACACAGTCTGGTCCAGCTCGGAACACCCCCTTGTGCTGGACTTGATGCGCGCGTTCGCGCTCTCCTTTTTCTACACAATTTGATCTACTCATCACCGGCCGTCGTGACGTAAGTTGCGGTTACAAACCGTCTTGTCCCCGGCATCGGCATCGTGTGGTGTTTCCTTGCCCAGAATCGCGGACTTATTCATGTTGTCTAGACTCTTTGTCCTCGATTCAGTAAATACATATGACCACGAACCCGCCACCGTGGACTTTTCCACAGAAATGCGTACATGTCGTCATCCCTTCCCCGGTTAGTATGCTCTTGCTACCATAGCCTGCGGTCGATGGATTATCATAAAGTCTCTGAAGTTCCCATGGGAGAACGTTGATGGGACAGCCTCTCCACACACTCTACACACCAAATACAACTCCATACTCTCAGCAAGATTGAATAATTCTGAAAAACAATGGCTAACACCTCGGTCCTCGTTCTCGCTAAGTCATCCACCTCTTCGCATCCGACTGCCACCATCTTGGCAACGGCCGATTACGACGATACGCAAGCGCTCGTGGAAGCTATCAAGGGCGCACTTGAGGCGAACACCAGCAGAACCAAACGGTTCCTCAAGAAAAACATCCTTTTCCTGAAACCGACAGTGTCAATCGCCAGACTTCGTCCCGTAAGTTCTTGCCTGTTGCGAGCGGAGTTTGAAATTTTCATAGTTGCTAACGACCAGCAGATCGAAGTTCCCGACCTTACGGCACTTCCCCCCTGGAAGGCCTTGATCCGATACACCACTCCCAACGAAGGCTTTACCGAGGCAGTACGCGAGCCCAAGTCGATGAATCAGGGGTTTTACACACAACTCTTCCCTCTCTACAACGATGTCTTCGTGGACATTAATCAGGAGGGTGGCCGCATCACTCTACCTCAGCATGCGCTGGTCATGGAGTACAAGATGTCCCCCACGACGCAGAGAGTTATCGGCGGAATGGTTTCGGTTCTTGGAGGGTTGATTACCGTTGCAGTTAGAGCCGGGGAAGGTTCTTTTAACTAAGAGTTGAGCCCGAAAGTTGCGAGGATCTAGTCGTACTCGAGGTTGACGATAGATGGTTTCCAGTGGTGGATTAGGTTACATTTTGGTTCTTGTCATTGTCATTATCATCACACACAGACTGCCCCCTTCCTCCTTGTATTTTCTCCCCCTTTCAACCAAAAGCAGAATCAACACCAGAGCGCCATACCCTATCGTTTCTTCTTTGTTTCGTACAGACTTCACTTCACGTACTTCAGAATTAGATAGTAGTTATAACCCGGTTTCACCAAACACCGCAATCGCTTTCCTCCAATTGCCAGGCCAGAGCAGTCTTCTTCGCTCGAGGCACATACTCTATTAGAAGAGTGCCCTTACCCTCTTGAACAACCACCTTGTAAGTCTCTTGGATATCATCGATACAGTCACTGGCTCGAGACATGCTCACGATCTGAGCTCCTTCCCACAACCCCGCTTTATCCGCAGTCGATCCCGGAATCAGCCCGGTCACAACACGAGAGCTCGTGCTGCGTCTATCAAACCCAAATTCCATGATAGGAAGCTGCGCTGTCTTCAACCTGTTGGATGGCTCGCCCAAGAAAAGCCCGTCAAATTTCATGACCGTCCGCCCTCGAAGCATGTCTTGGTAATGCTGTTCGACTGAGAAGTCGTCGCCCGCAAGAGCTGTCTTCACGGCCGTAAGCCAGTCACGGGCGCCCACAGCCTCTCCTTGCTTGTGCCTCTTGCATAAGTCGAGAATGATATAGTCAAGGGGCCCTGCTGTGGTGAAGTCGTACGAGCGAGTGTGTCGTCGCAGGTAAAGATCTATGAAAAGGAGGTACGTGAAGCCGCGCTTGTAGGAAATCCATTCTGCATACCAATCGTTGAACATGGCTGCGGCCGCATCGCGTATGTCCATGTGGATTCGAGGGCTGGTAAAGTAGCCTTGCAGATGATCGTTGATGGAGTTGATCAAGAAGTCCTTCCCGCGGAAGCCAAAGCGGTAGGGGAGGTAGGAAGAATATAACTCGGCAAGTCCTGCATTCTTTAAGTCTCTGAACCCAAGATAATAGTATTGGCGCAGAGGATACCTTCTTCAAACCAGTCATTCTCATTCGCCTCACCTGGATCAATCGCGGCAAAGCTGTGCACCATTTCATGCGTGAACAATAGGATGAGACGATCATCCGGCACATCGCTACTCCTGTCATCGTACTCCAACATGTAACTTGCATCAAATCCGGTCCCACCAAAGCCGACGATGGATTTCCGCATAAACATGCGATACGTCCCACCCGATGACCCAAAGAACTCCGCCATCTTCGGAAACAAGGCACTGTTATAGCCCTTCAACCGGTCCAGATTAGGCGGAAGGTCACCGAACCAGTAACATGCAGACGACGACGACGACCCAGAAGAGCTCTGCACGGGGCCGACCATGAACATGGTGTTCCGAACGACTTCGGAGCGATCGACGCGGACCATCGGCTTGGCGCCTTCGCCGTAGCTCCACACGCATCGCGTGGACGCCGGCGCGTCGGCCGGAAGGTTCCACCTTACTAGAACGGTAAAAAGCTGATCATTGATAAGCTGGGGCAGAAACCATCGGCCGGCGCCGTGCAGGCCGCCCTGGTCGCGACGAAGGTCGATGCGGGCGCCGAGCGCAGTCTTGACATCTACTTTGCGTGGGAATACGTCGAAGCGGAGGAGGATGTCGCCGCGGGGTTCCCTGGTAAAGGACCAGTGCTGTTTCTTGTCCCGGCCCTCGGCGGGAAGGTCGCGGAATCGGAGCTCCAGGGGGCCGGCATCATCTGTCACGTTGATGTCTTCTTCTTTGAACGGATGCCCGGGGACGTTGCCGTAGAAGGTATCGAAGACAAATACGGGCTCCTGGGCTTTGACAGCCAGTAACTGCAGGCGGAGGAGCACCGACAGGCTGCTTGCGCCGTCCGCATCGAAGCGCGGCGTGAATTCTAGGGAGTACAGGGGGTGCGGCGGAAGTTGCATTGCGTCTCTTGGAAGCCGAGTCAATGGGTCGGTCAGTGGACTGTGTGTTGACGTTGATGTAAGCTTTAGGGATTGCGACTAACAGTGTTATATGCGCCAAGCTTTTTCACCGACGAGTCAACGGTTGCGTATTTCCTCGTAATTGAGTTCGTCCTTGAACGTTGTTGTTGACGCGGCGCAACTCAAAGAAGAAGGTGAGGCGTTAGCCAGCGGGGATTGCGGGAAAACGGCAAAAGTTGGCGCGTGGAATCCGCGTAGACTTCGAGGGATCGCTGAGGAATTCACCTTCTCCCTTACTCTTCTTCTTCCATCACCCTAACTTACCCAGCAACTCCCGTTGACAGGCGAATGAGTGAGAGGAACTTCTTGCATAAAATCCCTACATGAGAATTCAACAAGAGGATTTCATCTCATCGCCCAGTGAGATCTCATACATTTGGGGGCGTCCAGTCACCAAAATGTTTTCTTCCCCAGCCGGCAATTTCCAGCTCAGGTGCTAAGGAAGCGCTATTAATTTCGATAAGCATCTCGATTCAGGCCATATCCCAGTCCGCGAATCTTCTCAGCATACAACACCCCTGGGCTCGAACTTCATTCTAGCCACTGACCCCCGAAACGGAGCTCAGTGAGAGGGAGAGGTGGAGAGGGAGAGGGAGAGAGAGAGAGCGCCGCCTTCAAGCCGGTTAGCGCCAGTTTATAGCATTAAATGAGACAACTCTCACGGCCAGCTGAAGTAGTTTTGAGATTGATGCCCAAACTAAACTTACTGGTTTCTTAGCAAAAATATCTGATGCTCCGGAAAGCCACCTGGCTCCTGCTGTGATCTGTCCGCGTCCTCATAGCCAAGATTACAAGCGGTAATGGCTGTTTCGTGATGGCCGCGATAACGCATCCGTGCGAAGGCGCCAAATAGAATGTCTCGTCGTCAATTCATGGCGTATTCTTCTCATCGTCGGCCTGAAGGACTGCATGTTGTGTAGTGGGATGCAACAGGCTCTACTGGGTACGTCTTCCTCCACCTGAAGCCTTAGGTGCATATAGGTTGAGAAACGCTGTTGGTCCTAGGGTTTACACAGTGGGGTCCTTTTCAAGTAGTGGGAAGATCCTTCCCAACGGGTTATTCTTTCCGCAACAATTCCGGATTCCAGCTCCCTCAGTCATTACAATCAGGCCAAAGAGTAATAGTTATCTTGCATCGTATCCTTGTGCTGACGTGATTTCCCCCACATGATCTTCAGATCGAAGTGGCTGATAAGTATAGAGACTTTCCACCCTAGCTATGGCCTTTTGAGTGATAGCCTTGCGCAGACATGTTCAATTATAAGATTGCAGGTTCCATGCGATAACCTTCCGAAAAAATTCCATGTCTACTTTGTTATTGGATTTTTTTTGCGCCTTTTACTGTTGTATCTTGTGCCCATGAGGTAGCTCTTGATGACTTCCTACCGACAAGCGGTTTAGGCAGCCGCCTAATATCCGCTCCTGACATCGACGATGACCAGACCACCACGATCCGTCGCCCCAGACGACGAGAATAGTTAGGACCTCGCCCCGCTCAGGGTGGTTCCCCGAGTACTCTCGACGCATGGTCTGTCGCTTCGGCCTATGGTCTCTTCAACGAGATTCGTCATGATCCAGGTTTCAACAATCGAGAGAATCCGCGATCTCGACTCCATGGTAGCCCGACATCAGTTTCGGCGGATCATCCGGAATGCCAAACTAACTAAAGTCGGGGGTTTGATAACGAAGGATCAGATGCTGCCTATCCGCTCATCAATATCCTGCAAGACCACAAGAGCCATGCCGAGCCAACGTCTAGAGCCTTCGACAGGGTTCCAGAGAGCGCAAAAGCGATGAAAGAAAGCTTACGAGAGTCTTTAATCCAGCAAGTGCCATGGCATCCTCCTTGGCTTAGCAAAGCCTCTTTAATCGGATTTGCTGCTCTTTTCACTGCACTGTGGATTTCGCGAGTGGTTCTGGTCCGATTCGACACTACAAACTCTTGATTCATCATCTCGGCATCATCGAGCAGGTTCTCTTGGACCTACGGATCCACTGCTGTTTTCGTTGCCATTGCTGGCCTCTGGAGACAGGTTGACTACCATATCAAGATGCATTAGCCGTGGCAGCAAATGGCGAAATGTTCAAGCCCAGCATCCAAGAGCCTCTTGCTAGTCTACGTCTCCCTAATCTTCTCGACGGGACTCGTTGGGTCTTTCCGAAACGGACACTGATCAGCAACGGCCGCGATGACAGGGTCCCTTATTCTCGAATCGGTTACTCTGTTATCGACGACCATAATGGTACCGGTGACTATCGGAATGTCGGGGACGGTTCCAATTCAAGTGAACACAGCTTTTGATGGATCGGGTTTCTGGAAAACCACAACTTGGTCTTTGAACAATAGGACAGATCGCCTGTTCGTTGGAAAGATTAGTTACTCAAGTATCTCCTTCGGTAACGTTTCTTCAATATCTGCAGTCGAGTATTTGTAAGTACTTCAAGGGCAAATTTCGGAATCTGTGGGGACGCAAGAAGGCATCGTCTTCCAAGACGTAGCTATCATCGAAACACCAGCAATCAGTGAAATCAAGCAGTTTTTAGCTACTGTTGACTCAATCCTTCCACACGTAAGCTGTGAACAAGCGGCTATCGCCATCTTCAACAAGACAGATGGAGACATAACGAGTTCGCCGGAACGGTGGAAGCACAGATACCTTCTTGTGGAGCTCCGAGAATTCCGCTTATTACTTATGCTGATAACAGCGAGAGTTGTCTTCCGAATTTGACGACATACAACTTCTTTAGGGCGTCCTCTCCCGACTCGGGACATTCCGATGGATCTCAACCCGACCTTCGTCTTCTCCTCATAGCGAGTAACATCATGCAAGGTTGGAAGCCCGGTACCAAGCCCAGTGATTTTGATTTTACAACATCAATGGCCAATATCATGGTAGTATCATGCAAAGTCACATATACAATAAGAAAGAGCATTTTAAGCATGAGTATTGAAAAGAACGAGACCCAGATCCACCCAAGAGAACCACTTGACACGAAAAAACAGCTCACCGGACTAACCGAACAATAGATAACCGAGTTGCTGTATTCTGTTCTCGTCGCCGCGAATTCAACAATGAATGGACCCCGCCGGGACTTTGCCAACTCCGCTCGAAGGTATACTTGGGGCAATGATACAGCTGATTCTGCCGCCATGTTTAAACTTATGAGCCATACGATACGAGACCTCCCTGCTGGCTATTACAGGATCTTCGAATTGGACACCATGATCACATCAGCGACCTCGGTTATCAGCCAGCTTGCTGTCAATCTTCTCAAAGAATATTTTATAATTGAAACACATGGAAGGGCTTCTGCTGAAGTCACATACCTCCAAGAGAGACTTCGATTTCGACCGCTATCTTTGTGGTTCATCGTGGCCAGCCTCGTCGTGCTTAGCCTACTAGCAATGGCTATCGCCTCGACATTCATACCCTCTGTTTCTCAGGATCCGAGTCTTCTGGCGTTGAATGCTGTCATTCTCGCTCGGAGCCCGTCAATAAACACCAATTTGGCCCCCCTCGGGGAATGTAGAACCAGCCGGGTCCCTTTGACAGCGCGTGTCTACATTGTGATAGCCATAATCACATTACCAGTGGTTACTATTACCGCACTAAAAGTAGTGTATCGTTAGGCCGTTAGAACTAACGGATTTGCAATTCAGAAGGTGTTCTGGACGCTTTATGAAACCTAGTACAGCTCAGCTCTTATTGTGGTAGCCATCGCGCCGGTATTTTCAACAGTCTGGACTTCTCCATCATGATGGTTTCAATTTTTCAGCTCCATGCGAGCCAAGGCCATACCGTCTTACAGAAGCATAACGAAGAATCCAATGCGAGACATCGCACCTGTCGCGTTGTTCAAGGCTCTTAGACAAGGCGACATTGGACTGTTCTTCTCCCCACTCGCCACATTGATAGGTAGCATTCTATCAATCATTCTTTCCAATTTATGGGCTGAAAAGATAGTCACCCCCAACTTCAACTTCATAGCCCAGCTTCGAACGAGTTGGGATCTTGACTGGATAAATAGTGCTGTCAACGACGGAGGTGCAGCGACGCTCCTTAATGATGTGCGACTGAACAGGAAACACAGCCCGGACTCAGCCGTATGGGATAATTTGGTGTTCCCATTGTTCAATTCCATAGACTTAACGGATGGTGGGCTTGGGGCTCGGAACTCAGCAGTCTCGAACCAGAGGTTTAACTTCAACGTTGAGGTGCCGTCTTTGCGACCAAGACTCTTTTGTCACCAAGCTACTACTCATGGCAGAGGAGAATCCTCCACTGGAGGCCAAGTGTGGACGACGATAACTGCTACTGACCCCCTTCCGCAGGGCTGTACAGTAGGAGGAAACAATGCAATGAGAGATATAATTTTAACGGCTACGGGAGATAGAACAGACGGGTTGGTGGGTTTGTTCTTCGACCTTGACATGGGAGTTCCTGTCGAAAAGCAGTGCTCCCCTTGCGAAACGACTCCAAACTCAGCGCGCCCGGATAATCCGATGGGCTGCCCATCTATCGGAATATTCTTTGCAGAAAGACCCTTTGTATGTGCGCAGGTTGTTCAATAGGTTCAGGTCGGGCTGAAGTTCACGTCCCCCGTCTCGCCAACTGGCGAGATTATCTTTAAGAGAAGCAGCCTCACCTCTACACCAACCCCTTTTGAGTTAAGTGTAAAGAACCTCACCTGCGATGGCTCCGACCTGGACGTCTTTCCCTACCGTATTCCACCTCACTTCGACAAAGATCTTACGAGCTAATACCAGATGATCCGGCCGATCCATTCTTCAGATACATACTTTCTGGTACCACAGGGGTCAGCAGGGACGATTTGACTGATGATCCTAATCAGCAGATTGATGTTTTGAACAGCCTATACACCAAGTTCATGGTGCAGGTTATGGACACGAGCATCTTTCGAACGCCTGACTTCGCTTCAACTCAGACGACGGAGCAAAACGAGAAAAGTATGGTAAATGGCACAGTATCAAGAGAAGAATCTCGCCTGATAGTGAACTATACACCAATGCTGATTCGCCAGATCTTGCTTGGTGCCATGATTGTCTTCGGACTGACGGCCTACATCATGGTCGATCTCAAGGGCACTCTACCTCGAAATCCTCACTCAATAGCAAGCAGTATGGCCTTATTTGCGGGCAGTCAATTGTGCACAAATGACATTCCATAAAATGCTGAGTGGATGAACAAGCGGCAGCTCGATCAATTATTTGAAAGATACACGTTCGCCTTGGGGTGGTGGAGTCGCAGTGCGACCGAGGCAGATTCTCGTAGCATTGACAGCTCATTGGATGCTCCAGTCGTGGATAAGAGGTTCGGTATTGACGTCGGAACGCCAGAGAGGTCAGGCTTTGAGGCCAAGGGGACCAGAGGTAGCAGACTATGGTCAAAATGGGGTGCGCTGTAACCGACACTTCTTCTTAAAAGTATATACAATCCACTATATGACCTGAACTCAAATCCTGGAGATCTCAGCATACCTAGCCTTCCCAAACAAAATCTTGCTCAATACCGGGGATCAATGGTCGTAGCGCCATACCATAGTCACCGGCGTTGGGCGTCCGCAAAAGAGTATGAATATGGAATTTGGCGGGCTCCTTGTTCGTCAAGAAAACTCCTGAGTGGTGGTCAAACTCAATGAGAATTACAGGACTCTGAATGCGGTAGTAAAATGGATCCTGGTCGCCGTAACCGCCAATCCAGCTAAAGTACGTCTCCTGGAAGAAAGACTTGATGTGGTTGACCCGGATCTCCCTCGACTTCTGCGGAAGATAAATCAGGTATTGCTCTAGGATACCGAGAACGAGCTGCTGCTGCTCGGATGTCATTTTCGACACCAAGATTCCCTCATACGGCACGATTCGATTGTCTCGGTATGCGCCGCAGAGATGTCGCTGGTCGTCGTGATTCCAACGTCCTTTCGGCATGGCGGGATCTTTGAGAAGCTTGTACGTCTGCGCCTTTTGCTGCAGGTCTGCTGGCAGTGATTGCATCAGCTGCAAGCCTAGACGCTCCTCAGTCTCGAGGATGCGGGTGCCCTTGTATGGGCCGTCATCAATCAGGTTCGGCTCGGCACCGGTAAACCACGGTGACGCCACAATCTGGCCCTGGTACAAGAAAATGTTCAGGCACAGGTGGTGGCCGTAAAACGAGAAGCCCCATGGCCTCGTTGCCGAAGGCAATCCGAAGAGGACAAAGTTGTATGAGAATTCGTTGCAGATGGTGGGTGTCTGCACCAGTTGGCCCAAAAAGCCGTTCACGCGCATGGCGCCGAGCGCCTTTGCGTATCCCTCGGGTGACAGCGTAGTCTCGAGGACTTTGAGGATGCTGTCGCGGATTTGCGGATTTAACTCATCTAGCCGTAAACCCTTGTCGCTGAGGAGAAATTCGGGGTTCGACCATGACCGCCATTCCGGGGAATCGACGTGGTACGAGAGGGTAGTCTTCTGCTTGTCATCTAGCTGTGACAGAACCGCGTTTGTGGCATCGACAATTTTCTGGATCGGCACGCCCTCGTCGGCGATTTTGAATAAGTCCCGTTTCACCGTGCCTAAATCCGTGTCAGTTATGGTTTCTTGGCGGGAAACTTAGTGGTTTTGATGGTCACGGCAGATCTCACCATCTGTTGTAATGCCAGTGTATGGCTCTTTGAAGAGGCTACGCCAATGAAGATAGAGGGCATGTAGCCACGGTGGGTTACCGCTCTCCTTGAATGCCTTGGCATATTCGTGAGCATCCTGGTTTCGCATCGTCGTGAAGCGAGGAATGCTGATGTCTGGAAGATGCTGACGGTACTCGGCGCCATGAGGCGCCTGTTCCTGAGCCCCGGACATGGTGTGCTGTTGTTCGCCCGCGTATGATGATATCTGTGACTTTCGGGGTGCAATCGTTGCAGCAATAGCCGTCAGTCTCCTAGCAGCTTGAGAGCTTCTATGGTTAGTGTTCGTCATGCAAAGTCTCTGGTTGTACGTGTTGTCAAGGCTGGAACTCTTCCACTCGACTCCGTGACAGGGAAAGCAAATAATAATAGCTCCGAGACCGACAACGGACAACTCTTGTCACAAGACGTCCACTCTGGTCAGACCATTTCTAAACAAACCGTCATCAAGTACCGGCGAATCCACAAAGCCACGACGTCGGCGATGGTCGGCGCATGTGCCGCCGACAGCAACCCCTCATTTCTCGGCCCCTCTAACCCACATCGCCATCATCCCTCATCCTCGCAACTCCCCCACAATTCTTCCAGCTGCGCCTTTGAGTTGCCCGGCTTTTCCGTGGGCGTCGATGTGTCAGCGGGCCATTGACCAATCACGACGGATGGACTTACGATTAGCACGACGCGGCGTCAGATCTGGGCGCGAACTCTCGAACTTCCCGGACCTCCGAGCCGACCAACCCCAACCATCGGCAATTGTGCGGGGGAGAACCCCAGCGGGGCAGCGGGCTTGCTCCAGTCGGATTTCACGATGCGGGAACGGCCCTTTCTTCTACTCTCCTGCTGGTGAATATCATCCGAACTGCCACTCCACGACTGACTTGACCTCAAATCTTACGATACCACTGCACATCTGACTTTGAGGAACGCACCAGACAACACGATACACCATGGCTTCACAAACACAAACGCCCTTCACCCGTGAGTCGTCCACCTCGCACGAACGGATGTCAACATGAGAGCACTGCCGCTGACAAACCCAAGGCTTCGTGCGTTTTGTCCCCCGTTCTGATGCCAACAAGATTCTCATCGGCGAGCCTGAATCAGAGTCTATTGATGTTGGCCTTGCTGTGCGCAATGGCGAGCAAGTCAAGGTTGTGGTGTGGTCCGGATCCAGCGTTCTCAAGCCGGGTTCCAAGACCGAAGAGCGGGCCGTCATTGACCGCGTCCTCTCGCCCGTCTCTGCCGAGGAAGTCGGAACGATCCGATGCATTGGCTTGAACGTGAGTAGCCAATGATGTTGCTCTACTATTCTGGCCAAAAACATGAAGCTAACCACAAACAGTATGTTCAACACGCGAAGGAGACTGGTTTGGCCCTGCCTGAGGTCCCGACTGTGTTCCTGTAAGATCGTCCGGGTTGGTGTTAGTCGCCATGAACTCAGCTAACCTCACACACAGGAAGCCAAGCACTGCCCTGGGAGACCCATGGCCCGCGCCTACGGTACTTCCCCTGCTAACTCAGGCTGATGACTGCGGTGACTACGAGTCTGAGCTGGCTGTCGTGCTGGGAAAGACAGCCAAGAACGTCTCTGAAGCCAATGCTCTGGACTACGTCTTGGGTTACACTGCTTGCAATGATGTTTCTTCCCGGACGTACCAACTGAACCAGTCTCAATGGTGCTTCGCTAAGGGATTCGATGGATCCTGCCCATTGGGTGAGTTGTTCCATGATATGGATGAAGACGGGTTGACGACACTAACCTGATTTTCTCCAATAGGGCCAACTCTGGTTTCTAAGGATCTCATCCCGGACCCAACCAAGCTGAAGATGCGCGGCTTGAAGAACGGTGACGTTCTTCAGGACTCTCCTATTGAGTGAGTTCACTTTCAATCGTGCTTCCAAATTAATACTGACTGGCCATACAGCGATCTCATCTTCAGCATCCCGAAGCTCATCAGTTTCCTGTCTCAAAGTACGACCCTACCCGCTGGAACAGTGATCATTACTGGAACTCCTGCTGGAGTCGGCCTGGGCCGGAAACCAAAGGTTACTCTGAAGGACGCCGATGAGTTTCACGTCGAGATTCTTCCCCATATCGGCACACTGGTCAATACCTTCCAAAACGAGGTTGGACAGTAAAGGTGAGGCCTACAGGAGGATGCATATGAGATGGAATTATATGCACGGAGGTGTCGCTTGATCACTAAGTGATAAGGACACATGCGACGAGCTGTTTTAATTAATAAGACCAAACGATGCACGAGTTCCAAGTATTGGTTTATAAGAATTGATGCTCTCATCATGACCCCTGAATGCACTCCCCACCGCCTGAGTTTTGGACGGCCATGTGCATTGAGTGTTCCTACTCATGTTAACAATGTGAGATTTTGGGGAGATGGATCAAATACATGAACGTTCACTCTCGTGTTATGTGCAATTCTCATTCCATGAATTTCGTAATCGGCCCATTAACCCAGATGTACGTCACTCACGAAGAACGTTCACTGCGATTCTCACATATGATGGCATCAGAACTTCGTATTTGGCATGTTTTAGGTTATTTAGGTCATTCCATTTTCACGCCGTTAATGAATTAGCTCTCGAGCAATTGAGGAACCTTTTCAAGGAGGTGCTCAACAATCGCATCGGGCCCTCTCTCAACCTGCAATCCGTGGGGAATGGCGTGCGTCTTGATGTTGGGGACGATTGACCTGGCGGTCGCCTGGATTTGCTCTGCCTCCTCCGCTGTCCACATTGATGCACAGAACTACGCAGATTGATTAGTTGAAGAGATCTCATTCGGCTGGGGTCACTCCTACCAAGACGTCCGGCTTGTGCTCTTTCACTTTGATCTCGACCTCGTCGATCGCTATCGATAGCATTAGCTTACAGGCTTTACATTACCGATGAGTGATTTGACTTACTTTCGCAGTTGGCGACATAATCGATCGTGTACTGATCCTTGAGCGCCTCGGTCATGCGGCCGATCAGTCTCTTCGCCCGCTCAGGTGCGGTGTTGACCGTGACAAGCTTGAAGGGACCCTTCGGCGCCATAGTGCGGGGTTGCAATGAGAATGAGGGGTGATGGGATAAGGTAAGTGATGACGTTGAAGGTTATGATGATCAATCGCAAGTGCTTATTGTGAGATGACTGAGTAAGGAATGTAATTCTGGCCGTATTCCGATGGAATAAGCCGCAAAAGTACGTGATGTTGGTCTTCGATGATGTACCGCACCTTTCTCCCGATGGCCGCTGACAACTCCCATATATTCGGCAGATAGCGGCTCGAGCTCCGCCGAAGTCGCACCCGAAAGTAAACCCACAACTCGGTCTGGAAGCTGACTGTTCCATCGCTTCTGAACCAGAGTTGGAGCAAGGCTGGTTGCCATGCCGGCTTTGCCGATTTTGCATCCATTTGACCAGTTCCACCAATCTCAATCCATTTTCGGTTATTATCCCGTGACCTTTACCTTCATCCTCGAACCGGCGCTGTCTGGGACTCGATTCTTCCGGATAACCCGCAGTATCTCGGATATCCCGAGCAGTCCGTCCACCTGTGACCACCACCTTCAGCCACTGGCGTCCACCTAAGTAGTAGTAATTAGTTGTACCCCATGGGACGCATCCCGTGCTTCCGGCTTGTGTGGGGGATCTCCGGGGGTTGCATTAGGGACTTGCCGGCGCCCCTATGTCCGCGAAAGTAAAGAACATGGGTTGAACTGCTGAACCCAGCTGCAACCACCTCTTGAAGATTTGAGGATTTGAGGGTAAGGGATTCCTGCCATCGCGACTCGTCTTTCAGATCTTGGTCCTGCATCTTTACCCGACCTGCATCTCATCGCCAAGCAGTCTTAACATGTTCCGTTGGATCAACTCGTGGTTCTCACCCAGCGCAAACGCAACCTCACCCAGCAGCAACGGAAACATGGCGGTGAGTTCAATCTCATCTATGAGACGGCTTTTCCGCGTCAATACTAATGATAAATTTGAAGGTCACAGCGCACATCAGATCACCAGTCCAACTGGAGATCATTGTTGTCGGTGCCGGACTGAGTGGATTAGCCACCGCAGTAGCAGCCGCTTTGTCGGGACACAAGGTCACCGTCTTCGAGTCCGCGAAGGAGCTCCTTGAGGTAAGCCCTATTTCAAAACCCCAGAACCACGAATGAAGTTACTGATACTGCTCTTTAGGTCGGCGCGGGCCTGCAAGTAACGCCCAACTCCACACGTATTCTCCAGAAATGGGGTCTTCCAGACAGACTGTGGAAATCGGCGTCTGAGCCGACGGATTTGGTGGTGCATCGCTACTCCGGAAAAGTCCTTGCATTGGAAGAGAACTTCAACAAGAACATTCGCGCAAAGTACCAGGCACCATTCATCGACCTGCACCGCGTCGATCTGCAGCTTTCACTCTATGAGCGCGCCAAGGAACTCGGCGTCACCTTCAACCTCGGCGAGAAGGTCGAGAACATCGACTTCGACATCCCTGAGCTCACGACACAGTCTGGGATCAGGGCCAAGGCGGATCTCATTGTTGCTGCTGATGGACTCTGGTCGCGGTCGCGTGCGTGCTACCTGAAGAAGGACGACCCTCCCTTAGCAACGGGTGACTTGGCCTACCGAGTGGTTCTCAACCTTGATGAGGTCACGGATCCGGAGTTGAGGGAGTGGATTCAGAAGCCTCAAGTCCACTTCTGGGTCGGGCCGGGTGCTCACTGCGTTGGGTACTCGATGAGAGCGGAGAAGATGTACAACCTGGTGCTGCTTACGCCCGATGATCTTCCCAAGGGTGTGAGCCGTCAGGCAGGATCGATTGAAGAGATGAAGAGCCGTTTCGATGACTGGGACCCGATATTGAAGAAGTTCCTTAGCTCGGTTGACAGCGTTGAGAAGTGGAAGCTGATGCACAGTAAGTGTTTGTGGCTAGATGCATCAGTGCATGAGCTAACATATTTCTAGGAGAGGAGATGACTTCTTGGGTCAACAAGAAGTCCAACTTCGTGTTTGTGTGAGTATTCAAGCCCCTTAATTGAGATCTCAGCCCTTACTAACGCTTGCCAAGCGGTGATGCATGCCACCCCATGCTACCCTACCTCGCCCAGGGTGCCAACTCAGCTGTGGAGGATGGTGCCGTCCTCGGACTGCTGCTCGGTCACATCAAGTCTAAGTCACAATTACCTGCCGCCTTGAAGTCATACGAAAAGTTGCGCAAGGCTCGTGGCGAGTCCATCGTCAGGGAAACATTCAAACAGGTCAGTTTTTCTCATGAGATCTCAGGATATCGATTGTCCGACAGGTACTAAACAATTCCCAGCGCCACGATTTCCACATGAACGACGGCCCCGAGCAAGAGGCCAGAGATCAGATCTTCCTATCGCAACTCGGAAAGGAGCTGAAGGGGGCGTTCCCCAGCAGGTGGACGTGCCCTGAGGTGCAGCCCTGGCTGTACGGATACGACGCGTACAAGGAGGTCGAGGAAGCGATGAAGAGCGATCCCTTTGACAAGCCCCACGCCAACTTGTGAGCAACCAACATTTGAGTCGAGTCAGGAAACTTGGGTATTTCGGCGTACTGGTGGTAATTTTACGGGCTTTGGAGCATGCCTCGGTAATCGGCATTTTGTGTATACCTAACTCTTTATTCCTCAGCGATAGCATACAGTCTTCTGCTTCACCTGTTCCCTCACTGTGTTCGGTGAAGGTCACTGAACAGGTTAACGTCGCTCGCTTCGTCGAGCCCCATCGACACCACTAACACTCCCTAAGCTAAGCCCTGTGCCCCTATGAGATCCCCTGAAGGGTATCAATTACGATGTCAGACCTTTGACATGATGTTTACACATTGACATGATGTCAATCGTTGGTACGTGGAAATTCCCCTATGCCAGATGTCACAACCAGTCCCCGGTACTGCCCTACTGAAACGCAACGGACGCGGAGCATCGCAGCCCTGTATGGTCGCTGAAGCCGACTCCACTGAAGACTTCACCTAAGGACTGTTGCCGTAAAACGATTCCAGCACTGATTTGGCGTCTCTGCTCGTGCGAAACAATTACAGTGGCCACAACACTAAATACGCCCCCGCCCACAGCGTTATCACGAGAGCTTCATTTCAAGCTCAAGGCATGTTGGTCGCAAGCATTTTCCTACATGTGACAAGGTTGGAACATTGATAATGAGACCGCACCAAGTCCTGAAATCTTATCAATCGCGACACTTGTAATACATCGGTCCTCGAATCTCAGCGGTGGATAACAGGTAGACAGCTTGAAAAGATCCGATCAGCAACAGATCGGGGAGTGCAGCACTCGCAGTAAGGGACAAGCATAAGGTAGCATATGTAAGGAGTACATGCCTGTTCGAATGGGCCATTAGTCTATGGGATGTGTTTGAAAGAAAAAGTAGCTCTCAAGACAGTCTAGACATCGAAGCTTCTGACTATCAAAGACCTCTCATAAAGCCACGCTTTCTAATAGGCGGTTTTTGCCCCTCCGGCTTCTTAAACTCCTTTTCTCCATTTTCGGTCTCAACCACATACCGATCCTTCTCCTTTTCTGCGATTCTCTTGTCGTGCTCCATCTTCCATCGCATAAAGTAGCAGCAAAATGGAAAGAGCACACTGTTGACCGCTGTCCAGGCAAAGAGCACACCAAAGTTCAGTCCGATCTTAGAATGCAAGTCGAAGAGAAGCTGACGGCTACCTTCTACAACCTGGCGAAGTGGCCAAGCGTACCCCCAGTGGTAGAACCCTGGTGCTAAGTCCATGGCATAGAAGGAAGTCGATACGTTCGATATGACCCAGAAGATGAGCCATAGAGCCGTCCAAGGCTGTCCAATAATCATTGCCACGTTCTCGCAGGCAAGGCCTAAGGCTGACATGCCCACGAAGTTGAGCATCCAGTAGACCGGGAAGGTGCCGTGGCCATAAGCTGTGGCGCCAGTCGGAGGGGCTGGTTCCGTTGGTGAGGCGGGCGGTGCGCTGAAGGGAATTTGGAAGGCGAGGGATATCAAGCTGTAGCTGAGAGAGATAACGAAGTAGGCGACGATTGTGGCTAGCCACCTCCATATGATGAGCTGCCAGAAGTGTAAAGGTGGATGGCCCTGAGGCTGAATGTATTTCTACGGGGGTTAGCAGATGTACATGTTTCGATTGATGCGTCAATTCTGGCAACTCACTGAGTGAATTGGCAAAAAGAAGGAAAAGGAAAAAAACGCCATGATGATTAGATAGATAAGACCAATGCTCACTGCAGGTGTAGCAGTAGCGGGCTGGAAGGGGCGTAGATCAATCATCAAGGGCGCGATTCCAGGATTGACGGCAGAAGAAGCTCTCGCGAGATTCTCTCGACTCAGAGACATGTTGGACATAACGGTCTGGCCCCATTGCTTTCCAAACTGTTGAATGAATTGCTCCGTGAACTGAGTGATGTAAGGTGAAATATCGCTCTGGTACGTCGTCGAATCTCGCGCGGTTTGTATGATGATCTGAACAGAGCCTGCTGGATCGTAGTCTGCATCCCCAGTGGAGACGGCCTCTTGCAAAGCTGCCGTGGCATTGGGGTGTATGATTACAGCCGCCCAGCTGTCCCAGTCGTACACGGCCATCCTCACAGCTGTTGGGTCGTTGTTGAAGTGTGAAGGCGGTAGGATCGTCCATCCAAGTGATGGGCCTGGCTTGTCTAATGACTTCTGCACGGTCTGTACGACTGTTGGTCCAACAATGGGCCGTACGGATTTGTACGGAGCAACCTGTCCATCAAAGTCGACCACGTGAACGATGATTGATCTAAGGTTTTCTTCGGTGCGGAAAAGAACAGCCCAGTACATTGACAAGACCGCAAGGATGAAAAGGAACAGAATGGTGATTGTCTGCATCCATAACCAAATGACGTGGGCGCGAACCTTTCTCATCGATGGGTGCCAGAATCCAACGGAGTGGTGAGGTTTCTGATGCCGATGGTGGACGCCGTTTTCCTCGTTGTCTTGGCTGTCATTCTTTGAGTGATCGACTTCGGTACGGGCCGGTGAGGGCGGCGACGGAGACCTAGCCATTATTCTCGGATGGCCGAATTGACTTCCTTTCTGCAGACAGAAAAGGATTTCCCCTGGTTTGACGGTCAGATGGCTGCAGTGGCTGGAAACACACTCAATGGGAATACCGAAGCGACCATTGGGAAACGCCTTTCCCGCTGTCAGCTTCTTGGCTTTATGTACATCTCTTCAACATTGTCAAATTCTACATCAAGTCCGCCGGCGTCCAAGTCGATGATGCGTGGTGGAAATAATACAATAAGATGATCAAGTACCCGTTAACAATTTTGCCGGTTTACGTAGGTCGCTTTGCCATTCTATTGGTCCAAGCCATGTCGATCGCGTTCCGTTACATCGAGCTCTCGACTTAGGCCCGACATGACATCAGAGTTTATGGAGTTGCGCTAGGAAGGACGCTACCCCTGTCCAAGGTAGTCCGTAATGTTTGTGAGTAAACTCCCACGGATTTATCGGTCTTCGCTCTTGCTCATCTAGCGCCGTATCCCGAACAGTTTTGTGCATTTTATCTTTAGCTCGAGATCCATATCTCATCTCTCGATTTGGTTGCTGAACCTCGATCCCAGCCTAGGCCGAAAGGCCGTACTCGAGCAACCGATAGAGGCAGCCTATCTCAGTAGAATTTGTCTCTACACAACGCAAGATACCACGTCATCAGAGGAAGCAAGTGCCAACTTTACATTTTGTGCCGGCAACTTTCCGAATTATCATACCCGTGCATCTGAAGTGTCCCGAATTTTCTCCATCGCTATCTTCCAAACCTTAGCAAACCGTGAAGTGGTCAGCTCGGCCGTGACCTTCTCCCATTTCCCTGTCCCTTTCAGGCGACTCTCCGCTGGAAGACCAGCAACGACGAAAGACGACGACTGTGGGATAGTCGGGATTTCGCCAGCAGCCATGTCCATCAGAAGACACGCATTATGTGGACCTGGAGCTTTGAATTTGAAGACTAGACAGAAGCCGGTCTCAGCTACTTCGTTTTGGACGTGTAGATAAGGGACTTCATCCTTACCACTCGTCTCAATGTCGTAAGAGAGCATGATTGAGTGGCTCCACGGGCCACTGCTAACCCATCTGTCCGCTGGAAATGCCTTGACAGTGTCGTACCCATGATTCTGTTCCTGTGGAAACTCCACGACAATGTGCTGCGCATCGGAATCCTTACCACAAAGCGACTCCATGTCTCCCGGATCTTCAGCCCTGACAAGAATAGTCTCAAGTTTCGCCTCTTTAACCCAATCATCTGGGACAGAGACAAAGCCTAGCTTGTGACTGCACCTGTAGAATGGTTCGAGATCGCTCGTTCTCTCCAGATAGAGACCGATATGACGACCCGCTCTGCGACAGTTGAGTATCGCTATCGTGCTTGTTGGGGAGAACGTAAAAGAGATTCCCGCGGCCGAACCAATCTTCTCACTATTATCTCCGGGAATAAATGAGAAGCCATGTTTTGAGCTGCTCGGGTCGAGTATTGGCATCTCGATCTGGATGCCTTTGTTGGTGAACGAATACGGTGCCACGCGATGGTCGGCATCAATTCTGGTGACGCCGTTAGACTGATCGAAATAGGATGGTGACTTGGCGAGGAAACCAGTGCTTCGAGAAAGTCTGTCTGAAGGTCCAGGTAACAACCAAGCAAATATTGACTGGTCATCTGTCCGCCTCATGATCTCTTTTTGAAGACGAATGAACGCCATTTCACCCTCGCCGTACAGTAATAAGGGCATGCTGACCCCGAATGGTCCAAGCAAACAATATGCTTGGTCTTCAATTCTGGTTGTCTTTCTCTTTGCAGCCTAAGACATTCTCTGAGCGATGCCATACCGATCTAAAATTCCGTACTCGAAGAACTTATGGTCGATGCCGGTTATCTTGCCTAGAGGCTCTCGCATCTGGTCGCGAGTACCAATTTCGTACCAGTCATCTGAGTAGAATATGACTGTAGGGGGGGCAATGAGCTCTTGGAGCGTCCAACCACGCGTAAACCATCGACAGTTCATGAAGGTTTTGGAATAGCCAACAAGAACGTCAACATCTTCCTCGGGGACGTCTTCGAGGTACGCATAACAGACACGTGAGTTCTGGTACCAGACCCACATAGAATTGATGGTTTCCGTCAACTCAGAAGAGCTTGCTTTGTCTATGCAACAAGTGTCGATCCACTGAGAAGTCAGTTCATGAGAGCTTTCCAGTTGTTGTGAGGGCTCCACGCCATGGGCGTTACATACAGGTTGCAAGGGTGAACTTACTATGTAACCAAACCCATCCGACATTGCCTGATTGCATGCCCCGATGAGTTTCTTGTAGCCTTCAAACTAAGCGCTTTTCCGGCTAGTAGATCCTGTAGTGTGATTTCCTCCGGACCCCAAGTATGGGATGGGATAGCATATGGAATGCGAGAGTGATTGAATACTCGTAGTTCTTTCGTCCGCGTATTCAGGAGCCGCATTGTACCCTAAGATATTAGATTCAAGCCAATCAAAGCATATGGCGCACACGAACTACGGTCTTTCTGAAGCTGAACAGGACTGGTCAGATCGAATGCGGGGGCAATCATCTAAATAAAGGATCAGATGGGTTTGCTCAATTAGGACGGTGCAAGCATAATCTATCACGTGCAGCTACTAGGATAAGCAAGCTAGCCATGCACATAGTCAGTTTTGTGGTACCACTCAAGTTTATATCAAATCCTCAGGTGTGCTAAAGTAGGTTTGTTGCCTTAGGACATGTAGCGGAATGAAGGATGCCTGTAACCCAACTGGCTCTGTTCAGCTTCTGTCCTGCCATCAAGGCGGTGATCCCTTTTCCCAGCGGCTCTTGTTTTGTTCTCATACAAGCAATAAAATATGCCGAATATCGCGAGTAGAACGGTTAGACTCTGTCCAACAAGATTGATGGTGTGTCCAGTGTAATACTTTGGAGCGTCCTTGAACGTGTAGGTCCACCTGTCGTAACCATCAGTAAGACCGTAGACATGGAGACAATTGTTGCAAACAGGAGTCAATGGTTGCGGCGTCATAACCGCCTGATAGGTCCGTAGAACTTCTACTTACGTCGCAACAATTCCACCCATAGTACCAATGGAAACAACGTAGGCACTCGTTACTGCGCGAACAGAAGGGCCTGCCGAGTCTATTGTCGAGTGTGTCAGCTTGTCCCACTTTCCTAAGTCGAACGAAGGTCATCGGCCAATATCCGTCGACACTAGACTTACTGTTCATCGCCCAACTCACTGCAATAGTATTAGCATAAGAATTGCATTCAACAAATGTGCAGACTTACAAAACCCTGGACCACCTGGGAAAGCACCTGCTGTGACGAAGAAGACCTGAAAATATTAGCAAACCAAAGAGGCAAACACAGCAACAGGGAATGCTTACGCCCATATATCTAATGTTAGCATCGGTCGCGAATCGCAAAATCGCGAACCCAATCACGGCAATCATCGAAAACGCGGCGAGGTAGATACCGCGCTGACGTGTTCGATCGCTGAACCACGCGATGATGATGGCAGTGATAGCAGCCACCACGTAAGGTGGTACTGAGTACAACTGCGCTCGAGTTGCTGTCCAGCCCAAGTCGGCAAGAATAGTCGGCATAAATACCGAAATTCCCTGAACGGTGATGTTGATTAGGAAGAAACCGAATGCGCACGTGTAGTTATGAATGCAGAACACGGCTCGCTTCATGTCGGAAAGAGTGACTTTCTGATCAGCATCGGCCTTGTGCTGGCGCTGCAGACGTTCTACCGCAATCGTTCGTTGTCGTTCGTCGAGGAAGTAAGCCGTTGCGGGTTTCGTCGGCATCCAGAGAGGCGCAAACCCTCCGAAGAGAATTGTGACGAATCCCTCGAAGAAGAAAATGTTTCTCCATGTATGGATAGGTGCGCTGTCGAACCCCCACTCTGGAATGCGAGAGAGACCAGTGGCGAGCAGACCGCCAAACGCGCCAGCTAATGATGCTGCTGAAATGAAGATTCCTAGACGAAACAAAAGCTCTTCTCTCTTGTAAAAGCTGCTCAGGAAGAAGGAAAAACCCGGCATGGCGCCGCCTTCGAATATTCCTAGGAAGGCGCGGGCCACAATGAGTCCTTCATATGAGCGGACGAAAGCCGTGCAAAGTGAGACAAGTCCGAAGCCAACGACGAGAAATGGCAGGTAGAATCGTGGTCCAACGCGCTTGAGAACGATGTTGCTTGGCACTTCGACGAGGAGGTAGATGATGTAAAATATAGACAGCGCCCAGTTGAATCGGTACCCTTCAAGGTTGATATCCTTGGCCATGCCCTGGATCCTGGCATTTCCGATGTTCGCTCGATCCAAGAACTATTCCGAATGTCGGTTGGTAAGTATTGACGTTACAGGCGGCTGATATTCCACGGAAAAGAAAAATCACATACGCAGAGAAGATACAAGGTTGTCACCAGTGGGACAGTGTGCCAGTCGAGCTTGCGTCTGATGACCTGCTCCTCCGCTTCCGTCCACTCCAGCTGTACGGGCTCGTCTGCATACTGGATAGACTCGGACTTGACGTCGACGGTCGTCGGCTCGTTGTACTCTGTTTTAGACATCATCAAAAGCTAGGTCCGTCATGACATTGAGAAATGCTCTAGCGCCAGCAACTAAAGAGGGGAGAGGAGGGAAGCTTACGTTTCTTATCAAACTCGATCGGTATTTCGTCTATTGTGGAGAGCACCATCTTGACAGCTGGTTGGGACAATGCTCAGAATCCTTTGAACGCAGAGCTTCCGAAAATACAACGTTGAAGGCTGGTCAATTTGCCAAGCAGCCCGTGGATGCGACGTTGAAAACGGCCAAGCCCATTTAGTGTAGCTTGAATGAGGGGTTAAGGTAGGCTGGCCCCTATTATTATCTATCCAAAGCCACTAGAGAGCGGGAAGCAAGTTTGAATAGTTGGCACGGACAGTTAATCACCATCAGACTTTCTTCGGCAGATGTCTCTTGCATTAAAGCCCGGCCCTGTCCGGGGTGCCCTTCATCCAATGACCCAGAACCAGTTGCCTGTCAAGGATGGCACGTTCGGCCCAAGAATGCGGGGTACGGGAGGAAGAACACTTGGGTCTCTTGGGTTTTGGTCTCCTTCACAGCTCGACTCAGATTGAGTCGCATCGACGTGGGCGGCCGTGGAACCGAGGGTTGGCATTTCGCTGCGGTTTGAGCTGAATATGGTTTGGAATCTGTCACAACCGTCTAGGTAGTAAGTCCGCTTTCGCAACCTTGGGTCTAACTTCACTCAACCATCTGAATTTTGAGGCAAAAGGCCTTTCCACACGTCGCAAGCCGAAAAGGAAATTTGGTTACCTTTTGCGAAGTGGTGTGTTCCCTGTTACAGTCGATGTTTTCACCGACCGCGTGGCTCAGCTACTTTTTATCCGGACCCTTCGGAACCGAGTAGGTTGCTGACAATGGGTTTCGCTACTTTGACGTCAAGACCGTCACAAGATGACAGAGCACAATGATAAAGTCAAGTCATTGAAGTATGTCGTATAACTGCAGGGGTTGCTGTTGGGCATGCGCCCACAAAGGCCAGACTTTCGGAAGGGTTGTTACGAGTGCAACTTACCTAGATCGTGGTTTGCAGCATACCCACGCCGCACTTACGCAGCCCCCATGCAACCTTCAACTTGAACTGCCATAGCGAATCAGAACCAAAGCGCCCAAGAGTTACCAATAATTATGTGCAGACAATAAGCACCAAGGTGTTCATGTACCGTCGCACCTGTTTGTTGCCAAGGCGAACGAAAACCTTTCTAAATGGTGGAATAGGGTCGTCAGATGTTCGTGCACGGCCAATGGTGCTCCGCTAGGGATACTTCGGGTGAAACATGCGCCGAGAGAGTCAATCGCATCATCGGTTCCAAAGTCAGACACAAATGCACGTCAAAATGAACGGGCGTTCAATTGTATCTAAGCATAGGTAAGTTCCCAAAAGGGTCCTGAATATGGCCCATGGGTTTGTGGGCAAGGAGAGGAATAATGCCATAATTCGCTTCGTTTCGCTATGACATGTATAAGCTCATAACGTCAAATGTAGCTATGTTCAATCTTCTGCCTGTTGAGCTTTCTCATCGTGGAGATAACTCTGGGAGTTGCAACTCTGGTCCTGATTACAAGACGCTTACAAGGCTCGAAGAAATCCCCTCTTCCGTCTCGGTGGTTTAACTCCCGGCTGCTTGGGGATTTGTTTCTCGAAGTCATATCTATTCAAGTGAAAGTGTGGGAGTTTTGTCTCTTTGCGACGAATTTCCTTTTCATCCTTCCATCTCAAGATGTAACATGCTGGCACGAACAAGATTGTGTTAACCGACACCCACGCAATCAAGACGCCAAAGTTGAGGCCAATGCGCGAGTGCAGGTCAAACAAGATCTGTCGGCTGCCTTCAATCACATGATGGTAAGGCCATGCGTACGCCCACCGGTAGAATCCAGGCGCAATATCAGGAGGCCAGAATCCGGTCAAGGTATTAGTGAGAGTCCAAAATGTTAGCCACAACCCAACCCATCGAGGGCCAATGACCATTGCCATATTCTCACAGGCCATCCCAAGTGCCGCCATACCGAAAAAGTTCAACACCCAGAAGACGAAGAATGAAGCTTTGCCGTATGCGTTTGGATTCTTAGCCACCTCTACCGCCGAAGCTGGCGGATTGGAGAAGGGAACTTGGAAGACAAGAGAGATTAGACAGTAAACGAGCGAGAGAAAGAAATAGGCGGCCATAAGCGACAAGTATCTGCGTATGACGTAGTGCCAGTAGTGCACGGGAGGATGTCCCTCAGGCACAATGCATTTCTAAGTATTCGGGTTAGTTTTGAATCAAAGCATTGAAAGCTCGGACTTACCATGTTGTCAGCGAGGTAATAGGTGAAGCCAAGATGGGCAATAAGAAAGCTAAGCCCAAAGGTTACTGCGGGAATTGCCGCCGGCGGTCCAAACGGTCGGAGGTCCAGCATCAAAGGTGATACCCCGGGATTGACGGCGCTTGCAGCCTGCCGTAGAGTCTCCTTTGTCAGGGACTCATTGGCCATGATCATATCACTCCATGTCTTGCCAAATGTTTCCGTTAGACTTGACGTGAACGAGGTCAGGCTTGGCAAGATGTAGCTGTACGTCATAAATGAGTCCCGGCCAGACATTATGATGATCTGGACTGCGCCTGTCGGGTCGTATGAAGAGTTGCCAATTGAGACTGCCTCTTGCAAAAGAGCTGTTGCGTTTGGGTTGATGATAATTGCAGACCATGCTCTAAAGTGATAGACCGCTTCGCGGACTTTCATTGGGTCGAATTCGAACTCGTTTGCGTCCCGTATCTGATATCCGATTGAAGGTATGGGGCTCCATAGTGTCTCGTTGGCCAAATTGATAACTGTTGGACCTACAAGTGGCGTGATGTCGTTGTAGGGAGTGGATTTTCCATCAAAGTCGACGACGAAACAGACAAGAGAGGTGAGGTTCTCTTCAATACGAAATACAATGCCCCAGTAAAGGCAAAGAATGAGGAACATGGAGAAACAGATGATGAAAGCTGAAAATGGTGAGCTTTGACAACCTATCAGCGAGCAGAGCTCGGACAAGACTCACTGTTTCTGCACCACATTATGGATATGTGCTTTCGTAACTATGCAAGGGCAAGATCAGTCTCGACGCTGATAAAAGCTTTTGAGGCTGAGTCTGAGGTGAGCTGCACTTACTGTTGCCAACCCCGGGTCCCACCAGCTGACTGACTGCGACGGAAGGTTTTCATGCTCAGGTAAGCGACTTTTCATCCAATTCCCGACAAGATCTGCTCTTTGAGTGTCGAGGCTATTCAGAACGCTCCTTGATTGATCGTCTCGGGAGGCTTGCGCGCCGGCGCCGAGTTCACGATGACCGCCGTTATCGACGTCGGTATCGATGTGCATTTTGAAGCCCGCACTGTTTTTGTAGTAGTCTTTTACAGAGTAGAAATCACCAACTATGTGATTGAAAACTCAAACTTGGTTGTTGAAATGATTGCTTTGTAGTTATGAGCCAAGTCGCCTTTCGTTGCAAAACCTCCGGCAGTGTAGTTGTGGACCATGATTGACAGGGTTACGCCACAGTTCTGTGACCTCACCGGCATAAACGGTGGAGATGAACAGCGGACAAGTTAGTCCGGATGGGTAATCATCCGTCATTCATGTGTCCTGTTACATGTGTTTCTTGAGTCAACGTGGATTATGTCCAATCAGCCGATAGTCTATACGGCGGGCCATTTGAGTGATCACCTCCCAGCTGAAGTCCATGCTCGGTCAAATTCAATCTCGATCAGGCACCAACTCGGCCTCTTCCTAAGCACACCGAAGTATTTCTTACAATCTCTGCAGGCCATCGAACTGTTCCAATCGAAAAAGTCTGATGGCCCAGTTTTACATGCAGGAGGCACTGTTAATGTGGGCAATCTGCTCGGTTGATATATTGGTCATTGTCAAGGAGCCTATCCTCAGCATATCTGTAAAGTGGGTTCTTGATGAGTCTCGACTCCTTGCTTTATTGTTAACACTTGACGTCAGAAAGATGTCAACTAATTATAGTGGAGCAAAGGGCCTTCAAGAAGTCTCCTCGGCAACTCGGCTCGGGGCTTTCCAGCAACTCTCATAACGCGGATAGTAAGGTACGATAGGGTGGGTTGCGGCAATCAGCCGGGAGAATATGTCCGCAAAGTAGCTTTGCGTACGGACATTGAGGTTCTCGTATGTGGCAAGATAGAACGAAACTATCATGAGCAGTTCTGGTTCGAGGTGGAGCACGCCGAGATAATAACCCCGGTGCATATGAGGAAGTGGTGGTGGATGAGGAAGCTCTTGCATCACCATAGTTAGAATATCACAGGATCGAGATGACCTGCATTCGCAGTTAGGAGAAAGGCGACGATCGATACTGTCACCTACCCGGAACGTTGGCTCCTTCAGTTACGTGCGCAGCAAAATGGGCCAGACAGTCACTGTTGGCCTAGTGTCTTGAGTTGAGCCCAGAACAATGCGATACTGCATTTCGAAACGGTCTGGAAAATTCACGGGCTCTCCAAATGATCTCTTTAGATTTCAGAAGGCAACATGCGTATCATGGAAGAATAATGATGGGCTAGAACCCAAGTAAAACCTTTCGCCAATTGATCTTCTTCTTCCCACTCTCAGTCGCCGCCGTTCCGTACCCTTCCTCCTGCACATCATGTTGCCCGACAATGGAGAGGAACACGTCATTGAGCGTGGCCGGACTGACACTATGATGCTCGATGCCCAAAACATCCTTGTTCTCCTCCAACATCACGATGAGTTGCCCAATCGCACTCAGTTGGCGATTCTCCCCAGTCTGCTTCGCGCTTCTGCCTTGAAGACTCTGCTGAGATATTTGCAGCACGTCCGACGCCGGGACCGAGAATCGCAACTGACCGTGATATGTCTCAGGCTCTACTCGAGCGGAGGGAAATTGCTGTAGAACCCATATTCGCATACGGTCCATCTCTTCCGGCGTCGAGTGTGGAGCAGTGCGACTGACCAGGTGCACATACAAAGAGTCCCCGAAGCGGCTTTGAAGCTGCTCAACTTCACCAAGGGCCAACATACGCTGTGCAATGATGCCAGCCCGATTTGCAAGCGCATCGGCCTCTTCCATGCTGTGCGTTGTCAAAAGGATAGAACGGCCTGGCACAGTCGTGCTGAGCGTTCGCCACATGATGCGCTTCGCGGCGGCATCCAGACCTGAAGACGGCTCGTCAAGCAGAATCACTGACGGGTTTCCTGTAAGGGCGATGCCGAGGGAGAGTTTGCGTTTGTTGCCTCCTGACAAATGTTGCGCCATGACGTTGACATGAGCATCGAGGCCGACTGCACGCACAACTGCTCGAACTTGCTGCTTAACATCGTTAACTCCACGCAGTCTGGCGTAGTGACGGAGATGTTCGAAAACTGTCATAGACTCGACCGCATCGAATTGTGGACAGACTCCGAGATTTGACCTGGCGAGAGCTCTCTGATCGGTAACAGAGATCTGCTCAACAAAAACATCCCCGCCGTTGCGGCTTGGTTGTATGTCGCCACGGATGAGTGAGATGGTTGTTGATTTTCCGGCACCATTAGGGCCGAGAAGTGCAAAGACCTCCCCATGCCGCACGCCAAAGGACACGTTGTCAACGGCAGTAAAGTTACCAAACTTCTTCGTCAGATGCTTGACTTGGAGCCCGTCGCTGTTTGTTGTCGTCTCGACTCGCAAGAGTTCGTTGGCAACCTCAGGATCCTCCTGCGCTTGCTCAGCTCCGATGTCAGCGCTTCTGCTACGCTTGAAAACTGAAGGCAGCTTGTTTCCACTGTCGTGGTAGAGAAGAATGCTAAATAGAAGGATAGCCTGCAAGACGAGGTAAAGAATTGGACCTCCGTACGCCTTGATTGCACCTGGATAGCCAAGACCGGTAGCAGTGCATGCCAACGAGAAGGTGTTGAGGCCGATGAGGAGGGCTCGGAAGACAGATGTAACAGGAAAGAAGGCAGAGATAGTGTAATGCCCTATCAGAATATTGCGATCTGTGACAGTGGAAGGCGAGAAAGTCACGATGTAGAGGAAGGCGATAAGATAGATCGCGAATCCGACACTGTTGTAGGCCATAATTGCAGCAAACGTCGCGACTTGGCTGTTGGTGAAGAGCGAAACTACATACGACAGCAGGATAGAGGTGATGCCGTATAGCAAAAACACCGGGAAAAGGTAGCCCGAAGCATACCATATATCGGACGAGACGGCAAAAATGATGGCTGCGATGATAAGTGGGAGGAAGAAGACTCCAAAGTCGAAGATGAGGTGCGACGTCCAGAGAGACAACGGTCGCACTCCGCTGGAGTAATGCAAACCACGAGCATGGCTGTGTCTCTCAGCATTCGGATACAATCCAAAGAACGACGGAATGATGGAACATATGATGCTGAAAAATATGGCGAATTGAACCGTGGATGACGTCGAAGATGGAATAACATTGTCAAATGGGGTGTATGTGGTCGCAATGCTGATATTCGTCTTCATGACGGCGAGCAGGTTCTGTACGATAACAGCAGCGAGAACTGCTCCTGTTCCCTCATCGTCTGCTCGATAAGCAATTGTTGAGGGTGTATCTGAGCTGCCAGTCCAAAATCCACCAGGGTTAACATTCTTGCGATTGTCTCCGACGTAGCGTAGAAAGTCGGCGTAGGTAACAGTCTGTACAAGGTTGGGCTCTGTAGAAGTGTAGACCCCCGGCATCAAGAAGCCAAAGAGTTCACCATATGTTGAGCTAGAGAAGGAGGAAGAAGGACCGGCTGGAATAATAGCACTGTCAAACGCCTTCTTGTAGTCGTCGAAGCCTTCCGCTGAAGCTTGACTGAAGTCCGCCACATCGCAACTAGGAGGGCTCTCGTCAGCGACAAGTAGCTGCATAATTGCCGCTGCAATAATCGGTACAATCAAAACGATGACGTATGGAATCCAGTTGGTCTTAAGCAGCGTGAAGCGTTTGCGAATCAGAATAGGGGTCTGCTCGAAGAACCCTGTCTGACGGCCGTGTTGAAGCCCCAGCGGGTCTTGTCCCCCGCTCATGACAGACTTTTCGGCGAGTTCTTTGCCGGATTCTTTTGATCCATGGGCTCTCTCCTTATGAAGAGATTGAAGATCCTCCTCTCGCACTTCTTCGGCTACATTGAGGAAGACGTCTTCAATGTTCGGACTGGATATGCGATAGGAAATGCTGTGAGCCTCAAGAGTGCGGATAACGTCGGCGGCGATGCTCGATAAGGGCGCGGTATAGGTTATAGTGTTTGATGACACAGCTAACGTAGCTCTACGGACTTCTGGAGGAGCTCTCAAATCCTTGGCATTGAGGACGTGAATGCGGTAGCCATCTCCGAGAGCGTTCTTCAGGGCTACGGACGAGCCCTCAGCCTTTAAGCTGCCCTTAGACAGTATGGCAATGTTATCGGCAAGTAAGTCGGCTTCGTCGAGGAAATGCGTCGTCAGAATGATGGTCCTCTTGCCACGTTCCGAGAGTAGGATATCCCAAATTTTCCGCCGTGACAGTGCGTCAATGCCAGAAGACACTTCGTCGACGCAGCAGACAGCACTACCACCGGTCAACATCATGCCAAGCTGAAGCTTGCGCTTTTGTCCTCCAGATAGATGTCGTGATTGAGACTTCCGCTTTGTTGAAAGGCCAATCGAGTCGATCAAGTGCTTTGAATCCTCTTTGCTCGCAATGTTCCTTGGAGACTTGAGCTGATTGAAGATAGTAATGTGTTCGGCAACAGTGAGTTCATCCCAAAGAACGTTCTTCTGGGGGGCGATGCCGATTCCGCCAGAGGCATCTATGGAGAGACTGCCATGGTTGAAGCGACTGATTCCGGCGATGGCATCAAGGGTTGTACTCTTGCCACTTCCATTAGGACCGAGAAGTGCTAGGATCTGCCCGCGTTTTGCCGTTAGGTCGAGATGGTCAATGGCAACTGTGGGAGCACGCGGTCTGGAGATGAAGGTGAAAACCCGTCGTAGCAGGCTTGGTTGGTAAATCTTGGTCAAGCCATCAATGACAACAGCGTCCTGCGGCTGAAGACCGTCACCCTTGTAAACCTTGCGACTTTCAGAGCCAACTCCGTGAATTTGACGTTCGACGTAGGCGGCCAATAGCGGGTAGATGATGAACTGCAGGATCAGGAAAATCCAGATAACAATGCCGGGAAGGTTTGAGTTACTTCCAGGTGGCGTCTCCAAAAGATTCATCGGTTGCCCCTCGCCCTCCAATCGCGCCATGGATCTGATGAAGAAGACAAAGGCGCATGGAGTAAAGAGCAGGCTCAACACGGCGACGACGCCAGTGCTTGGGTTAGGGAGTGCCTGTGCCAGAACACCAAGGAGAACGTAGACCAAAGAGTTGATGACACCGGAAAGCTGAGCCTTCTTGAAAAAAGTGGCGCCGAGAATGGCTTGCGAAGTGAGAGCCAGGCCGCCTAGGATGAAAAAGGCGAGAACGATGCCGATACTAGTCTCGCTCCAGATCATGCTCCTCGCTATGACTGAAGTGACGACCCAGCCTGGAAAGTATATTGTGGCAAAAGAATAGAAGTTTGACAACATCCTGATGACCTGTGCCTCCCAGTCGTGGCGTGTTGACATCATGGAGTCGATGAGCTGGGAGAGCCCCTTCTCCCGCTCAGTCGCGACGTGACCCGGAAGATGGTAGCTGACTCCGATCAACGCTAGGATGAAAGAGACTGCCAGATAGTCAATGAAAGTCTTTTGGTACTTCCTTCGAACGCTAGCCTGCCGTTCGTCTTCGGCCTCGTCGGTGAAACCCCACTCTTGGATATTCTCCAGAGGCGCTGAACTACCATTTGTCGAGTTGACGCTGGCAATGGCAGAGTCGACGGCATGTTGAAGGGGGAGAGTGTACACCTGAACGTCACTGTCATCGTTCTTGACCTTGAAGGATGATCCGAACGCGCCATCTCCTCGCAAAGTGTAGTTCCAAAGGCCTCCATCGCCCTCAGTGGGGGAAGCATGGAAGATGACGGCGCCGTAGCAGGAAGTAGTTGCGCGGAAAGACGAACGGCAGATAGAGCCAAGATCGGACGGATTTGTGATTGTTCTTGCGTTTTTCCCAGCCGCAGAAACCTGGGAAGAGATCGCCGTTATCGCGCGGTCTACATCGCCGCCTGATAGTCCACTGTTGACGAGAACAACAGTATCACGCGAGCCATCAGAAGCGGCCAGTCCCTCAGCTAGTGATCTTATGGGTCGGGGATCGGCAATGCCAAAGTCGTTCGATGGACTGTTGAGATTCTTACCAATGCCGAGGTAAACTGTGAGGATAATTGGCAGAAGGATGGCGGTGTAGATTGTTGAGACGGGGTGGCGGGCGAGCATGATAATGAAGTTTTTTGTCGAGAGGATACCGACTTGGCGCCATAATGCGGACTTTGGTGCCGCCATGGCAATATTGGAGGGTCAATTTGCGTGGGAATGGCGAGTGGTGGTATGAGAATTGTGGTCGTGGGGACTAAAGATGTCGTCTTCCTCGATGCTTTGTGTAAGAAAAGTAATGATTAAGTTTGGCAAAGAGAAGAAGAGGGTGTTGCTATCCTATGAAGGACAAGTTCCAAGGAGAATCACTGGCGTCTCACAGGATATATGAAGGGCCACAGATCAAGACTCAAAAGACAAGATTCAGGAACAACTCCATGCCAAGAATGGCACATCCATGTCAGCATAGCCATACGGCTAAGCGATGCAGACATATCTGCCCAACAACTATGGTGGCAAGCGAGGACGCCTTCCTGACATTTACTCTTTTGGGACATCCAAAAGTCAAAAGTAAGATAGCTGCACGAGTAACAAGCTAAACCGGGAGAATGGTGTAGGAAGGGCATGCTATGAGAAAACCTCGGCAGGGGCCAAATGAGGCAGAATTGTGCTGGTAGCCGTGGCATGCGAAGTTGAATGGCTAGATTTCGATGTGGTGAAGGATGGCTGATAATTCTACGTGCATCTTCGCATCTTTGCTGAGTGTTTGGATGAACTTCTATTTGCCTAATGCGGTTAGAATATCACTGTCAGATCCCTCAGCCACCAATGTCGCCAATGATGGCATCAGTCTCAGGCTCCATTCTGAAGCTCAAAGTAGAGAGGCAAAGTTTCTGGGTACCTGGGAGTGTTGGGGTCTTCACGCGACCTCCAATAGCCCTTTTGGGAATAGCTCGACTTTGCATCCCGCCCGACTTGCGTGTCTCACGACGGGGATTTCGTTATGCAAACTTCAAAGGATGTTGCTGAGAATTGTGCGAGCTGTTGGCGAAAACCCTTCATCAATTGCAGAAGTGCAATGAATGCAACGTGATCGGACTTGTGTTTCGATTGGCATTCACTGTTGCGGCGCCTAAGATTGCCATTGCTCAAGTCCATCAACAATATTTGCAAAGTTTTTTCAGCGTTGTCCTATTGATGCTTTCCTTTTTATACTTTACATCAACGAGGCGACGTCACGACCAACTTCCGCGTTCGGTCATGCATCTCAGCAGACAGCGAGAGAAGTCGGTAAGAGTTTATTCCTCTAAACAGATTGCCGTATTAGTAGATTTTACGTGATCTACTCCCTCAGATAAATCCCGGTTGTCTTCCAAATCTGCAAGTCATCAATCCTCTCGTTTGATTTGATGAGAGGAAGGGAAGACCATAAGGTACTCAAGTTTGCATACCTGGCTGCACACTTCACTTGGTATTGGAACCACCAGCAGTTTATATCTGGTTGGACTAGTAGCGTCAGACCTATGAGAATCACATGCAATTATATCTCTATCTACATCATTTCCTATTATTTTCCCCGGTCGTGACCGACATAATTGCTCCCACACCTGGAGTCTAGCATCCACAATCCCATCTCAAATGCGGGTATAGCATCATACGGTCCTCTGGCGCAACGGTAGCGCGTTCGACTCCAGCTCTGGAATTCATCGAAAGGTTATCTGTTCAAATCAGGTGGGGATCAAGATAAACATACAACGTGCAACCCTTTTGACTTCAATTTTGTTCCGGACTGTAAATTTAGTCATCAGGCGACTCAGTTGAAGATACTTGAAGATACTTGAAGATATGAAGGAGCCGTCATAGCGGCCTGAAAGGCTAGCAAAGCTTTGGCAACTTGTAAGCAACGGTACGACTTCAGAGTGAGTAAATTTGAGTCTCGAACGATCACAATTATGACTTCAATTTTTGCTGTGGGTCGATCAGGGCTCAATTTTATCTATCCTTGACCGAAGTGAGCGACCGAGATTCACCGAACCTCACCGAATAGACCAAAAGTTCCTTTCGTTACTTTTGTGAAGCAATGACCTATCATCCCCGCGAAAAGCCATCCCGCAATCGATTGTATCGTTCTTAAGTGACGTATATCTGAGAAGAATCACACGGAGTCAGTTCGTTAGCTGTTCTCTCTTTCTCTCACAGTAGGAATGCCATGGCCAGTGAACCCCTACAGATGTCTCAAGCAATCCAGCGATTAGGTGACTTAATTACTTCGAAATCCACCTACTTCAGCTCATGCATTCCCATTCCTACATTTCTAAAAGGCAGTACCACAGTTTGACTAATCCGCTTACCTCAATTCTCACCACACGTATGGCCGGATTCCTCCAAGAAACAAATTTGGCGGACGGAGTAATCCCGCCCATGATAGATCATGGTCCGAGCTTTCGGCGCTGGCCCGCGACCCCGCGCCTCGGAGGTCGGAGGCGTGGTTGAGAACTCCGACAGGGACCTGAATGTACCCTGGACTTGTGAACAGCCTTATATGTAGGTAATTAGCCTTCAGACGAGCTGTGAATATTGAGCGTTCTTCTATGCGAAAAGTTCTTGTGGTAAGCTTTTCAGTTGAGGGCATTAGATACATCCTTCATCAATAAAATGTCCGCCCGCGCTCTCGAAGCTCTTCGCAAGTTCACTTCCTGTGACGTAAGTGCCTCTCAGCCCGAGGTTCTCAAACGGCCGGTCATGGCTATCCAATACCACAGCTCCATGAAAATGAAATTAAAACACAATTACTGACGTCGGAAGCAGATTGGAGATGCTCTCGTTAAGCTCAAATACCCCCAGGGCGGCTTTTTGGATGGTATCCGCATGTTCTCGCCGGGCGCGTCAAGACGTGTCTTCGGCCCCGCAGTGACGGTCGAGATGGTGGAGATGAGCAACACCGCGGCACCCAAACTGGACAAGCACTTTGTAGACCACAACCAGGAGGGCGGCATCATGTACGTCCAGCAACCCAAAGGCTTGCCTTCGGCGTGCTGGGGCGGGCTGATGTCCACTCGGGCAAAGTACCTCGGTGCGGAGGCTGTGGTTGTTGATGGTCGTATGCGAGACGTTGGAGAACATAATGAGATGGGCTTCCCCGTAAGTCATCTGTGACATGAAATAAGAGAATGAGAAGCTGCAGGGTATCTGGGGATATATTTGTACCACAGGCTGACGATTTTGGCTAGGTGTTCGCGCAAGGTACTTCGATCCTCGGATCTAACACTTTCACCCGTGCTTCGAGGGTCAACGTGCCGCTCCAATTCAAGGGGGACCTCTGGATCAACCCTGGCGACATCCTCGTGGGTGATGCCGACGGCGTTGTTGTCACCCCGGTTTCTCTGGTAGACAAAGTGGTTTCTCTATGCCAGGAAAGGGCTGAAGTTGATGAGAAGATGTTCTTGGAATTGAAGAAGGGAGCTGCTATGGGAGACCTCATCAAGAGTGTGAGGAAAGACAAATGATTACCACCAGACCAAATAGATTCCGTCCACCTATTCAAAGTGCAGCTAGGGGTTTGACGTTGCTTTTGAGTCATTTGAGATGCACTTAATACCAATAGGATGGCGGCCGAGCGATAGCTTGGATGCTGGTCATCTCGAATGTACCCGTTTGTTTGCGAGGTATTAGTGCTTATACTGTCTTCATCTTTGATATGGTCATTCTAATTCTCATCACCCGAATATGCGGCTTGGATTCTGGACCATGAGCAGATCCCACTCTTCATCCGAAAGCCATGACCTCAAGCTCTTGAGCCATGCCACATCATCAACCTCAAGATAAGGCGTCTCCCTCATCGCCGCCTCGTGCGTCCGGACTTTCATCCGCGGCGTATGCGGCCAATCGCTGCCCCACAACACCCGGTGTTTGTTGGCATCGACAAAAGCACGTACTAGGAATTCGATTTCCGAGTATCCGGGGCTCTCATTACTGATGCGGTAAGGAGCGCTGAGCTTCACCCACAGATGGCCGTCCCTTACCAGCCTCATCACGGCGTCGAATCCCGGCTGCTTCGTTGGATCTTCGCGATGTCCCTTAGAAAGGAGACTCGGCGCCTTTAGCAGGGCAAAGTGATCCGTGACCAAATTGACGCCCTGCGAGACTATGACGTCTCGGACAAAGGGCTCCAATGTGGTCCAGAATTCGGGACGGGTCGTCGTCATCGTCAAGCTCCAGGGAAGCGACAGATCCGTTATCCTCTTCAGATGTGCACGCAGGACATCTTTCTGCAGCTCAACATCTTCCATGGCATTATACTGGTACAGGTTCACGCGAAGGCCGCGGACACCCGCTTTGTGCATCGCAAGTAACTCATCGTCGGCCGTTTTTTCAGTGTCAATGACGGCAATGGCGCGGGTCTTCTGGCCCCCGAGCTGGGAAACGAATGCCTTAAGAGACGTGCAGTCATCCCCGTAGGATAGTCCATGGGTGAGGACAGATCTCGTGATACCCAAACTTCTTTTGAACTGTTCAAATGCGGTGACCGTCGCTGGCGGCGGAGTCAGATGTCTGTTTGGGCTGTAAGGGAAAGACTCGGCTAAACGAAGGAAATACTAGGGTTAGCGGGTTTCTTGTTGATAATCTGGTCGCAGAAGCATCCCGAACAAGAAGTAAACCTACGTTCAAAAATATGGTGGTGAGTATCCCACCCCCCCCGTGGAAACAGGGCGATTGTTCTTTTCTCGGTCGGAGTAGCAGAAGGAGCCATCGCGAACTGTATCTGTAAACGTGAAAATATCTGTAGTGACTAGCAAAATCCAATACAAGCATGGCTTCAATTAAGCGGCGTCGAGGGCCCTCCGAGCAAACCACGCCATGATTGATATAGCATACATCTTTACTCGGTCTCTGTCAAGCATTGGTCACAGCAGCACGGATGATGCCACCTTAGTGTAGACAAAGCAAGCTCTCGCATCCTCTCAGCTCAGCGTTCACGCGACAGCATCATCAACTGCCTGCAGGTGGGTAACTGGAGAAGTTGCATCAGAGGAGCTACCCGGCTGAGAAATATCCCGGTTTCCGGATTGCTCCGTATGTCGATGCGCGGGCGGCTGAACGACAGCACGACAGGTAACCGAGGGAGACAGAGCTGCGCCACAGGGAACTGGTCAGGGCGTCTCCGTGGAACGCGTGGAAACCGTGGACTCCACGCGATGCGTGGGAAGCTCCCCTTCCCCTCTTCTCCCTTTGCTTGCTGCTCCTACGCCACGGTCGGGGGTTGGAGCCCAAGCTCTGGATATTTGCATGTCAATTCATCCGCTCAAACGTACGTTAAAATAGCCACATGGGGATCCCGGTGGCCTGTAAAGAGCAAATTGGGGCTAATCCGAGCTGCACCTAAACTCTACGCGGAACTTCAGCGGTCTACGGATAGTCTTCCGTACCGGTAGTACGCATAACGAACGCAACATATACGCTCGTCGTCTTCAATCAATCAATAGTCCCTATCAGCGAGGTTAACATGCTCGCCGGTGATGATGGAAGACGAATGGCTTGCTGATTCATTCATCATGGTGCACAAGAAGAGGACCACTGGTACATAGTCTTGACCTACACATCTACTTGAACTGACGATAAGCCACGCCTTTTACACCTCCGACCCCTTCTCATTCGGCAGAGGTTACGGAGTACGTCAAGCTCACTTACACTCAGCGGAGCTCTCATTCCCGCTGCTACGAGTCAGATCAAGTCATATACCTCGCAGGCCAAACAAAGCCAAGTGAGCACCCGACCGAGTACATCGAAACCCGTAAACAGGGCATATTTTGAGTTCGTCCGACCCCTTCGCTGGGAAATTTCGTCTCAGCCATCCGCACAAATCAAATCAGGCGGCCCTATGATGCTGTAGCCTGTACGTTCATGGCCTGTGCGTTCGTTCTTCGTCTCAAATGTATGAAGCTCGAGGCCGGAGGCGATTTATGAAATGTAATACCGCGAGGAGCAAATTGCCGAAGTGGACCGCAAAATGAGGACGATCACGGCGTTCACCGTCGGAGGTCGCGGAGAGTAGCATGGTTACTTAGTCCTAGCGAGAAGCCTGAACATCGAAACCACATACGTCTACCTGGGATACCTGGGCTGGCAGTGCGGTGACGGTTGATGTTTTCGTACACGTTTGCGATTCGGAGGTGTAGTGCACGGAGGGTCTGCGGTCCGCGTGCTCCCCGTCGCCCCGAATCGTATTCTGTACTCCGTACGTGCTGGTTTGCTCCACCATCTGCCGTACCCTACTGAACGTTATTCGGCCGAGTAGGTCAAACTGTAGGCTCTCTTGGGCTAGGGTAATAGAGCCTATTCAAGCATGAATATTGTGGGTAACTCCAAGTGACATCGGGTTTGCGGACCAAAATCTATCTGATCTCCGACTACCTACCTAGCAATCCACTCGTCATTCAGACTTTGCAGTAGTGGGACTCTAGCTGTATAATATTGTGTTATTGAAAGGGCCACTCCTCGAATGGCTTTAACGAGAATACCAGCTGGGGTCTAACAAGGTTCAGCTTGTCAGGCAGAGCATATTACGAATGCTCTCGGCGAAAGAGCGACGGCGTCCAGACTCAAGTGTCCGCCAGCCCAGATTAGACTCAGCAAAGTGCCCGACGCCAAAGTATGGAGTACATGTACCAAGCCAGGTCTGCTAATTGTGCACTAAACCGAAATCTCCACATACTACCGAGGTCTTCCACGAAAACCAGGATGCTGTACGGTGTACCGGTCGCTTAGACCTTTCCCAGGTGTCCCAAATGCATTGACAAGAGACATCTATTGCCAAGGTGTGATCTGGGGGCTCCCTGATATGCTCCTCGTAGCTCTGTACATGGTCTTTAAAGAGGCTCGAACGTTATGTGGCAGTCTTTCTAGCTCGACCGAAAGCCCCATTACGATTCTAGTTGATTCCCCCCCGGAATTTCTGGTGAATGTTTCCCACAGGTGATGTGCGTCTATCCCAAAAAAGGAGCCCAAGCCACACTGCGCCAGGGAATAGGTAAGAGGGTGGAGAGTGACGTGACAAGCCCCTAACAACGCCAGTCCTCCCGGGATCCAAAATATGTACTTGGTACCTAACGTAAGTGCTAGCTTGTTAGCTACCTACCTGGCCTTCGTTAGGAGCTGCCCCGGGCTATGCCTTTTTTCATTCATTTCTTCGTCAATTCCAACCTGGCCACTCACCTCCACACCGTGGGATACAACCTTCAAAGAACGAGCGAAAACCAGCAACTTCACATTCAGAGATGGCTACACGGGCAAACCCGCCTAAGAAGGTCCGGCTTGCCTGTCGTCGTTGTCGCACAAGACGAATCAAGGTGAGACTCCTTCTCATTATCCCCGTGTTGCCTTGTGGCTCAGCTCAAATCCCTCGCTGGGGTTTGGTGTTACTAGCCTGGGCGTTGACTGGGACCATCGCCGCGTTACTCCGGTTCAAGTTGTTCGGGTTGCTCACTCTCAACTTCCCAGTGCGACGGAGAAGTCCCTGCTTGCACGAATTGCGCCAAAGCCGGCGAAACTTGCCTGGATGTTGATAGTCAGAACTCGCGCTTGTTAGTTCCTCGCAAGTAAGTGTGAATGCGATAGATGTTATGGCCCCTACTGCTTCCTCATTGGTTCCCTTGTGAGCCCTCCATACTGTAGTCTCAGCTGCCCTGCAACGTACTCAGAGAGGATCCGAAGAGGCCATCACTGATGATCCTTATCCGCGTATAGCTTCGCGAGTGCGGCACGTGCTAGAATTCAATGGCTAGAGGAGATAATCAAACGGCGATTACCTGATGTCGATATAGCAAGCGGTCCGCAAATAGACGCCTTCCCGGACCCGAAAGGATCGGCTGTCGTCGGAGGTGGGGACCACGACGAGGATAACATCTCGACATCGTCTCCCCGATCCGGACGCGGATGTAGTCAACCGGTGCCGGTGGGAGGAACTACGAGTCTGGGGTCGCAGCGAATAGGCGGCTTGAAGCGTACCGCGGAGGCCGCGGGATCCAACGAACACGACGAAGAGTTCCCGGATCGCGCACACTCGGTCGCAAGGAATTTGGGGATGCTGTCTCTGAACTCGGATTCGGATCAAAAGCACTACTTGGGATCAAGTTCCGGTGTTCTTTTCACAAATCTCATTGGGGCGTCTCCCTCAAGTGCGGGCTCAACACCGGCTGCTTTGATGGACGACGTCCAGGCTCAGGGACCAACATCTGAATGGCACGACGCATCCACAACAAGCAACGTGTCACAAGAGTACAATCGTGCCTTACACGTATGCCTGCGACAGGTCCGTATGCATTTGATTCCTTCTCTGGAGACTGTAGACTTTGCTCTTGCTATGGCAAAAAAGCTAACGCCCCGGCGATGCGCAGGACCTTCCAAGGAAAGAAGATGCCATCAAGCTTGTACACACTTACATCCGCTGGATGCATCCCGACTATCCAGTCTTGGAACCAACGTCTTTACTTAGTGCTCTCGATGCGCTCTACGCAACTTTCGAGTGCTTGCTGGACGATGACCCCTTGCCAAATGGCTGGCCAAGTTCCGTTCAAGCATTCAGGTGGAATGGGCGACAGATCATCCCGAGCGATCAAGGCATTCAAGCTGTGTCTATGCCCGTTGTTGCTTTCACTCTCTTCATGGTCTTCAATATCGCGGCCATTGTGAAAGTCAGATCGCGGATCTACGATTTCCCCCCTGAAAGATTCTATCGTGCCGCTCTACACTTCTCAAAGGATTGTTTCTCGCAGATATCTTTGTCGTCGATACAGGCGTTGGTGACTCTGATAGTACACAGCATTTTGACTCCTGCGGAGGTCAATCTCTTCACGCTCATCCATATTGCATTGGCGCATTGCGTAGAACTTGGGATTCACAGGGAGCCACCGACAGCCATAGAGCCGACTGATTTCGAGAATCAGCAAATTAATAGGTTAACTTTCTTCACCATCTACTCTTTAGATAGGCAAGTTTCGAATGATCCTATGGTCATTGCAGTAACAGTGTACTGACGATAATAGATCCATATCATCCATCCAGGGCCGGCCGCTTGGCTTCCGCGATGAAACATTCGACATCATGTTGCCCGACCCTCAATCGTCACGAACGGGCAATACGAACAACCTCAGTTCAGTTCCATTATCCTTCTCGGAGGCTGTTCTGAGGTATGCACGGCATCAATTCGAACTTGATAGACTGGTTTCCGACGTCAAACAACAACTCTACCACCTTCCCTGCGACTCTTCCTGGTTCCCAGTGCTGCGGAATCCAACTGACCAACAAGGAAGAATTAAACGAGAGCTCGCAAACTGGTGGCGAAGAGTGTCAGAAGAAGCTTTTGACTTCCCGGGTGTTGACAATCGGCAGCGTCGCATCTGGAAGTTGAAGCTAAAGATTAAATATCACACCACAATGGTGATGCTCTACCAGCCTTCACAAGTTTTTCGAAGCCCTCCTCCCGAGTCTCTCCAGATCTGCTTCAACAGTGCTTCGTCAATTTTGCAGGACTATCAAGCATTGCACGACATGCAAGGTCTTCATCATGGATGGCGAACGGTCCAGAACATCTTCGCCGCCGGGGCGACACTAATATACTCTTTCTGGACATGCCCCGTCGTTCGCCAGAGCGCGTCCACGGCAGACCTTTCAAGAAGCCTACGCGCTTGCTCAGGTCTCTTGACAGTTGGTGGGGAGTGGTGGCCGTCCGTCAAGAAGGGGCAGAGAAGTTTCGGGGCCATTGTCGACCTTACAGTCCGCAAGCTCTACACCGGCAACATGCCATCAAAGAACCCCCGGCTTTTCGTGCCTCTCAGCGCCGATGACGGAGAGACTACGCTCGAGCACTCAGAAGGAGCGCCTATCTATGACGCAACCGGTCAGCAGGCTGACCTTTCACACATAACGCTCAACGGAGCGGACGCATCATGGCACCAGATGTCGGGAGCCTCCGTGGAGATGCCAAACTCCCATGACCCGGTGCATTGGCAAGGAGTCTACCCCGATCCTACGTTCCATTCAAGCACCAATGATTATGTGCCGGAGATTGAGACTTTCCTTGCCGATTTTGACAAGTCCGAATTCAGCTGGAGCATTCCTCTAGCCGGCATTAGCGATCCCTACGAAATGGCGAACTTCCCAAACCCGGGCTACTGATGACACAGCTACCCGTCAGCGCCATCTTGGGTCAGTTCATTTGGGAGTATTCCGCTTGCTTGAATGCACCTTTGGTTGCGCTGCAAAAGCAGCTCATACCGGATAGCTCCGGGTGTTGAGCTTGGATTTTGTGTAAGACGGAGCAGTCCGCCTTTAGATCCTGGTCAGCCCCGGGACTACTCCGTGTCTACCCCAATTTGGGAGCTTTACACGGAGCCACCCAGGCCTCTCGACCGTTCCACCTTGGAGTAGAAGCTGTCGAGAATTGTTCATACCATCACAATTCCTTTCATCAGTTTGGTATCACAGAAGGAGAACGATGAAAAAGATGCTGAGCCCTTGGATGGCACCTGGACAGGTCTTGCGGTGCAGCACCCGCAGTCATGTCACTAGCATTATTGAAGGAAGCTAGATCCAAAGGAAGCATTACACTCAAACAAGCCTTGCCCGCAACATGGAGAAGACTGTTTGCTGCTCCATCAGGATCTGGGACAGTTCCGTTGAGCCCCTTGGAGTCGGTAAGTCTCTCGCCAATTCCTGTGAAGACAATGCGTTGATTTCTGACCAGGCTCTAGTACAACATATTAGATTATGGATCACGACTACAAGCCCTTAGTAACGTTCGAAAGTCCAGCAAACGACCTCTGACGCTCTCCGAAAAGATTCTATACAGCCACCTAGTCCCCAGCGAAGATGGGTGGTCGCTCGGCGAGATACACCGAGGCAAGACGATACTACGCCTGCGACCAGATCGAGTAGCATGCCACGATGCCACAGCAACAATGGCGTTGCTCCAGTTCATCAGCGCCGGTCTTCCACGCGTCAGAGTTCCGACATCCGTACACAGCGACCACCTAGTTGTCGCCGAGAAAGGTGACCAAGAAGATCTCGCTCGCGCCACCCGCGATCACGAAGAGGTGTACGCCTTTCTAAGCAGCGCGACGAAGAAATACGGAATCGGATATTGGAAGCCTGGGGCGGGGATCATCCACACAACCATCTTTGAACACTACGCCTTTCCAGGCGGCCTGATGATTGGAACGGACTCGCATACACCCAACGCTGGAGGAATGGGCATGCTAGGCATTGGTGTCGGCGGTGCTGATGCTGTCGATGCAATGTCCGGTATGCCGTGGGAGCTTGTCTGTCCCAAAGTCTGTGGCGTGCGTCTGACTGGCAAACTCCAGGGATGGAGCTCGTCAAAGGACATAATCTGCAAGCTAGCGGGTATTCTCACTGTCTCTGGGGGCAAGGGTAAAGTCATTGAGTTCTTCGGGCCAGGCACCACCACACTGGGAGCTACGGCAATGGCTACGGTGTGCAACATGTCTGCCGAAATTGGATCAACATCTTGTGTGTTCCCTTACTCGGAAGCAATGCCACGATACCTTTCAGCAACCAAACGCAAAGACATCGCCGACTATGCCGATACTTTCAAGCAACCTCTCTTGGTTGGAGATGAGGGTTGCGACCGCTACTACGACGAAATCATCGAGATCGACCTGTCTACTCTCGAACCTCACATTAATGGCCCCTTCACCCCAGATCTAGCACACCCACTATCACAGTTCAAGCAGCACGTCACCGAGAGCTCATGGCCGTCAGATATTGCTTGCAGCCTTGTCGGAAGTTGCACCAACAGCTCATACGAAGACCTAGAAAAGGTTCGCCATGTCGTCCTTCAGGCCAGGGAAGCTGGGCTGAAGAGGACGAAAACTCGATTTCTAGTTAGCCCAGGAAGCGAGCAAATCCGTGCAACGGCAGAAGAGGAAGGGATTCTTGACACGCTTAGACAAGCTGGGGCTACTGTCTTGAGTAACTCCTGTGGTCCCTGCGTCGGCCAATGGGATCGGAAAGACGTCGATGTTAAGGGCTCTGAGGAGAACTCAATCATTTCCAGCTTCAATCGCAACTTCACAGGTCGCCACGACAGTAATCCGGCAACTCATTCCTTCGTGACATCACCCGAACTCGCTACGGCGTTTGCATTCGCTGGTAATCTCACCTTCAACCCCATGACCGACGACATCCCCGTACCCAGTATGTCTGGGGCCCCCAAGAATTTCCGCTTCTCACCACCTCAAGCCCCCGAGCTTCCGGCCCTTTTCTCTCCCGGTGCCGACCGTTTCCAACCTCCGGTTCTAGCGGACACATCGGAGCTGACTGTCAACATCCTTTCAACTAGCGATAGGCTCCAGCTTTTAACGCCATTTGAGGGATGGCACCTTGGCAAAGCGCGGGACATGAGCATCCTTATCAAGGTCCGCGGCAAGTGTACGACAGATCACATCTCTCCCGCTGGTCCTTGGTACAAGTATCGCGGTCATCTAGAGAACATCAGTAACAACATGCTCCTCGGTGCCACCAACGCCTTCCTGCCGGACGCCAGCTCATTGAACATGACTGGGAAAGCCACGGACCAGGTCGATGGCCGGATCAAACCCGTGCCCCAAGCCGCGAGGAATATGAAGAGCGCGGGCATCAGATGGTGTATTATCGGGGACGATAACTACGGTGAAGGAAGCTCGCGAGAACATGCTGCCCTGGAGCCGCGATACCTGGGTGGTGTTGCCATTATTGCCAAAAGCTTCGCAAGAATCCACGAGACAAACTTGAAGAAGCAGGGAATGTTGCCGCTTACGTTTGTTGATCCCGCTAGCTATGATAAAATCAAGAGAGGAGACCATATCACCCTTGTAGACGTCGAAGATGGTGATTTACAGCCCGGGAAGCAGGTTATTATGGAGGTTGTTACCTCACACGGTAACAGATGGAGGGCCAAGCTGAATCATACCTTCGAGATCAATCAGATTGAATGGCTGCGGGCGGGAAGTGCGCTCAACCATATTAAACGTGTTACACTTCACGGCGAGGCATGATACGTTGTCGGCGTTAGGAAATGAGGATCTAGAGGGCAGAGGATGAGATGTTATTTTGGATCTTGATATAGATAGCGTCCTCTTTGACATCATAAATCCCAAAGTTACCTTCATACAAGCCTGGACGTGTGCCGTATTTATCTTCAAAATCACTCTTGACCTCCCAACATCATGATGATTTAAGATCTTATTGGAATACTAGCAGTCTAGTTTGAGGCATATCTCATTTCGTCTCAGGTACCAGTATGTATTACGTTCAATGAAATGTTGTTATTGGAAGAGCGAACGACGCGCAGAGTCCGAAGTTATGCCGAGACCGGTCAGTTGTGGGAGCAGATCACGACACTCGAGATCATCATAGGTCTATAATTTCCCACCTCTCCGGGATCAATCTTGCGGATCCCCGACACCGACGCCTGGTCAGACACCGCGTCGAAATGGGACGAATGTTCGCGACTCCTAGGGTCAAGCCACAACTCGTGGCAAGATGGCCTGATCTGGAAGCAAGCTGTTTAGCATATGTGAGCATCTAGGGTCAGGATATGGCCTGGCCGAGCCGAACACCCAATCTCACGGAGTAGTCCTGAAAGTGATACCGGGCTTCTCCATTCTCACGGTCTTCTCCGTTTATCCACGGACTACTCCATGATGTAGGAATTGAAGGTTTTAGATTATTCGGAGATGACCTTTACCATTACCAGCAGTGGCTGGAACAGCCCGAGATACGGAGAAACCCACCATCAACATTGCAGTCTCTCTATCTCTTTTGGCATGCAAGAAAGATGAATTTGTCGATTGCGGGTCTAGCTATTGGCCGAACCCTAGCACGATGAAGATCAACAGCTTGTGCGTGCGATTATCCCACCCTACGACTTGTTACATACACTATACCAGTGGAACAAAACCTGGGGTTGGATAGAAGTTTTGCGGGGTAATTCTGGGGTTTCCGTCTTGCTGCTTGGCAATCGAGACAGACAGCCATTTGTGTCTAGGGTGTTTCTGATAAACCGTGCTGATACTCGGAAAGACATAACTTGCAACAATTCGTCACTAAATGGCAAGCTGGAGTATTTCAACCTGTGTGCTCTCTTTATCATCTCAGTACATGAGTATTGATAATTGTTGAGCTTGAAGATAATTCTCTATAATTCTTTTGGTCAAGTCGAAATTCTCTTCCCTTTCCGAGAATCCTATAACTTAAGAGCACAAGCCTCCACATCAATGACGATGGCCATTGACCACTCAAGGGAGAAGAGCGACACGATGCAGGCCAGCTCTGATCATATCGATAATTCACAAGCAGTCCGAAAGAAGGACATTTTCTCTGAGAACGACGTCAGTAACAGCGACTTCGCAATGTCCGAAGAGGAGTTCGTTGCTCACGAGAAGAGCCTGGTGAAGAAACTCGATTATACACTCGTTCCCATGGTAAGTCATTGGACAACAGTAGCTCGAGATTCAATACAAACAATGACAATCTCTAGGTCTGGCTCTTGTATCTTTTTAACTATCTCGATAGAAACAACATTGCGTAAGCTCCAAGTTCCCACCAACCAAATTCACACGACGTCAGTGAACCTCTAACCTTGAATATCTCCGACCAGTCAAGCCCGATTGAGCTCATTTGAGAAGGATCTTAGTCTCACTGGAAACCAGTTTAATGTTGCTGTTTCCGTCCTTAACATTGGCTATATGTTGATGCAGCTTCCCAGGTAGGAAAGTCACATCTGGTTTACTGTCAATGCACGAACGGTATATATACTAACATCTATCAAGTAATATGCTCATAACTCGTACTCGGCCCGGTATTTACATCCCTGCTTGTACAGCCCTGTGGTCGATCGTCTCAGCCGCCACTGCTGGGGCCAGCAACTATACCCACCTCCTCGTCATCCGCTTCTTTCTCGGCATCGCGGAAGCCCCATTCTTCCCTGGAGCCATGTATCTTCTATCTTGTTGGTATCCACGAAAGGAACTAGCATTGCGCACTGCTGTTTTATACTCTGGTGTCCTTCTCGCCACAGCATTCTCTGGGCTCATTGCTGCCGGCGTGCTCTCGGGCCTAGAGGGGGCAAGGGGCATTGCCGGTTGGCAGTGGCTGTTCATCATCGAAGGAGCGGGCAGTTTTACGGCAGCGCTTTTGGCATTTGTGCTACTTCCGGACTTTCCGGGACGAAAGTCAGGTGTTTCCAAGTGGTTGCTCACAGACTCTGAGCAAAGGGTCGCTATTGAGCGCATCCGAAGAGATCGAGTTTCTGTGCCAGAGGCAGACACAAGTGTTCGGAACGGGCTGAAACTTGCAGTGAAAGACCCCCGTACTTGGGTGTTCGTGAGTGATACTAAATGTTGGACTCTTGGGATGACGATTCATCTACTGACATTAGCGTAAAATAGGTGGTTATGTTAACAGCGAATCACTCAGCCTACGGTTTCAACAACTTCTTCCCCACCATCGTCAAGGGCTTCAAGCTTGGAAGCAATACCTTGACCCTCATTCTGACGGCGCCGCCGTACCTTCTTGCCACTCTCGTAGCATTCACAACAGCCTGGTCTTCCGATCGTCATAAAGAGCGCGGATTCCATATTTCCGTGCCGCAAGGCGTCGCATGCGTTGGGTTCATCATCTCAGTCTCAACGATCAACATAGTCGCTCGTTATTTTGCCGCATTTCTTTATATCTGTGGGTGAGTTAAGCGGCGATCATGTTCAAAGGAGGCCATATTGAGCTGATGCATTGGATACAGATGCTTTTCTTCCAACGCCATGGTCTTCTCGTGGGCTAGCTCCACGCTGAACCAGACTCCAGAAAAGAGGGCTTGTGCAACAGCCATCATCAATCTCCTTAGCCAATTAGGCAACATCTGGAGTCCCTACTTTTTCCCTTCAAATGATGGGCCTCGATATGTCATGGCTAACCTGCTGATGATGGCTTCGTCAGCCGTAAGCATTGTCACATGCGTAACCATGAAGATCATGCTTACTAGAGCAAACCATAAGCTCAAGGGAGAGGGCAGAGATACAAGCCTCTTCACTTTGTAACCACTTTATCCATTCAGTTGTGGACAGTATTCTAGAGTAGTATCCGGAACCAAATAAGAACACGAGAAAGTGATTCTCGGTGCCTCGACGTTCAAGGCCCCTGGCATGGGATATTGAAGTTGGTGGTGAGATGCACTGAAAGACTGGATGTCCGGGTTTCCAATTTGGTTTCGCCAACAAACAGAATGCCAAATAAATGATCTCGTCGACGGAGTGAACATCCAAGACCAACCAAGTCTGGTAAAGTAGGTTTCATCATGCTTCAAATCCAAACACGATCACACACCGCTAACAGGGGATAGGAAACCTTAAGAAGAGGTGATGAACTTTAACTGAACACTGCCACAGGGTGAGGGATCGAAAAATGCAGGAGGAGGATGACGAAGTCCGCTGGCCGATGGGCATATGAATCCATAAGAGAAGGTGTTTATTTCCGTAGCCGAGCTTTGCTTGTCTTCAAAGTTTGCTTTGCGATTAGGCCGCGCTTTTCATAGGATCTATCTTACTTGTGCTCCCATTAGTGGAATGACATCAGCGTCTCTGCGGCGATCCCCTGATTTAAAACACGATTTTAATAATTCGGCATTACTGTGCATCAACGCCCTGAACTGGTACGAATATAGGTAGTATCTGTACCTGGCATAGTTCAAGGCCTTAGTTTATGATAAATTCACGTCGCGATTGTTCATGACCTTGATTTAGTCCATGCCCGCGCCGCCAGATGCGTGCTACACATGGGCTTCGACGGCGGAGACGTTCTACTTGAAGTCCGTGTCACATCCGATTGAACCTTAATAAGTCTCAACCATCCAGTAACGATTATGTTAAATTAATTCATCTACTCCTCTCGAATCTCCGCTTCCGCATTCTGTCCCTTTTCTTCTGGAAGTATCTGACCACATCATCATGGGAGGAGAGAAAAAGCCCTTCGAAATCGCCATCATTGGAGGAGGCATAGCAGGAGTGATCCTCGCGATATCGCTCGCCAAGCGCAACGTACCTTGTGTCATTTATGAGAAGGCTCATGCCTATACCGAACTTGGAGTCGGGCTAGGAGTTTCGCCCAATGCTCTCAGGGCGATGACAACTTGCGATCCGGTGGTTCGCGAAGCTCTCGAAACCGTGGCCGAACCTCCTTTCCAGTGGGAGATACTTGATGGCACAGATGAAGCAAACGAGAAAGCCGTTCTTTTCACACTTGGGAACACTACCAGAGGGTTAAGAGGTTGTCACCGGGGTCAGTTCTTGACGCAATTGCTCGAGCACGTACCTGAAGATAAAATACATTACAGTAAACAGCTGGATCATATTGAGGAGCCCAAGGAAGCGGGCACAAGGCTTCGAATGGTCTTTCAAGACGGCTCAGTCGCCGAGGCCGACGGTGTCATCGCATGTGATGGCATCAAATCGCATACGAGAGGTATCGTTATAGGGCACGATCATCCGGCTGCAAAGTGTACTTATACCTACAAGTACACCTACCGCGGTTTGATACCAATGAACAATGCCGTGGATATCCTAGGTCCAGAGAGAGCAAGTAAGTCTGGGTTATGGGTTAGTCAGTCCTTCAGTCACTCTTTATACAGTCTGTCGAAAAAGCGCAATCTGACGATAGATCAGGTCTGCAATGATGCACACATAGTCACCTATCCTGTCGCTCATGGCACGATGCTGAACTTGGTCGCCCACACTTCTACCACTCAGGAGTGGCCAAGCGATACCCAGTTCACGCTGTCTGCTACAGTAGATGACTGCATCAAAGACCTCAAAGCCTTTAGTCCACGAATGCAGAAGGCCATTCAACTGCTCAAAGTGCTCGATAGGGTATGTCTGTCATAAACACATCTTCACCTACATATGCGATGAGTTAACATCCTTTCCAGTGGGCTCTGTTCGATCTAGGTGATCACCCGGTCCCTACATTCGCCAAGGGCCGCATCTGCCTTCTTGGCGATGCAGCACATGCATCTACGCCGCATCAAGGTGCTGGAGCGGGAATATGCATTGAAGACGCAGCAGTTATGGCATCACTTTTGGCTGACGAAAAGGTACGAGACAGCGCTGGCGTTGAGGCTGCTTTTGCTGCATTCGACGCCAGCCGCCGAGAGCGAGGTCAGTGGCTGATTCGGGAGAGTCGGAGGGCAGGAGAACTGTACGATCTCCGAACGGAACATGGAAGAGACTTTGATAAGCTTCGGGAGGAAGTCTATTCGCAGGCTGAGGAGTTGTGGAACTTTGATCTGGAAGGGAACATCAGAGATGCATTGGAGGATATGGGACGTCGCCTCAATGCGAAATAGCGATGAGGCATCTGTTCCATCGACTCTTTTGGTTTCGTTTTGAGTCGTTCCCCGGATGTTTGGGGATTGAAGGTTTCCTGGCAGTGAACATCGGCAACCAAACCGGTAGTAACTAAAGCAAGTGGATAACTGAGAGAGTCGTCAATAAACATTACTCGAGTTCCGCGCACTGTTCAAGCAATGGAGCCACTCAGAATTGTATTCCAATGGTATGATGTCAGATGGGGCTTCAAATGTTACGTAAATGTGGGCTTGATAAAATTCTTTGCCCGGTCCTGTCGATAAGGGTAAAAATACTCCGATGTTTGCTTCTGAATACCTTCAGTCTTTTTGGATTTGGTGTATCGCTTATTACCAACCAACCTTCGGCTTCCAACGAAAATCTACCTCCCAAAAGAGATATCATGCCCGCAGACTTCGACAAACAAAGCTACTGGGGCGAGCGCTTCGCATCCGAGACTCACTTTGAATGGTTGACCTCTTCTGCGACCCTAATGTCGATCGTGGACCCATGTCTCACCAAATTGGACGACTTGGCGCGTATCCTGCAGCTGGGCTTCGGAACAAGCGACCTGCAGAACTATATCCGGGAAAGAGGATTCCAAGATATTACCAACGTCGACTTTGAGCCTCGGGCCATTGATCGCGGCCGGATGCTGGAAAAGCAAGTATTCGGTGACGTGAAAATGCGCTATCTCGTTGCAGATGCCACGCAGCTCCAGCTTACTGATAAGTACGATTTCATCATCGACAAAAGTACGGCGGATGCAATCTCTTGCGGAGGTGAAGAGCCATTGTTGAGAATGGCAAACGGGGTGAGACGACACTTGGCCGACGGGGGCTTCTGGATTTCGTTGAGTTATTCTTTCTGCCGATTCGATGTCGAGAACCTCCCCTTTGACGTGGACGTCATTGCGAAAATTCCTACTCCTAAATTGAAGGCTACCGACCCCGATGTCTACCATTGGTGTTACTTGTTGACACCAAAGACTTTGCAATGAAGGGCCAGTGTCATCAACTGTATTGCCTCGCTTTCAGAAGCACCGGGGACGAGGGTGCACCTTTATTCTCCATCATTAGATACCCAAACAAGATTGCATTTCAAAACACAAAAGACATCAGGAGAGAGCTGAATGTTTCAATATCTATGTTCCTCATTGAATCTATCTAATTTCATAGTCGCCATGTCTTTATAAAACTCCTCTATGCCAATGGCTTTCCCGGCTTGAAAGCAGGGTGAAAAGGATAGTCTGTATAACCTTGCGGAATGGAAGGCGTGTAAAATGTGTCGCGGTCGTACTTGTTCAATGGCAGGCTGTGCTTGATGCGGAATGGCAGGTCCGGGTTGGCCAGGAAATGACGGCCGAAGACGACGGCAACATCCCACTTAGCATACTCCTCATCGACAGCCTTCTGGGCCAGCTCAGGGGAAAATCCACCTGCGACAAGAACAGGCGAAACGTTGTTCCAAATCTCCAAGAGGAACTCAATGCCCTCGATCTTCTCAACATCCTCCCAGTTGTTGACGCGAGACTCAATGACGTGTAGATAGGCAAGCTTGAGCTCCTTTAACTTCTGCGCGAGATAAGAGAATTGAGGTACGGGGTCCTGCATCCTCATCGCCTGGAAAGTGCTGTAAGGGCTGATACGGAATCCGACCTTATCGCCGCCAATCGCTTCGACCAGCGCGGCAGCAACATCAACGGGAAATCTGGCCCGATTCTCGACACTTCCACCCCATTGATCCGTGCGCTGGTTGCAAGTATCTTGAAGGAACTGGTCAACAAGGTAGCCGTTCGCGCCGTGGACCTCGATGCCGTCAAAGCCAGCCGCAATCGCATTCTTCCCAGCCTGCGCAAAGTCCTTGATAGCAGCGGCAATCTCCTCAGCCGTCATCTCACGGGGGACGGGAGAATCGGGGCTAATCGGGACGGCGCTGGAACTTAGGAGAGGATGACCGCCCTCTTTCTCCAGGACGGGGACGACGGCAGCGCGACCGGGTGCGATAAGCTGGGCATAGATGTTGCTGCCCTTTTCGTGTACCGCATCCGTGATCCTCTTCCAACCAGCAATCTGGCGCTCGTTCCAGATGCCCGGCGCGTTGGGGAAGCCGCCGTGCTCCGGAGAGATAAGAACGGCCTCGGCGATGATGAGGGTGCCGGGAACGGCGGCGCGCTGGGTGTAGTACTCGAGGGCGATGTCGAGTGGGATATGGTCTGCGTCGAAGCGGAAACGCGTGAGGGGTGCCATCACCACACGGTGAGACAACTGGGCCTGGCCGACCTTCAACGGCTGGAAGAGCTTGGACGACATGATTTGGACTGAGGGCTTGTCAAGTCTTGGAGAAAAGGTTCCGAGTGTCAGATGAGACGATAGAGATGTGCGTGATAAAAATGACCACTGACTTGGTCTAAACGAGCTGTCAACTTCAAGAGGGCGCCCTGCCCCTCATAAGTAAGCACCTCCATTCCATCCTCACTGTCACTGTGGGTTCATAGAGATGGAGGTTAGCATCTGTTTGGTAGGTCGCAGTGTTCTGCCCCTTGGCGTAACGGCCCAGGACCAGGGGTTTGGGATGGAAGCCATCGGAGCATTTGCAAAAAGCGATTGGTGTTGGAGACATTGGAAAGAGCCTGACCAATGGCATCTCATGCTCGGCCGAGAAGACTCCAAGATCGGTTGGGGTCGAAACGGAGCCTGCCACGGATACGGAGTCCAAGATCATGCTTGCTTAGAAATGCCCAGCACTCCGTGGTGGATTATGTACTTGAACTCCACTTGGGCTGTGGCACGCTGTCGGTGCTACAGCACGGGGGGTTTAGAGGTCGTGCGATGGCTCAGTGTCTCGAAGTAAAGAGTCAAGAATAGCGGATCTTTTCCCTGCATTCAATGAAAAAGCACATAAATGCTGTACTAAAGATGTTTACATGCCAGAAGCACAAACTTAGGACTATACTAAGCCTCTTGATAGTGCAAAAAGTGATTCATAGTGACCGAAAGAGGTATGTAGGATGTAATATGGTGATGACTAGTCAAAAGTTAAACCTACTGATCTACGAATGTTCTATCATAACGCCTAATTCTTTGAGAGACTTATGAAGCCATAACTCCAACGCTATCGATGAATATGCTTGTTAATGTACTCCAACACATAACTCGCGACTGTTTCCCACCCTTCTTGAAAAATCAGTCCATGGCTCATTCCCTTGAACTGCTTGTATTTCACCGGCGCAGGTCCTTTGTATGCGTTGAACTCTTTCCTGACGGTTCTTGCCGTCAATATATGATCCTTCGAAGCTCCTATGAGCAATAAAGGGGCCCTGTCAGGCTTGTCGAATTCGACATAGTGGGGGGCAGCCTCTCCGGCTGTAACATTTGTCGCCAATTGCCAAAGGACCCGAGAATCCGCTGGAATGCAGTATCGCTCCCATAACTTCTTGCTTTCCTCAGCTGTAACGAGGTTGCCAAAGCAATAGTGAAAATGGCTTTCGGATATCGGTGTTGTAGCGTCAGAATGCAACGGGTGAGTGAAAATGGGCATCGCCGTCCTTATGGTGCTCGGTGAAATATAGATGATCCCCGCTGGCTGCGCGGGACACACAGCAACTCCAGCAACCCCAAGCCCTCGCGATAACAGTATCTGGGCGAACAAGCCACCGAACGAATGGCCGATAATGATGGGAGGTTCTGAAAGCTTCTTGATGTATGTCTCGTAGTGGTCCACAATGTCTTCTATTCGATGCAGGGATAACGGCTTCGGATTCTCACGGATCTCTTCATGCGTTCGGCCGTCTACCCCCGGCCAGCCCGGAGCGTGGACCTCAAACCCTCTTTTCTCGAAAAATGGAATCCAGTACTCCCATGAAAGAGGTGTCATCCACAGGCCGTGGATCAGCACAATCGGAGGCTTAAAGAAGTCCATAAAAGCTTGGCTGAACTGCCAAGAAGCATGTCTCTGTGATTCACGTTGATCTCATTCGGGGAGGTTACCGGGACTTTTATGAGTGATGCGCTTTGTGGCTGGCGCTGCTTCATGACGTCAAGACTGTTGTGGAACGCGTCGTTGACAAAAGCCACGTTTTTGACGGAACGCCAAGCGCCTGCCCCGTTATCCGAGGGTTTGGCGCAAACGGCTGCCGGCAAAAGTACCTCAGTCGAAGTTCTTCGATCATCCAAGGTATCTCGATCTGTTAATTGTGTCTCTGATGCATTCCACCCCGAGCTGATGGGACCGGACTTTTTCAACTGAGGCCGCTGACCCAACCAGGCCATTTAGTTATAATGCAAACTTCGAATCATAACCGCGATTACTTTCTAAGGTGACAGGAATTGCAAATGCAGATCTCGGAATCTGGGATTATCAAACGCTCAAATTCTAGTGAGAACTACCCTTTCGATACTTCGGCCCGTCAATGATGGGAAAGGTAGGACCATAGAGTTTCTGTCACAACGTCCGAACTAGTGCCGTCACATGGGATTTGGGCACCAACACAAACTCTTAATAGTGGTTCGCATCGGGAGATTTCCAACTCTATCGCTTAAGTACCTTGAGAAATAGCACACGTTCCATAAATTGCATGTTAAGGGGCAGTACCTACCTCACATCAGTCGATAATGGTTGCAGCTTCGGGTGATAAAGGGAAACGAGATCCAACACGTCTCGTGAAACTTAGCTTTATAATCCCCAACTTCAAGCAGTCGGCAATCAATCACCGGACTGAATATGCCGTGCAGCCTGCAAGCTGTGCTGCCACACGCTCCGTTAAGCTGATGCCCAGTTCCTAAAGCTTCATATAATGGAGCCTAATGGTGTCACTTATCGCGGCCCAAGACCACTGAGGAAGCCAGTTACAGTCAGGGTGAAGACTGTAGAAGTTGACTCTCGATCTTCTAGCCTACGGTCTCCTCTCTCCTCCATGCCTATAAGCGGACATCTGGCGGCAACGGCAGCGGTGTGCACCGGAATTATTAATCTACTGATTTCAAATCAAATGCGTGGAGTCAAAACTCCAATTCCAATTCGAATTAACTAAATTTGGAGTAACAAGAGTATGTGCCTGACGTCGAAGTATATGCCTTATAGAGGTATGAGCCTGGATGTGGATATGTGCCTGAGTCGAAGTTCACGATGTTTAGCCCCACTTTCAACTCAAGGACAGGAGTCCCTAAACCCATGGTCAAACGGACCTCAACTTGAAGCGTGCTTCAACTACTATGGTCTCTTGAAGACTAGTATGCAAGTCTGAATAGGAATTCTATCTTCTTGGGACACTTTAGTTGTCAAAAAAAGGCTATGGTCAGTCAAACAGGCATTCAAGCAAGATTGCTTACCGCCCGTCTTCTAATCACTGCCGGACAAGTAGATGTATCTACTTGCGCATCGCGCCCGGCCAAGCAAGCATACACCATAATCTGGCAGAAATTGAGAACGGTAAGAAATGTATCGCCTATATGTATTTCCTCGAGTAAGTAGGCGTAAATACCGTAGAATTAAACTTAGTTAACGCCGTGTTCCTTGTTCCCAGGCGCTTTTCACACTCAACGGAAAGTGCTAGTCGGCCGCAATCTTAGTCCACTCTTTTCGTACGCCATATCAATCATTTTCATCTGCTTGATCGAGTCCTCTCCGGTAACCCAGTAATGAGTCTCGCGCCCCTTGATCCGGTTGACAAACGCCTCTAGTTGGTACCGGAATGACGTCCACCAGAACTCGCCCAGATCCGGAAGCCCACGTGCGTCTTCGGCGTCTCGATACGTGTACGCTGTGTGAGAACTAGATTCCACCCATTTCTTAATTATCTGGCCGCTGGGCACGTTGCGAATTTTATACGAGTCCTTGACGTCAATTCGATGCCAAGCGACCGCGTGCATAAATCCATGAAGCGTGACCAACCGCGTCCGTGTCTTCTTCTGGGTATCTGGCAAAGTCTTGTCGGAGACTGCAACCTCCTTGTGCGTCACTCTAGCTTCAGAAGGCTTCCAGAAAGCGGGCCCCTTCACAGTGGTTGTAGCATCGCCTGTACCGTTGGGAAATCGAAACTTGGCCTTGAAAGTGTAGTCGCACTCATGGTCATCGTCGTCGACGAAGACTGCAGTATCGCATTCAAGGCACTCTTCGGGTTCTTGACCGAAGATCATGCGCATGACTGCAAAATTGTACGTTCCGAGCGCCATGATGCTACCGCCTCCAAGCTTGTAGTTAGAGTTGAGTTTGTCCGCCGTAGTAAACCAGGCCGGTGCCATGCTGTCAGTATGAACGTGGATAACGTCGGCAGGGGCGATAAAAGTCAGGAACTTATGCAGGGCGGGATGAAACTTGTTGTGCATGGCTTCCAGCAAAACCCTCGGGTTTGGGTGTGTCGGTGACAGTTCCGGCATGTTGAAAAGCATGTTTGCCTCAGTCGCGTTATCGACGGATGGCTTTTCGACTAAAACATGTTTACCAGCTCGTATGGCTCGCACAGACCATTCATAATGCAAGGCGTTGGGTAAGGGGACGAAGACAGCATCAATCTCAGGGTCATCGAGAATATCTTCAAGGCAGATTAGACTTATATGTTCCGTAGATTCTTGACATTGAATGCTTCAAGCTAGGCATACCCTGATATGTGTCCTTGACCTCAGGGATACCGTGTTTCTTGGCAAGGTCTTCGGCGCGAGAACGATCTCTGGCAGCGATTGCCTGAACGATGACTTCAGGGTGTGATAAAGCCGGGGTCAACAATGCCATGGATCTTGTGAAATCAAAGTTAACACCACGATTTCTGGTCACGGAATAGTCGCTGGCACTCACACAATCTTTGCAGCCCCCAAAACGCCAACTCTAATGGCGCCATCTGACTTATTTATCATAGGAGGATGGAATGCCTTGTAAAGACGGGTTGGTAGTAGAGCCATTGTAGCGACTTGGATTGAGTAAGTTGGCCAGCCGGTGTTGAAGCTACAGGATGGAGTAATTGGGAATGGGGAGGCCACGTTGGCAGAAGCTGTCTGCAGGATGTACTTATGATTAATCAATTACATCTGGTCTGCCTGAAATCTAGATTGCACCTCCGACTTCCGGCTGGAGACGGACAAAGTGCTTAGCGCTGTCAGCAATCTAAGGCCCCAAGGTTGCATCGTTAAAGCACTCAATCCTACCACGGCCAGCACCAACGCGACTGAGAAGAGATCGGCAGATTGTGTCCCATCAGCCTCTATGGATACATCGAATGATCCCGAAGAATTCGTCGCGTCTTCTCCACACTTGCTCTTCCGGGAGAGCTTTCAAGTAGACTGGTGCACGGAATATAAAGACAAAGCAACGCAGCTTTACGCAGCCAATGCGAGATTATCTTGCTGCATGTACGCCGCAATCCACCACCTAAAGACTATTGTTGACTTGGAGTGGTTTTTTTTCTTATTTCTGCAAAACCCTCTGCAAGTCCTACATCAGATGTTGCTAGGAGGAAATCCCTTGGACGATCCCGCTTTCTCATGCTACATCAATCATCCGGAACTTTTGAAGTGTGAGTAGCTAATTGAGACATCACAATTTGTCAACAAGATACTCGCGCTGCTTATATATATCATATAAGGACAATGCAATAACGGCTAGCCGAAGTCTTGTCCAATGTTCGATGAACCTTTAATTTGCCAAGTCGTGAAGTCAGACATCGTACTGTTCTCGGGATGGCTTCAAATGCAATAATATCACTTCTTCTTACTTGTTTCCTCGACTCGGGCCATGATAATTGGTTTCTCTGTCAAAGTTCTTTTGCTTGGGTTTAACGTCCGAAACCACATCTCAGTCTGAAGTCCGAACATGCGGATCACCCGAGAGCTTTTGATCTTAAGGCAAATACGCATGTTCAACTCATGCAGTCAGACGAAGCGGGTTTGAATTCAAACTGTAACCGCTCTATAATCAACTATAAACTATAGGAGATCCTACCAACCTGGTGATGAAACGTCTTGGTAATCAAGTCTGATACACGAGTACCAGAGTACCAAGAACAGAGACAACTTGCCTTCGTGCTAGTCCCAACTTCTTCTCTTTGAAAATAGGCATAAGTAGAATGTGAGTGACCATGGTGAACCTGTAGTCAATGCTGAGGAACCTTTCTGGATAGGCTCAGAACAACTTGAGTGTCTGCTCTGGGAGGAAGCGATCACTTGTCGCCAGGATGATTGACTCCTTGCGGAGTGGAACCGAACCGACGTTGGACAATCCATCGTCATCGCTTGTCGCTATTGATGGGTCTTCTTTCCTAGTACATACCAAAATATCTTTGATTTGTGGGATGATCACAGGTTCGACTTGGCACTCGCGCTGACTGATGGAGGTGGTCTACCTGGTACTGTGTTCAATGAGCTCCGAAGAAATCAGTCATCTACATGTACTCGAAGCCGAGTTGCTCAAGTCAGTCGAACATGAACAGTAGGTCGGACATCTCAGAACAGGCGCGTCCAGGGCTACGTACTGATTCATAGTCTTTGCTTTAGTGATAGCCTCTAGTTTTGATACCCGCAGGTCGGGAGATGAACGAGCAGAAATGTAACCGGACATCCGAAGCAAACTCCCTAGTGGGCTTAGAAATTTGAGTCGGCAAGTTGATCTAATGGTTGCAAGCTACCCCTCACTTTCATGGCGATGGCACCCAAAGTCCAGGCCCGTTGCAGATGATTGAAACAAATTCAATGGGACGAACGAATCGGATGGGTTGGAGATGAACCTTCTTTCCCCAGGTTTGGCTGCCAGACAGGTCAAGGTCCTTGCCGTGTCTTGGTCATCCAACAACATAAAGAGCCAGCTACCCCTCTTCTCCTCCCATCTCGCTCACATTGTTCTATATACAAAATAAAATCGACAACCATTCACTGCACTGGACCATTTGAGCGACTAACTAAAGTGCGTTGGATAATCATCTCGCACGACGACAATCATGGCACCTTCAGCGACAGAAAGGGCGCAAGCCAAGTTTTTTGCTGTCCTCGAGGATCCTCGACGTTATGACTCCTCAAGTCTGTGACCCTAGACCAGAAACTATCAAATCGCAGATCGAAGCTAACGCCGAGACTGAAGACTCCAAGAACAGGGTTATGATAACGCGAACACCGTCCAGCGGTTCCGACTTGACCAACAACATGACTGGTCGACGAGGCAGCGCGAGCAGTCAGGGTTCAGCCACCGACCAGCATCATCTTCGAAATAGACTCAAGAACTGGCTCTATCCCGGGGCAGTCTGACTCCAGTCGTCGACTTTTCGAAATGCTACATACAGGTCTCTTTACTTATCGGAGACGCCAGACTGGAAATTCGTCTCTTCTTGATCGTGGATTGAGGTTTCCATTTGATTTTCGGGTTTCGGGGATTACGGGGGCAGTGCGCGATATCTTGAATCTGATCTCGTTCAAGACTGTTTCGATACTTCTGGTATTTCGGAATGTAACCCTTCGTCTAATTACTAAAGAATAAGTACTTGTGAAATGAACATTGCTTGTCCTTTCGCGATCTTCAAAGTGAACTGTATTGATCACAGGCAGTGACTGATCACTTATGGGGTATGAATTAGGTCATGATGGTATATATGAGCGATGCCACCAATGCTAGGCACTATTAAGTGCCATTAGAAGCCGCAACGGCTTGCGAAGTTCTTTGTCGGGTAAATACTATCAAGAAAGATCTCAAGAATCTTACTGCCTGAGTACAAGGTAACCTGGGTGAACCCACGGCATGGATTTTTTCGTGATCGCCCATGGCGGAGTGGAGTCGAGAGCGTACCTTAGTGAGCCTTCATGTCTTAATGGGACCTGTGTTGAGGAGAATTTCGATTGCAGGAGCGGATCTCTTCCTTTAATTCAGCTGTGTCAACTACATTGAACTGTTCCCTAAGCCATGTATTTTTTAGCGCCCTTCAGAGACCCGTCGAGTCAATTCGATTTCGCTCACCATCAGAACCAGACTTCTTTCTCAGTCCAAAGTTGCCAAGCACCTTCGATAGAGAAGTATTCTCTAGCGGACAATCCAGATCTCGCATACGCCAAAGGAGTAGAAACACAAGTGCAATAGCAACCATTTCTCGTTGCGAGTCTCGGATTTCAGGTAGCAGGAGGACTCCTTCGCTATGGTCAACCGGATGGTGTGGATGACCTCCAGCATAGTGGTAGACTGCAATAACAGGTGGCTTCGTCTCCCCATCAGCATTCCTTTGATCAGTTTCCGTCAAGTAGTAGCAGAGACAGCCAGGATCTTGAGGTCGTAGCTGCCACTGCATTCCTGGATGGTCTTTCGACACCATGCTCAATGCTGGGTACTGCCGAAAGGTTGATAGGGATGGCTTGGATTTGTTCATCCGGGTAGGTTGAAAACGTGAAACGCGGACATTGAATCTGCCCAGACCAGATATTTCAAGGACGGACTCCTCCTGTTGTTCAGCGGGAAGAGTTCTAAAACCACTGGTCAGTTCGTTGTTGACATGGAAATCCGATGAATTGTCCAAGAATTTCCCTCACATTTTAATGGCAAAGCCTTCACCAAGTACCACGCTTCTTTGCTGGATTGTGACGAAACTCTGATCAGGGGCCACATCAATGAAGAATTCAACGTTAGAATCTGTTCCGTCGCCCTTAGGTCGGCGCATGAACATCATGTTGGTTTTGTACATGCCAGATCCCAAGGGGGCGTCCTTGACCGCCTCGTTGTAGGTGTTGCTGACTTCGTAGATTGGCAGGTGTGTCACTTTGCTGGTATGCTTCGGGAAAAAAAGCACACGAGAGAGACCTGCCCGCGAGAGTGGGAGCTCGTTTCCCCGAATTTTGGCTAGGATTTTGAAGGGAGTTCGGCCACAGCTGTACAAGACAGGCTTGTCCAAACTGTCGAGACTGTCTTTTCTATCCAAGGTTTCCAAGGGAGCTGGCCTATACCAGGAATACGGGTCTGTTGGTTGACACATTTCGAAGTGCAACAACGGAAGCTAAATACGATAGACTTCGGAGAGAGGTTGTTGGTTGATGGAGGTTATGCTCTTTACCTTACCTCTTATAGAGACTGAACGAATTGAACTCAAATGGCTGCGACAAGACTTCGTAGGGCTTCTCTCAAGCCTGTTTCTATCTCAACATCGGGTGACACCTGATTTTTTTTTCTCATTAGTGAGTGGCCTATGCCGGTGCAAACTAAGCCTCATAAGTCATTTTTTTAGTCCAGGTGTCCTTCACTTGTGACTAACATGGAGTCTCCGAATGCATGACTAAACCCGGTGTTCAATTTTCAACTAAATAGCAATCACAGAGTGGACAGATACGTCGACTGATGGAGCTTGGCTTCGATGCGCTACAGATTTGCTGTGGCATTTGCGAAATCAACACGACTCACATGTCACCCCATTTTATTGCCCCAAAGGAGTCGCGAGGATTATCGATCCGCCAGCTGGATGTCTAACCCAAAAGGGTACATGCTTCAACTGCTCCACTTAACCGTTGCCTGGTCCCGAACTGGGATTCCTTAGATGTCGACAAAGTCGAGAAGTGTCCGCTGGACTTGGTTTAATTGCATTAGTTCGGACGGAATTCCGCCTTCAACCTTGTCTTGGCAAGATTGAATTCACATGGTGATCTTGTTGCGGCTGAGTACCCGACTCTGGGATTCGAAAACCTGCAGGTACCTTGCCTGTACACATGTAAGTGACCCAGGTAAAAATGCATCATCCTTCAGATCCTAGCTCAGCCCAAACCAACGTGGTCTTAAAGTAGGTACTTTTGTAGTATATAATGAAGAAAAGTCTGCATTGGATTCCGCCGCAGACGAGATAGCCCCCTCGATGAGCCGCGTTCATTCTGATGAGGTCGCGCTTCGCATGGATTGACCAATCGGTTGCAGTTGCAAACGAGCCCCCTTCCCAAGAACAATCCCGTCGGCAATGTCCCAGCCGGCATATGTTTCGATGCGGCACGGCCTTTGTACACCTTCACAGGGGTTGGCGACGTCGTTGGATCCTGCTGCCTACCGTGCATGTAAGTGAGGTACTACGTGCAGATTTCCCCTTCCCCTACCTTATGCAAGACAGGTAAACTATTCACTTCTGCCAGTTCAAGGTACTTCATTTTGACAGACGGAGGTGATGTCCGCACAGTACGGCTGGACGGTGCGCCCACCCGTGGGAATGGTGGCGTTATAGATACATTGCAGTTCGTTCTTCGACATATCAGACAACCTTGTAAAATGATCGTCACTCATGCGGTAACTAATCGGCACCTTGCCATGCATGGCACACCCAGCATTTGCTCAGTCTACTAGCTCCACTGCACCTTAAACTCGGCAAACTCGACTCTCAGTTCACCCTTGGCTTCTTTATCCGGTCTTGCAGCTAACGGACTGACATCCAAGACCCAATCGTCCTCATTCTCATCCGCAAATATCCAACAAATCTTCCTCAATGGGATCCTTTTCTTGACGTTTCCATCCTTGTCCAGCAGCAAGTGGTGTACCCAGGCGTTCTTACCTTGGGCGCCTCCGTCTCGAAAAACCTCAATCGTTACGCTCTTCACATCCTCGACATCGCTTAGGGTCAAAGGATAGAGGCCCCAGTCGGCATACCGGTCGCATGTGACTGTGCTCAGGTGTGGCTGGCCATCGTACAACTCGATCCCCGTCTTGATCCATTTACTGTTTGGAGATGCTGCATTTGAGGCTAGCCGCGGCACAAGAAGCACGCCAGATTGGTCGTAAGGGTGGGCCCAGGGAGCCGAGAACGTGACGCGAACCGAGAGGAAGTTCTTAAGAGGACCGGTGCTAGTATGAACGTTTGGGACTATGGGTACATGTGATGGTTAGTATGAGTTGCGAGTGATAAAGTCTGAACACGATAACCAACGAAGAAGCCCCAACTGAACACGTACTGCAGTGTTGGACTTGAGAGATGAAGAGATCAGGTTGACATTTTTACTCACTGTTCCACGCGTTGTGTCCAGGCTTTCTCCAAATGTCAGTGCCCGGGTCTGCCTGAACGGTGAATGGCGTTGCGTCGTTGGAGGGTGCCATTTTCATTCAATGAAAGGATACGTGTAATTTGGGTGGTTTGGGCTAATGAGAGTGTTGATGTGCATGATGATGTGAGCTGACCGTTATTTATTTGTTAGATGCTCTGGGTTGCATCGGTTTCTTATTAAGCATAACCCCCTCGCACCAAGTCCCCATGGCACTAGGGTAGCCCGTATTAGCCCCGCGCGGGGCGTGGACCGATCGTGTCCTTTATCAACAGTCCTTGGTCAGCCCTACTGACCCCAGCCCTAGCTTGGGGGTCACCTCCTTCAACAGACACTAGCTAGCCTCAATGAGGTCGAACGAGGGCCGATCCGTAGCATCCTGGCCGTGCAGAAGTAACAAAGCGTTAAGAGATAAATCAAGTATTTTGTTCTACTCTAATCTATGTATCGTTTTGCATAGGGACCGTGTTTAATGTGAGAAGACTTGACTGACTGTCTTGATATGAAGTGAAGGCATAACTTGGAGAAGGTATGGAGAGAGACCCGAAACCACCTAGATAGATACCAATGAAACTACAGAAAAGTTCCATCGTCTTCCATCCTCAGATCCGACCTTTCGCTCTCACCTCGTCAAATACGCTATCCACGACACGCTTGGCGCGAGACACGATCTCCTCTACATCCGTAGGAGTGACAATGAAGGGCGGAGCAGGAAGGAAATGATCTCCGTTCCAGCCGTCGGCGCATCCCGTCGAGGAAAAGAGGCACACGTCGTATCCCTTCTCGAGTCCACGAAGACGCATTCGACGAGCAAGGTTCAACGAAGGGCCAAGAGGTGCCTTGGTGGTCTTGTCTGCCACGAATTCGATGCACCAGAACATGCCGCGGCCACGCACATCGCCGACGTGCGGGTGGTCCTTGAAGGCCTGGCGGAGAAGGTGTCCGAAAACGATACCCATGAGACGCGCGTTGCGGACAAGGTGCTTCTCCTTGATGATCCGCTGCACTTCGACGGCAGCGATAACGTTGAGTGGATGGCACTGGTACGTTTGTCCATGCTGAAAGGAGGCGCTGCCCTGCTTGAGGCCCTCAACTACGCGCTCGTGAATGAGGATGGCGGATACTGTGCCGTATCCGGCTGCGAGGCCCTTTCCAACGGCTTGAATGTCAGGGACTACGTTGTCATGTTGCCAGGCGTGCATGTAGCCGGTTCTTCCGAGACCACACATGACCTCGTCGAAGATGATGAGAGCACCGTGTCGGTGGCAGACATCCTTCATGGCCTGCAGATATCCAGGCAAGGCCATTACACAGCCGAGGGCCTGAAATAGTTAGCAAGAGAGTTTGAGATAAGTAGAGATCAGGATAGAGCTTACGGTGCCAACCATGGGCTCGAGGATGAAGGCGCACACATTTTCCGGACCTAATCTCTGGAATTCCCCTTCCAGCTCGAAAGAAAGTCGTTCCACGTACTCCTCAACCGATTCGCCCCGTTCAAGCTCTCTATAGGGGTGACAAGGAGACACATGGGAAACATTGTCGGCCAGGACGTCCATGAAAGGCTGTTTACGGGCCTTCAAGTTGCTAACGGCCAAAGTTCCCAGAGTACATCCGTGCCAGGAACTTTCTCTAGCGATAAACCTTGTGCGAGAGGCCTTGAGGTCTTTCTCGAGGAAGTATTGCCGAGCAAGCTTCATGGCGCCCTCGACGGCCTCAGAGCCTGCCGGAAGTATCAGCTGTCAGCCTTAGGAATTCTATCAAAGGTCTGGTCTTACCAGAGCCCAGAAGGCATGCTCTCGACAACTGGCCGTTCGTCGATTTAACCAGAATATCGGCAAGTTCATGAGAAGGATCATTCTGAAAGTAGCCTGGATGAGCATATGTGAATTTGTTCAGCTGCTTGATGATGGCGGTCTTGACCCGCTAGTTCCCATGGCCGATGGCAGAAATTGCTGCCCCACCGGTAGAGTCGAGAATCTTTTGGCCATTCTTCAAAGTGAAGTACAGTCCATCGGCCGACTCAACCGTGGGAGCTGAGGAAGGGCACACGCTCTGGTAGAAGAGCGAGTTCTTAGCGGGAACAAGTTCGTCGACGACTGCCAAGGAGCCCATGATGAATTTTGTGAATGTGGTAATAGTAGACTGAATGGGAGGATATTGTAGAAGGTGTGTGACTGTGGTGCCTAGGCCGATGGGAGAAGAGGACAACTGCTTTGAAGAGGTAATCTCTTGTGAACTAAATCGTTTGATTTTATTCCTTGAGACCATGTACTCAGAGTCACTTCGGCCTCGTTCGGTATCTAGACACATACACTTATTTTCCAAGCCCTGACCTCGCATCTAATTGCGTGTGAATCAAATGCCTCAAGCAGGGGCTGTTCCATCATCCATGAATCTTCACATTGCATTTGAGGCCGCTGACTGCATCCAATCGCCTTTCACTGGTTACTTAAAGACGTGGATGGTACTTTGGCGGTGGCTTGCATGGATATTCACAGATGTCCCCCCGTTTGATATTCAGGAAAATCTGGAGTCATTCGTCATTTCCCAAAGACTCAGCTCCAATTTTTGAGTCTGGAGTAGGCTGTCACAGCAGTTGACTAACTGCATATGGCCTATACGAGCTTGTGTAACAAAACAAAATACTTGAGAATCTGGGAAATTATTTGCAACTGGTAGGACCAGCAATATTACAGTGAACAACTTCTGATTTTAGATGACCAGGTCAGTAAGTGTGCCTAGCTCTCCAATATCACAAGTGTAAGTCTGGGGCACATTGAAGGTTGCTCACAAAGTTCGTCGTGAAGTACCATCGATTATCTGAAACTTGGAAGCTTTACGAATAAGTGAGCAAACGGCAAATCTCCGTAAGCCATCCTACAGTCCCGTTTTGGAAGGCAGAACAAGTATAGTGCTGACGCATTGGACACACGGCAATTGCTTATCTCACAAATAGTATTCCCTGTTCGGAGACTTTCGACCGAAGGTCCACTAAGCGGCAAAAGTTCACATCTGAAGTAGATCTCGTGTGTGGCTTGAGTAGTGTTGAGGTCTGCACCTTAGACAGGTGGATAGCATATGCGGTGGCGAAGTCAGTGTGAACTGTCAGTGCATCATAGTGGATCAAACTTTTGTGATGTGGTAGCTTCGTGTTCTCAACTAGGCCGAGGAGAATGTATACCGAGAGCAAGTTGGCTCAATAGCAAAATTATGCTGATAATCGTAGCAGGGCTTTTGATCTCACTGCCGCCTTGCATCCAGTTCACCTAACTTCAACAAGAAGCCACTAGAGACGTGAGATTCGGGCACATCCAAGTGGCCGATGGTTTCGGATTCCCCGGTGTGATCCTTTCTTCCCACCCCCACGGGGTTGAGACCCCAGCGTTAAGGGTGGTCCCTGATGACAGACAAATATCTTACTCGTCTCAGAACCGGAGATCCCATTCAGGATTCACAGTCATGCGCTCTGTATATGGGACTACTTGCAAGGCACTTCTTTCTTTGGTAACAATTCGCCTGGGAGAATTATGGGCCATGTTTCTTTATCTTGGTGTAACCATTGCGCTTGAACTCATCTTCCGGCAGGTGCCCAATCTGGTCGTAAGCGCAGTGGCAGCAGCATTGATTGGTGTAGCAATGGGTACGTCAGCATCTCAAGTTTCCAAGACCTACTTCCGAAAACAGGGAGATTGTGGACTAACTGCGACATCGTAGGCCCAATGTATCCGGTGGCCGTGGTTCTCATCACCAAAGTCATGCCGCGCTCACTTCATGTCGGCACCATTGGATTCGCCGCCGCTTTTGATGGATCGGGCGGAGCTATCTTGCCGTTTGCTGTTGGCGCCATTGCACAGGCCAAAGGTGTGCAAACGCTTCAGCCAATTGTGCTTGCAATCTGTGTCGTTCTCGGCCTTTTGTGGGTATTGCTTCCTCGTCAGCCAAGACAGAACAAGGAAGCGAGCGGAGAAGAAAGTTCGGGCCCTGCATAAGACACTTAGTCGTGGCCGGTATCCGCACATGGACAACCTTATTTGGGACTTTAACAACAGTCCCAATTATATAAGGTCTAGAATTCGGATCAGGAAGGTGCACATCTAGGGAAAAACCGAGCATTGATGTTGCACAGGCACATAGACAACGGATAGAAATTGGACACTTACCCACATGCACTTGGTACACTTGGTGTTGGATGGGAAGCAAAAGGTGTGGTGCCCTCAATGCGATATTTTCCATATCCGTTGCAATTCGGATGTCTATTTGGTCAACTCTGGCACAGCTGCATATTCCTTTTCCTCCACAAGTGCTCAAGACTTCAAGAGGACATCGCGGCAATCTGTCCACATGGGAGCAATCGTCCTTATTGAGAGGTTGGAGATCGAGTTTTTGGGGACAGAAGCGTTTTTGTGATTTGTCACAATTTGAATAGATGAATGATGAAAGTTGTGGAATGCAATACTTGATGTTCGATTTGACTTTGGAATAAGCATGTCTGATTCATGACACGTTGACAGGTTCTCTTACAGCCGTCTACTTATCTCCAGAGATATCTTGTCTTTCCAAAGCGGAATTCTCTTGTTACCCTTCACAGCAACTCAGTTTCAATCTGATGAAGCAAATTAGGAAACTCTGTCCAATTGCTCATAATCAGCTTGCATCCAGCTTTCTCCAATATCCCTCGCAGTGTATTCGCTTCCTCAACATCCTCGCAGGCACCTGTGTACCCAATCGTAATGATACCTGCCCGATTCGCAGAAGTCGCGCCAGACCGGCTGTCCTCAACTGCGATGCACTCGGCGGCAACTTTACCCATGGTCTTCGGAGCGTGGAAGTACACCGCCGTATCAGGCTTGGACATAGGAACAGGCAGCAAATCAGCAGCGCTGAAGACGTCATTTGGGTGGAAGAACGTGATTTGCCCAGTCTTCTCGAGCGACGCACGCACACGACGCAGTGCAGACGAGGATACGACTGCAAGTTGATGACGGCCAGCAGCTACCAGCCGTTCAAGCTCAGCATTGGCTCCCTCGCACGACTGGAGTTTCTCCACGAGCTTGGAGATGACACGATCGTCTTCCATGCTGGCGTAGTCTCCCAGCTCAGCATCGGTGATGTTGCATGAGACGCCGTACTTGACCTCTAGCGAGCGCATCTACAGATTCCGTTAATCAAGGCCCAATCCAAGCAAAAACATCTCCACTTACCATGGCTTGAAAGCTCTGCCCGACGAAGTCGCGCTGTAACTGGCGGCCTGTAAAATGAAGATCGACATTGCAGGCAGCAAGAATCTCATTGGTGAGCTCTGCGCACGCCTCAAATGCCAGAGTCTCAGACTGGACGAGCGTGTTGTCGCAGTCGAGGAGCAGAAGGGTAATCTTTTAATGGCATATTTGAGTACAGTTGGTCAAGGAACGAACGACAGGAGAAACTTACGTTTGTGCTGCGAGGTACCATCTTTGCAAAACTTCGTGAGCGTGTTCTGACAGAAGGTTTCGCTACTCCGCATGACCTTGATGAAAATTGTAGGTAAACAAAAGTTTACTGCTGCCTCGCGTTGTCTACAATCACTCTGTAAATGTCGGATTGGAAGTCCAACTCGACCTCGAGGCAAGGGGCCCGCGCAGGGGCCACTTACAGACCGTACTTACGAGATCCACGGTCTGCCCAACCTACGGTTGGAACCTCCCTTTTACACCTTACGCAGAAGTTAAATATATGTCGATTTTGACCTCTTCGTCACCCACGGTTCGAACCAATTCCCTGCGATAGGGATACCAACAGTAAATGTCGAGTTTGTGGCACAGCTCATGTAACGTAATGATGGCTATTTCCCCAAGGAGATGTATCTTTCTAGGTCACAATCAGACGGTTTCGGTGAGTTCCGCTCCAGGCCCCTCGATCTGACAGAGTGAATATGCCGACACTACCAGGACTTTCATGATACGAAATTCACGTTCCGGCGTGCTCCGAGGCGTGAAGAAGCCGATAGAAACGCGAGGCTGGTCCACTCTTCTCGGTCATCGCCAATTCGTCACATCTCGGTCTGACGCGGACTTCAGCGCATCACGACATCTTCGCCACATTTCCAAATGAGCACTTTGATAGACGTTCTTAGTTTCTTTTTCGACCCGTTTGATCCTCCTGAGACCGTGAAATGACTACCTCATAGTGACTTTGGCTATACATCTTCTTGACGTGGAGAACATTCTAGACTCACCCTGCGCTGGTTTGCCAGCCCAATTATGCTTAGTAGCACCCTCTGTGTATGATAACTGATAGAACTTGAACCGGGATCGGGGTCATAAATCCTACCAGGAGGCTGCATACTCTACCTAGTCCAATAGGAGTTGTGCCCAGCACGAACGGAGAAGTGAAGAAACTAAAGAGGATGAGTTTCCGTGCCTCCTTACGAGGGAGTATCGCAGGATCACGAACCTAGCCGCTGCAGGGGAACATTTAAGGTGAATTAAAGCGGTATGAAGTGCACAAGCTATGGGGGTTTTGCGAGGTGAGTTCCACTCGAGTGAATTTCCCCTAGACTCCTGCTCCACGCGGTTAGGCAAGCTGCAGGATGTCATCCTTGCCAAGATCCTTCAGCCCGCCTTGCTGCGCAGTCCAAATGCTTGGTATGTGACTGGCTCCGCGTGCTGGCATTCGATATTCACAGCACTCAATAGACCTTGAAGCGGCTTTAGGAGCACGGAGCCATGTAAAGTGGCGTACCATCCTGCTTTTCCTTATTCGGCAAAAGTCGGGACATCAGGGGACTTGGGATGCAGACTTCGGTTTGTGTCACCCATCCTGGTGGTTTGCCTAGAGTGGATGACGGAGGCAGGTCAAACTAGTCAATGAACATACTTCTAACTTCTACGTCTATCTGAGGTAGGCAGGGAAATGGCATCAAGCGGGAAGGATCTTGTATCCGGTGTCCCCGAAATTCGGGCTGAGACACATAATACGGATTCGCTGCGCCTCTCTCGGTACTAGCGACTATCAGCAACAATCTTGGAACAGGGGATTGGGGCCATGATCGATTACATTCACTCAGTGGGTCCAATATCCTTCTCTTCATGTACCCTATTCTAACCGGGGCGGGCAAGGATGCCAACATCGGGTTGCTCTCTATTGCAAGATGACAAAGGCTACCTTACAAGCAGTTGAGTGGGCAACGTACGGCTGTGATGCTGACCGAAGCTGACGAGTCTCCGGTGGTACTATCTGACTTTTCAAGACAGTGTTCGATGCACGGAGGTTTTCTCTTCTCCTGATCCATGCCTCTTAGTTTCTGTCGTACATTGTGACCGAAAGGTCGCCTAGAATTGCCTTACTTGGCCATCGGTAGTCGAGAGAAGGCCCTGAAAAGTCGGCGTACTTCTGGGTCAGCGTGGATACAAAACCATCGTTTATTTCGACGAAGAGGTTGGGAAACTTGGCAGAGAACGGCGCTTAAGAATGGAAGAATTGAAAGATGAAGTGAAGACTCCCGCCATGAGTAAACCCCAACGTGGCGGAGAAGAAAATCTCTATAAGAGGCCACCATGTGAAAGCCTAGACGTGCCATCTGAGTCTTTCTAGCTCGCAAGCTCCTTTCTTCTCTTTTCCACTCACTCCAATCATTTCGTATCACAGAATGCGCGGTCCTTCTTATCTTTTGGTCCTTGGGTCTCTTGTTCATTTATCATGTGCCTTCGAGACTACCCAGAACAATACAGGACCTGTCCTTGGTCTTGAATATGATTTCATCATTGTTGGAGGTATGTAAATTCTTCACAGATCATTCATTGATCTCAAGGCTGATTCCGAGGTGAAGGTGGAACAACTGGTCTCATCCTAGCGGACCGTTTGAGCGAGTCTGGCGATCAACGAGTGCTGGTCTTAGAAGCTGGGCCTGATCCTAGTGTCGTAGCTATGCACGAGGCACCTGGTGCTGTCGAATACATTGCGGGTAAGTTCATTTTCATCTCCATCCAAGATTACGATTGTTCTAACTTCTTTTATCTAGGTACTGCAATTGATTGGAACTTTTACACTGAACCACAGGAGTATCTCGGCGGGCGAAAGCTTGCCTACCACCGTGAGTGTAACACTCCTTCATGAAATTGTCAGCTTCTAACTTTCCAGGTGGCCGTGGTCTTGGTGGCAGCAGTATCCTCAACGGCTTGTACTATGGACGCGGTTCAGCCAATGTCTATGACCACTGGGTTGAACTTGGAAACCCTGGCTGGAGCTGGGAAGAGGTGTATCCAGAGTTCATAAAGGTTATCTCGAAACAAACTCGCACTTCAATGTGTACTCTAAGCTAAATAGGTCACAGGCTACCCATTTCAACACGCCTAACAGTGGAACTGGGTATAACCAGCGTTATCAGACCTGGGACCCGGCGGCATACTCCGATGGCCCGCTAGAGATTGATTTCCAGGGTTTTGTTCCTCCTTCCAGTATTGCTTTCATTGAGGCTTGCGAAGCCGTGGACATTCCCATCGTCCGGGACTTGAACAATGGCAAGAACGTGGGCGTCAAACAAGGTTCTGCTACCATTAATTCCAAGTATCGACGTAGCTCTGCTGATGACTACTACAAGGCTATCAACAGCCGTCCAAACTTACTGATTCTTCCTAATTCGCCAGTACAGTCCATTGCTTTCATAAGGAATGCCACCGGCACCCCGGTTGCAAGCGGCGTAGTCTTTATCGACCACTCTCTTGGACGTCACCACGTCATTTCAGCCTCTAAAGAAGTTATTGTGACTTTAGGCACCTTTCAATCTCCACAAATGCTGATGGTTTCGGTAAGAGAAATTTTACAAGTGATGCTCTGCTCGTTGCACTCTTGACTAATGTGGATGAAGGGAATTGGACCGAAAGCCACGCTTGAGGCCTTTGATATCGACCCAGTGGTAGTCAACAAAAACGTTGGCCAGCAGTAAGATTAAAACAAGTCATTGAGACCAAAGCCTTGTCATCTAACAATTCGCAGCATGATAGATCACAACGTTTACAGCATCTCAGCCACCGTAGTTCCCGAAGCCTCGACCCACTACCTCATGTTTAACACCACCAATGTTCAAGCCTCGCAAGATGAGTACTACTCGAGTGGTAAAGGTGTCTACACAGCCCCTGAAGGCATCACGAACGGATTTCAGGAGTTGTCCGGCGAGCAGCTTGAATCAATTGGCGCCGGTGCGGTTGTTGAGGCAGGTCTCACCAACCGCTCAACCGTGGAGTTCCTCTTTGAGTCTTTCTTCTACCCCAACAGCCCCGGCCCGACATACGATCCTTCGGCAGATGGGTCGTATATGTCCATCACAGTTTCGAGCATGGTGGCTTTCCAAGGGTAACATCACCATTCAGTCAAGCGGCATGTCAGATGCTCCGATTATCAACCCCAACGTGAGTCTTGCATCATCACTCGGCCTCTCAACTGTGGAACTGGCTACAAACCTCACACCTCTGTTTTGTCCTGGGATGATGGCTAATGATTCATTATAAATAATGACAGTACTACTCACATCCCGCTGATCGCGCCATAGCGGTGAACGCCTTCCGCGACGCGAGGAAGATTCTTGCTCACCCGGCCTTCGCCAACATGACCATCGGGCCGGACCACGGCGAAGTGGCGCCGGGGTTTCAAATATCGCCTCTGATGACGACGAGGCCATCTTTCAGTACATTCAAGCCACTACGGTCCCCAATTGGCACGCTAGTGGCACGAACCGCATTTTAGGATTTGCGGATTGTTGACAGCAGCATCATGCCCACTGTTCCGGACGTCAATATCGCGGGGCCGCTTTACATGCTAGGCGAGAATGGGGCAAGACTGATTCGGGAGGATTGGCGCTTTTGATCCACATTCTCAATCACTCCGTGTATGCGGATACATGTTATGTAGATTCCATGGTATCACGGTAGACCAGTAGGCCTTATTCAGCGGTGCAAGTGATTTGGTCACTTACCTCAGTATGATACAAATCAATAATTTCACTCATCGACTAAATGCGTTTTAGTCAGGTACCTATTCTCTCACTGTGATCTTACTCTGAAGTTGCTAAGGTATGAACGGATAGTGGGCAAGTTGGAGTTCCTACCCTTGTCTGTTTCATGGGCTAGCCCTGCGTCCAGATCCGGGGGCACCCTTACGAAAACTGAAACTCATGGCTATGTAAAGCTGTCTTGGCGGAGCTACAGACCCTCACGGTCATCTCCGACTCATTCTACCCCAACGATTCCTTTGGCCGGTTGAGGCCAGCCGCCAGCGCCGTGGTAAGGTGAGATCTTCAACTTGCCTCCTCAAACAGATTTGATATCAGCTAGATAGCAGGTTTCCGGAAGATAGTGCGGATGCGACAGTAAAGTTTTGTTTCCTCAAGGTTGACCAATGTTTTATGACGAAAGTCTGGGAGCCAAAAGGAAAGAGGCCCTCTCAGTGTCCCAAGATATTTGGCGGCGTACCTTCGTGGAGCACGAGGTTGTGTGGGGCTTGGCCCTCTTGAGTTCCGCCCATCGGCAAGACAAATCAACAAGTGACGAGGATTACTCTCATGCATGGCCATTTTCATTACCAGTTTGAAAAATAACAAACAGCGTTGCTAGGAGACCCAGGAAACAATGAAAGATTCTTAATTACAATTACCTCTAAATTTGTTCAGAGCAACAAGAGCACTTTCACGCTGAATAGGAAAGGCCGACTCGGATATTTTGGGTTGTCTTGTTGTGTCGATGCTTCTCGGGCAGCGGCATATACCCTGTTCAAGTCTTTAAGGCTGAGCTACCGGTTACGTGCTTGAGCATCTACACTACAGTCAAGTACCTTGCGTCTCTACGGAGTAGACTGGTTCAGACAAAGCTTCACGCCTCGTCCCATGATGCTAGTTCTCACCTCAACCACGTGGACCACTGTCGCGGGTTTGCTTCAATGTCACGTCAACGTCACAGTTCATCCGGTAACTCGAGATCCTAAAGCCAGGATAGGAACTTCATAGCCGTGATGTTTGACCCTTCTCTCCCTCTCAAGTTCCAGTCATCACTCGGATCCTGAGGAGCTTTTTGTTCCTGGTTTGATCGTCTTAACTTTTCGTGCGTGGAAGAAGTATGATAGAGTGAAGGCCCTCTCCGGACTAGGGTGCACCTGCACTCTCGCTATATTTAAAGAGGCTACTCAGGGTTCACGACTCGCGGCTAGTCCGACTCCGTGGTACCTGACTCGTCGGCTGGGGTAATCATGCTCAGCCCTGCAAGAGCTCTCCAGCGGGATGGAGTTTCTTTGTCGGACAAAAAATGATTGTAGGTAATACCGCGTTTCTCAGAATCGCAAGAACCCATCTTTCGTTTTTTCTGACCACCTACCTACGCTCTATACATACTACGCTCGTTCATTGCTTGATTTCTTTCGGTACCTAGCGCAAACGCAGGTCGTTGTGTATTCAAGTACTTACTTACCCCATCTGCTACTCCGGTCGTCTTGGCCAAAAAGGGCCATATTTTGGGTTGTCGAGAACCCACGATGACGATGGCTTCTCCACAGCCACGACACGAGACGATCAACCTCGACGATTTCAACGAACACGCCAGAGCTCCCCGAAATGTCCCACAGCAAGGCATTTGGTCGAACCGCAAAAACACAGAAGATCATCGAAGGTGGAGCATTATCGAATTAGCAGGCGACAATCATAGCGACTGGCCGAGATATGCCAAAGTAGACGAAGCTTCCTCGGCACACCCGTCACCTCTAAAGACCACTGTTTCCTTCAACCAAACAAACTTTCTCCATCCTCCGACGCCCGATAGAGAAGATTGTTCCTACAGCCACAAGGGCAACGAGTATAACGACACGATATCTCTTACGTCTAGATCTCACAAGGATGGAAATAAGAAAACGAGTCCATTCGTGTGGTGGACGTTATGTCTTTGGCTCGTCGGGGTGTTGATGTTGACGCTGACGGCCCTTTACTCGACCGGTTCTGCCAAGGCTCTCATGAGACAGAACTTCTTCGTCGCATCGCCGAGTAACTCTATCCTAATCCTTCGTGTGATGACAGAGCTTTGCGCTCTTGTCTTAGCTGCTCTCGTGGTCGTCGTTGTGGAAGACTTGCAATGGGCTTTGGCATCCCGCCCCGGCGGCGTTAGTCTATTGCACTTTGTAGGACTTGACGCCGGTACTGGAGTATGGGGGTTGTTGCGCCTTCTGGCAACGGCTGAATGGAGGCAGAAGTACTCCAGTTTGTTCCGGTGAGTCTGATTCTGCTGGTCTGCCAGATATAGTGAGACTTTTGAACGCGTTCTAACTTCTGACACTTTAAAGCCTGCTGGTCATCTGCTCCATTCCTCTGCCCGGTATCATTCTCATGGGTAAGCTTACATCATGTGTGTAGCTATGGATTTTCGTTGTGTTGATGGTCTATCTAGGTGCTATTTCCATCGAACTAGTCACATTTCCCGAGAAGACGTACAATGTTTCGGCCGGGATCGCCCCCTTCAATGCCTCTTATATCTACGAAATCCGCCAATCCACAGCCACCGCGTTGCTAGTACAGATGGGTAGCCCCGCCTGGTCTGATCGAGACTCTTTTTCTCTTGATCCCTTGCATCAAGGTGTAGGGAAATGCACCGGAGCAGACGGAGGATGGGCCCCGTGTGACGAATCGCATCTGCTCACCGGCGGGGTGGTCTCAATCGCGCCACAGGCAGACAACTTGACGAGCTATCCGGACTCTGCGGCATACGTGGTCCCCAACACTCGAGTCGTTCAGTTGGAATATGGCAAAGTACACGATCTCGATGGCCTACGTACAAATGGAACTTGTTTTCTCATCGGCGCCGACAGCGCTGCATCGTACTGGTGTGCTGCTGTTGGCAAACAGAAAGGACTGCTTTTTGGTAAGAATGAAAACGGTCGGCTCCCAAAACTGCTGCGCATCTGAAAGCTAACAATTTCCTCACAGGGTCGGCATATTGTCCGATTGCGCTACAATTGACCAGTTCATGCATCAACAACACAGCTTGGACCAACCCTTTGGAACTGTCGTCGTCGCTATACGTCTACTCACGTTATGCGACTATCACCTATGATCGCGGTAACTTCTCGATCCTCGACGTTTCAGACATGACATCACCGGAGCAGGATATCATTGGTCTTGATGAGTACATGTTGTCGCTATCAGCAGTAGTCCCAGGCTTCAACAAGAGCGGCCCGGCTACAAAGGGCGACAACTCGGCATTAGCTATTTATGCCGTCACAGCGCTACCGATCAACGACAGTGAAGTGGCAAAGAAGCAGTCATTGAGAGCCGTCAGAAAGGCTCTCTCTGTTCCATTCAGTTACTTCCACGCAAACTACTTCTCTACTGGTCCCTCAATCTGGGAACTCAAAGTCCCCCGCGAAGGTCTACCCGACGACATGTACTCCACCCTATCTATTTCGATCCTCAGTCATCAGGTTGTTGCGGGAATTATCAGCAGGTGGCTTTTCGTCACAGTGGCCGGTATCATTCTGTGTATATCGTTGGCCATCATCATAGCCACGTCCAGGGTGTGTGTAAAGAGGCCAGAGAGGTGTGGCTACCCGACGTTGGATTTTGCCGCCGTGTGTGCTGTAAGAGGAGGAATACCTTCTAGCTCTCCTGAGTGGGGTAATACACAAGAACCGACTAATCATGAAAGAGGCCATGCGAGCGGTCTACACAGGAGCCTGACGCAACTTGGGCAAAAGCCACAACCCTTCGGAGTTGCGAAGAACATAAAGAACGAAAGAGTAATACTAAGCTAATGAGATTTTGAGAACATGACGATCAATGAACTTCACAATACCTAGAAAGCGCACTTTGGGTTATTTGAAATAGAAATATTAAGACCTTTGAATTCTTTCCATTTATCAAGTGTTGGTATCCCTATCATAGGGTAGTTGGTTCGAATCGTGGGTTGACGAAGAGGTCAAATTCATATGTATTAACTTCTGCGTAAAGGTGTAAAAGGGAGGTTCCAACCGAAGGCTGGGCAGACCGCGATTTTCGTAAGTATGGGCTTGTAAGTGGGCTTCTAAGTGACCCCTGCGCGGCCCCTTGCCTCGAGGTCGAATTGGACTTCCAATCCGACATCAAGATTCTACGCCCCAAGTTAGCTCGACATGTCAACAACGCATCTTACACCCATAACTCGGGTACAATAATAGGCTCAGACATCTCTCAAAGACTTGCCATCATGGCCTGAGTGAACTGGCAAAGCATGCTTTTGGAACCTCCTGGGTACCAATTCTGACTCATAAGCCTTGTCGATTTCCTCCGTCGTCATGCCCGTGGTGTCTGGCACAAGGAACCATGCTCCTGCCAACAAGAATACGGATGTCCCAGCATAAATGAATCCGGTGCGAGCTCCGAGATTGCCGGAGTCAACGTTGTACATGTAAGGAGTGATAAAGTTGAACAACCAAGTTGTGAAGGTCTGCGCACAAATGCCGATCGATAGTGTCTTGGCACGGAGCGCGTACGATGGGATCTCGGCAGCGATAGGCCAACCAGCCCCTTGAAGAAAAGCCGCCTGTAGAGAAATGAGAAGGTTCATCAGGACAGCAATTGCCCAGAGGCTGCCCTTGTTTGAAACCCAATAAAGCGCGCCGATAATCACCATGAAAAGCAGGTTGACAACAAGGCCTAGCAGCACCACATTTCGTCGACTTATACGCTGTAGGTATGCTCCGCTAGCTAAGATGACTAGCACAGCAAAGCCAAAGCCACCGATGCCAATGTCGAACGAGTGAACTGCCTCGAGACCGGCAGTAATGAGGAAATAGATGTTCTGAGCTAGAAAAGGGGCGCCGCCGATATTGGCCGTGGAGTAGAGGAACGCGACGGTCAAAGACCTCTTCCGATTATGGCCTTGGAGACACGATGCGTATGTAGCGTTGTTGTTCATTTCGAGTTCTTGTTCCGCGCGAATCGCTTGAATCTCATATTCGAGGCGCTCATCTGGATTGTTTGGGCCGTAGATCTTATGCATGACCTTTCGTGCAGCTTCAATTTTGCCTTTCTTGATCAAATAGATAGGGGACCTGGACATATTAGCACGCGGCTTATTCTTTATTAGAAAATTGGTGCTCACTCTGGGGCCACAGCCCAGGCAATAACAGCTAAACCACCAACGGCCCACTGTATAGCGATGACCGTCCTGAACGCTTGCTCTCGGATATCTGGAACGAAGATGCGGATTACACCCAATGCCAGGCCTTGAGTAAGAAGGACAAAGACAACGAAACATGTTTGTAAGGGTGCACGAAGTTTCAGAGGCGATACCTTGTGGAGAGTGTTAGCCGAGTTGTTTGAAGGAGGACAATCTGTATTTGTTCATACTTCACCAATGTACGTGGTAGCGGTAGCCATCACCGCCCCAATACCCAGACCAGAAATCATCTTGCCTCCCATCAGAGTTGCACGTGGCACAGAAACGTACTGCACCGCGGCCCCAACCAAGGTCAAGACAGCTGCGCCGCAAGATGGCCACTTCCGCCCGTATCGATCAGAGACGAATCCGACCAGAATGGCGCCGAGGGCCTGCGTGAGTGAAGACATTGCCGTCCACAACGAGGTCCAGATGGAGGGGAGATAGGGTCCTGTCGGTCCAATTTCGCCAAAATAAAGCAGGAATGAGGGCATCGAGATCGAGGCTCCGTTGGTCACTGTGTCGTAGGCGAAGACGATGCCAGCGGAGAAGGCTACCGAAGCTTCATGATTTTTAGACAAGTTTTTCGGTCAAATGGGTGAACAGATTTACCTATGAGCAGAGCTCGCCAATGTCTTTTCGCATTTTGAAGCACTGAGAGATGTCTCTCTGCATTGATAATATCTTCAACACTCCCAGCACGGGCCGTTGCAACACCGGTGCCCATCTTTGCTGTCTCAAAGTGATTGTATTCCGGGTTTTCCATCTTTCCGTCGTCAGCTCTGAGTGAAGTCATGCTTCTATTGGTTTCGAGGACTGGATAGGCTGCAAGAGAAGGTTTCCATGATTTTTCAACAAGGATGGGCTTGACTGCCATTTGATATAAAATGCAAACAGAACCACATTCCTCAGCTAATTGCACATGCAAGGTATCCAATGAATTATGGATTGTCCGGGGAAGCCAATGGCGGGGGAATCTGGGGCATCATTGATGTGTCTAGCATGGGTGGACGTATTGGGTGGACGCCGAAGAGGATTGGGATAGGCCTGGGTGGACGTGTGGTGGACGTGCAGTGGATATACGGTGGACATTCGAGTGGAACATCCGGGGAAACGGGGCAGAGGAAGATTCGGGAGAAGTGAGTCCGAATCAAAATTTGACTACATAGACCTCGGACTTCCCGATATGATAAGGTTGTTCAATGTCGACTCTGTTTTATGTTGTCTTTGGATTTCATAGCCCACCAATCTAAGTCAGAAGAAGAAGACCCCATCCTCAATTTGGCACACTTACTACGGTACACATCGGCGAACTTGAGTCACATTAGACAGCGTCCTAATGAAGGTTACCAACCCAATCATCCCTGGCTTTGCTCCCGATCCAACCGTTGTTGCCCACAATGGCACTTACATCCTCGTCAACTCTTCCTTCCACGTGTTCCCCGGGTTGCCCATCTACAATTCCACAAACCTCATGGATTGGGAGCTGAAGGGTCATGCCCTCTGCCGACCCACGCAGCTATCTCTTTCCAACGCCTTTACCAAATTCATCCCCCTGCCTCATGGCATCCCACTCATCATCACCGGCGGTCTCTTTGCACCAACGCTTCGTCATTTCGGAAACAAGTTCTATCTTGTGTGCACCTATGCTTGGGAGAAATCCGATGGGGAACACGAATTTCAGAATTTCCTGCTTAGCTGTCATGAAGACTCGATATTCTCAGATGACGGTTGGTCAGACGCGGTGCCATTCGAGTTCCCCGGTATCGATCCAGGGTTGTTCTTCGATGGGATGTCCGGAAAAGCATACCTTCACGGCTCTTACCGTACTGGGCCTCCATGGGCGCCAGATTGCTCGATTCGCCAATTCGAAATCGATGTTGAGACCGGCACAGCTCTGTCTGATACCAAATTCCTCTGGAAGGGTGCCGCCGGAAAGGACGATGCCGAGGGGCCGCACATATACTTCAAAGATGGCTGGTACTACCTGTTAACTGCAGAATCTTCGACCTTTGAGGGTCACCAGATTAACATGGCAAGATCCAAAGATATCTGGGGACCGTACGATGGCTGTCCGAGCAACCCATTATTGACGGCATTTGAGAAAGACGAAGCTGTCCGTTGGACTGGTCATGGCGATTTGTTCCAAGACACCAAGGGAAATTGGTTCTGCGTCCATCTTGGAATACGACATGATGACGACAATGTTCAACGTCATCCACTTGGCCGCGAGACGTTTCTTACCTCGGTAGACTGGCCCGAGGATGGATGGCCTACAATTTCCCAAACTAAGCTGAGCTTAGATATTGGTCTGGAAGCACTACCGGGGAAGCATGAAGGATACAAGGGACTCAATGAACGTGTAGAGGATCTTTACATCCGCACACCCATCCCTTCGAATTACTCATACTCTCCAGAGGAAAGCATCTACTCCTTGCGCGCTCAGACCTCAAATTTAGCCAGCACTTCTGGTACATCCACTTTCGTCGGCAGGAGGCAAAGATCCCTCTCAGGATCAGCTTCAACAACAATACGCATAGCTTCCGATAAAGCCGCGGGAGTCCCACTGGTAGGATTGGCAGTGTACAAGGATAGCCTGCGACATGTAGTCATCCAAATCGATCCGTTAGAACGCAAAGTGTCTTCCATCTTGGTCGCAATCAAAGACCAGAAGGCCGAATCGGTTGTTTTGGGCTCAGCCGCTATACCCGAGTCTACTGATATGGTTGAGCTCCGCATCCAATCCAAACCTAACAACTATGAACTCCTCTGGCGAGTCCCAAGTCTTGGAGAAAAGAACAACTGGCAAAGTCTTGGGGGCGTAGACCCTGTGCTGCTTTCGGGCTACGACATGACGGGGACTTTGTACGGCATTTTCGCGATTTCGAACAGTACATTAAGTTCGGCAGGGAATCAATGGGCGAAGTTCAAAGACTTTGTGATCGAATAGTGTCGATTTTCAGTGTCCAGCCGCACATTGATCGAACGCTTGTGTCTACGCCAACCTGTCATGTTCCTTCAAGTGGGTCAAAATACCATGTAGCTACATTGCCCATAGAATCGTAACTCAAAGCATCGCGAAACCGCATTACATGCATTTTGCCTGTTGGTAAATACTTGGTTTGCGAGAGATCTTGCATTTCCTAAATATTGTTGATTGGGTCAACTTGGGTCTGAAGAAGGTATGGCAACCCCGCCACAGTGCATTGGCCAAAAGCCGCTAGGCAACAGTCGCTATTGTTGCCTGCGCTTCGGCTGTCAGATGCATTTAAACCGTCAACTCTCCCGGCCCTACGAGGTATTAGTCAACCGCTCACTCGATCCTCCCACTCTACGACCATCACACGCGATGTCTTCTCCACCCATCTTCCATCAACCATCAACAACTCACACTCACACCGTAGTCTTCTTGCATGGGCGCGGTGACAATGCGGAAATTTTCATGCAGTCATTAAACTACTCTAGAGACTCACAAAACCGCACTCTTGCAGATGCGTTTCCTTCATTCCGCTGGGTCTTTCCTCAGGCGAAGTTGGGCAAGTCAGTGGCCTTCGGCGACAAGGTCTCGCAATGGTTCGACATCTGGAACGTGTCCAATTTTGCCGACCGCGAAGAGCTTCAAGCCGAGGGCCTCAGAGACAGCGTTGTCGAGATCCGAGAGATCCTCGCCGCAGAGGCACAGTTGCTGGGAGACAAATGGAGCCGCATTATCCTGGCTGGGATAAGCCAGGGAGCAGCAACGGGCGTCCATACTCTGCTCAACTTACGACTCCCGCCAGGGCAATCTGGGCTTGGGGCATTTGTCGGCTTTTCTTGCCGCATGCCGTTCCCTGGGAGAAGTCTCGCCGATACTCGAGCAATTCTCAGGCTTGGACATGTTGCAGAAGGATGTGTTCTTCTTGAACATACTCCGATTTTGCTAGAGCATTGTGTTGACGATCCACTTGTTTTGATTGCCAACGGCCGTGTCTTGAGAGACACTCTAAGGAGATTCGGGGCGCAAGTTGAATGGAAAGAGTACCAAGAAGGAGGGCATTGGTTTAATTCTCCTACAGGGATGGATGACGCTGTTCGCTTCTTGAACTTCTATCTATCTGAGTAATCCAGGGTTTACTTAAAACTTACACTCGACTCTATTCGATGCCCGAAAATCCATATCGATGTCAGAATCAGGAAGTAGTCTTTGAAAGAAAGGAGTCAGTTTCGTTATTAGATAAGACGCATCGATTACGAAACTCATAAAACCATGAGATAACTGGGCCATCCTTTATCACTAATCAAATTGGGGGCCATGATGGTTGTCGTACTTGTCCACGCCGCGAGAATATCCATTGTATCGCTTGTGGCCCCTCTAACTCTTCAAAGCTAATCTGCCATCAAATCTTGGCCCGTCTGCCTTTTTTGGACCTTGCTGGAGTGGCGACAATCGTGCCGCACATTCTTTTGTCCATGTTAGCTAGACACAGCAAAGTTTGCACATTCGTACCGTATATGAACTCTGACGGGCAGTGGGAGATTTGGTCGCAGTGTCGCCAGAGGGCCGTACATGCCCTCGTCTGCTAGTCTCAGCAACCCGTCTGCCTTGCCTTAGGGCTTCGCTTCCAGCAAAGCTTGTTTCTGGAGTAGTGCTGGAGATACCTGTCGTCTTCATTTCATCTATTTACCACTTTTCGGGATGCGTTTGACCATCCGAACGTAAAGCGCCGCCGGTCGAACAGAGCACCTACCTTACGACATTGGTCAGTCATATTCTCAATAAGAACACGCCCAAAGATGCGTTTCCTCGTCAATTTTCTGACCCTTGCTGGGCTGGCAATCGGAAATCCCGTTAACCTCCTCGAGAGATCCGCTCCGCCTCAGGTCAAATATATAGACGCCAAAGAAATGACCAACCGAATGCATCTGAAGCATCCGACTCACCTTATCGGCCAGTCTCTTAACCCTGTCGAAGTGAAGAGGATGGTATTGTCTCATGCTGGCACGGCAGATACACTCTACCTCCGTAACCACAACACCTTTATTCCAATGACCAGCTTCCGGAACGGACCGACCTCAGACGGAGAAACCACTGCAGACAGGCACTGCTTTATGTGGGACGAGTGGGAGATTCGCGACATCAAGTCGTACTGGAGTGCGTATACGGCAGCCTCAAAGATGCAGCATGTTGGGATCCTCGTCGAACGCGAGTCTGTGACGATCCCCTGGGAGGAGAAAGTTATCGCCCAGAGGAGAATCAGTCTTACTCCCGACTGGAGGCCCATCAAACATGTGTTGACTATTGCACTGGGTTTCGATACAACAGACGAATATACCAATAAGGGGACTTTTCACTGCACGACCGCTCCAAATCGTAGGATTCGTCTTTGGTTCCAGAAATATGTTGGATCAGGTAAGCGTTAGAGGATCCTGAGTACCCTGCTTCGCGGTCTTGAAACTGACCAGGGTACAGCATATGCGTTCAAGAAGATATGCAGAGGCTGCGGTAATGAAAGGCCAGTATGCGAAGAAACGTGGACGCCGCAGGGACAAATTATCATTCCATCTGATGGGTAAGTGTATGTTTGCTGGCCGATTATTGAAGCAATGACTGACTTTGAGCCCACCAAGCTCCAATAAGGACATTAATTACAACATGCACTGTAGCTCCGATTAGCTCAAGCAAGATGAAGTGAAGAAATTGAGGGGATGCGCCCGGATGGAGAACTCTTGTCAATTCATCAGTCGAGTCCGGGCATCATGGGTCGTATTTCTCCATTGTATTATTTATGATAGGTCTGTGACAGATATTGTCGTTATCGCCGAGACTTCGCCCTTATTTACAGTAATAGGGTCATATCTCAGTGTCTAGCATAGTCTACAATCCATCTGTTTCTTAAGCGATTACCTTCCAATTCCTCATTACTTGTTCTCGTAGCCTGCTGCTGGAGGTAAGTAGCGGTGACACTGGTTTCAACACATCTTCAACTGCGAATGTTGTTATCTGTAGTTCAGTACGATTACTCTCTGCCATGATGCTTTTCCCTCTGCGTGTGTCATTAAGATGATAATTATCTTTAAGGGCCGATTAGCACGTTGATGCTAACCCCGCAGTCTCGTCGCAAGTGTAGCCTCACTATCTATCTCGAGCCAATCAGCCTTCGCACGTCGGCAGATCATGGCTAGGAAGTCTCTGTTTTCTAGCGTCATTTATTTCTTCCTTTGTGACTCACATAAAATATTGACGTATATCGCAAGACTTATCAGTATAAGCAAAGCCTGTGCACTCTAACCATCATCATCACTCAGTATCACTCTGTAGCAGCATCACCATCACTCGGTCAGCATGAACCACCAACATCAAGACCTCGAGCTCGAGACAACGAGCCTGCCCGATCACATATCGACAATCGGCCCCGCAATACACCGGCAAGAGACTGTCGAGGAAATTGAGCAGGCACCCTTGCCGTCCGCAGACAGAGGAAAAGAGGCCTGGCTTGTCTTGCTTGGATGCAGTTTGATTCAGATTCCCGTTTGGGGTACGTGGACCCTGATGTTCCATCGTGACGTGAACCCGAAGGAATCTGACCCAAGGTCTCCGTAGGCTACTCTCTTGCCTTTGGTGTTTTCCAGCAATACTACAGAAGTCATCCTGATGAGCTCAAGGGCGATGCCAGCAGCGTTGCAGTGATTGGGACAACGATGACCGTACGTCCATGTACCAATGTTAAGACCCTGACGACAACCAACAATTCCCACTTACATATCATTACTTATTATATGTGCTAACAACTTCAGGGCGTCATGTACCTTATCTCTCCTTTCACATTCACAATCCTGAGCAGATGGCCTCGTCTACGGCGCTGGTTTGGCCCACTCGGGCTAGTCCTCACAGCAATTGGCTTTCTCCTATCTTCTTTCGCGACAACCGTTTGGCAGTTGGTTGCAACGCAAGGCGTCATTTGTGCCCTTGGCTGTGGGCTACTCTTCACACCCACGACTCTGTACCTCGATGAATGGTTCATCAAGCGGAAAGGACTAGCGTACGGCGTGATGTGGGCTGGGAAGTCTGCAGCTGGCGTTGGATTGCCCTTCGCCATGGAAACTTGCCTACAGAAGTTCGGACCAGTGGTCACGCTTCGAGCTTGGAGCGTTGCAACGGTATCATTTGCCTATTCTTATAAAAACTCTTTATGAGCATATTATTCACAAGCTCACAGGTCCTCATCTCGGCGCCTCTTCTCTACTTCCTCAAACCACGCATTCCCGTTCCCCAATCCTCCGCCGTGCGCCGAATCAATCTCAACTTCATCCACCTTCCCTCATTCTGGATGCTCCAACTCGGCAACGTCTTTCAATCTCTTGGCTACTTCCTCCCCTACACCTACCTCTCCACCTACGCCGTCCAACAACTTCACGTTTCGACCACCGTCGCAACGACCCTCCTCGTCCTCGTTAACATCACCTCCATTCCCGGTGGCATCGTCATGGGTAGTCTCGGTGACCACCTCCGCGTCACCACCGTGATTCTCATCTCGACCATCGGCTCAGCACTCGCTGTTTTTCTCTTCTGGGGGTTTTCGAGCCAGACGGCGCTGCTAGCTGTCTTCAGCATCACGTATGGCTTCTTCGCCGGCGGGTTCAGCTCTACCTGGTCTGGAGTGCTGTCCGAGTTGAAGGCTGAGAGCCCGGCGGTTGACACGGGTTTCATCTTTGGGTTATTGGCTGGTGGTAGGGGGGTTGGGAATGTGATCAGTGGTCCGTTGAGCGTGGCATTGTTGACTGATGATGGGTGGATGAACGATGGCAAGAGTTGGGGATATAACGGCCAGTATGGTGGGATTATCTTGTTTACGGGCTTTACGGTAATGTTGGGTGGATGGGGTGCGCTTGGTCGGGTCAAGTGGACTTGCACAAGGTGAGGTAAGTGCTTAGATCTGGCCTCAAGGGAAAGTCTCCCGTCCACACCTAACATGGAATTTTACTACCTTAGTCAGGATCGAAAAGGGCAATTTGGCGAATACTAAGATGAATCAAGTTTGCGTGGACTTCCGCCTTGAGGAGGCAATATAGACACAAGATATTGATCATGGGCAGACATTATTACTATTGCAATCTCTATAGTTCGATTGTGGCATAATCCTCAATCTTCCGTGGAAACATACCCATCATTACAACCCTCCGCCTAGTGGTTTCTCTTGTAAATAGTACCGTTGCCGGTAAAATTACCAGTCTGGGTAGTGAAGTCATCAGTGTTGCTGAAGTTGTCGATCTTTCCGAGCAGAATCTCAAGCATGCGGTACGCGACACCAGGAGTGTATCCGGGAAGCTCGTGGCCGGCAAGACGAGCAGTGTAGAACGTCAAACCACGATCCGCGGTCCAAACACCCTGGATGCCAGCACCAGCAAGCGCACCACCGTTGTACTCAGGATGGTAAGGGGCGATGAGAGGCGTGGTGGGGTACTCGGACAAACCCTGAGCGCCGTTCCAGGTCATGTTCTGAATAGCAAAGAGCGTGCCGTTGGTGCTGAGGAGCATGTCGAGGTCACCAGAGCCGATAATGGTGTTGTTGGTGAACTCAATGACGCGCTGCAGGGCACCAGTGATGGCGGGGCCGTTGGACTGGTCAGAACCGCGACGAGTACCGTTTCCAAAAACGTTGACATCGGTGCACTGCTGCCAGTCGGAGTTGAGGGGCGCGTTGAGCGCTTTCTTGACGTCGGTGCGGTTGAAGTAGATTTCGGCGCCAGGCGGGGTGTAGTCGCCGCTGTTCACAATGCCGAGCTGGGAGTACGGGTGCGGGCAGGTCTCGGTAATGTGGTAGATGTTGAAGCAGGGGTTGACCTCGATGATGGCCTCGTAGAAGGTGTCGAACATGTCGCAGGCGTAGACGTCGCTGTTGTAGGGATCGGGCAGGACGGGGAAGGGCTCCTGGGGCGGCGGGAACTGGAAGTAGGTGTCGAGGTAGGAGGAGTAGTTGCACGAGTCCTGGCGATCGCGGACTTGCTCCATGAAGGTCGAGTTGAGGTAGAAGAGGTTATTCCAGAACTCAACGTAGGGGAGGATGACGACCTGCTGCTGGATGGTCTCGTCGCCGATGATAGGGTCGTTGATCGAGATACCGGCGAGGTTGAAGTAGTCGGTATCGTTGGCGGAGATGAAACCATCGGCGATGTATGGGACGTAGTATCCTGCGTACGACTCTCCAGTGATGTAGGTCTTCCAGGTCTTGAGGTCAAAAGTATCGATGAAGCTCTTGTAGAAACCGCGGAATTCGGTCGCAAGCTGAACCTCGTCGGTGATGTTGGGCACTCCCTGTGAGTAACCAACGCCAACAGGCTGCTCAACCCACAGCATGTTGGTCAAGTTGGTCCATGAGTAGGGATTCTGAACGGGGGCAAGCGTGCCCGCTTCCCATGTAAATGGGCCGTTCTCTGTGAGGAAACCGGACAGAGAAGAGCATCCGGGTCCGCCATTGAGCCTGTCGCACGTTAGCAGGCTGTACTAAGTCAACTATGGCTCCATCGCCTTACCAGATAACCACCTCTTCGGGAGTCTGCGCGGCTGTTGAGGGGAAGAACCAAAAGAAAAGCTCGCGGGTCTCGCCGGGGCTGTCGGAGATGGGGAGCAATCCAGCGTAGGATTCGCCAATGTCGAAGGGCACTTCCGGGATGCCAGTGCCGTTGACAGCGAAAGCTTGAAGAGACGTTAGCTTGGCGACCGATGCCTTCACTCCTCATTTTCTTCTTACCCTTGGTCTTTTCTGTCAAGAACTGGGAGGCGCGCTTTTGAAGCTCAGGGTGAGAGAAGGGCTGGTTGGCCGCGCGCCTCTCGACGATGGAACGTGGAAGCGTAGGCTTGATCGGCTTCTTGAAAGCAAGCGCAGACGAGGCGCAAAGCAGCCCGCTGAAGAGGTTGAGGAGCTTCATCTTGAGTTTGACTGGGGAGAAACTACAGCCGGGAGAAGGACCCTACTCTTACCAGAGCTGGCCCAGCCGCGGTATTTGAACATTTTTGTAGATGACGGCATCACTTCACACTGGCCCTGACGCTTACCACAGGCAGAAGGAGGAATACCAAAGTGCCCAAAAGTCCCCTGATAGAATGGGTCACTTCTCGATGACTGAACGGCGGTGGGTCCAGGCAGCTGTTGATCATTGGGTTCATGGTACGTTGGTCGGGAGTTCGGCATGCGAAAGAGCGTTGCTAGCCGGCCTTCTCCAAAGGTACCTTGGACTCATCTGGACCCGCCAGAAAGCTCATATCAAGAAAAGTCGTGTTTAGATTGCCTGAACCTTAAGGTCCTTTCGTAATGAACTTGAACTGATAAGCCTGATTGGTCTTCGCCGAGTCTCGGTGTCATGTAAACTCGATGTTTCCTTCTTAGCGACCAACGGCGCGGAGTAAGCTGGCACTTCTGGGTATTAATCGCGTGTTCGGCTCTTGAAGGCCGCATAAAAGTTATAAGATGACGCACCCGGGCACGAACTGTCACCTTCCCCTTAAGGTTAAGGCAGGTCCCGCAGATCGACAATGAAGCTCCAACGGCCCTCCCGGCGCGTTCGTGATGCGATCAATGTGTCTTAGTCTCGTTGGAGCAGACAGGGCCCGGATAGATCAAGCTTCGGGCGCACGATGCAGCCGAAGCTTGGTTTAGCTTGGCGAAGCTTGTCAAGCTTAGCGACTCTTGGAGGGTGCGCGGCGGCATTGGGCGGGCTGTTTGCCTGGAGCCTGGAGGATGGATACAAACGCGGCAGAGCGGGAGAGAAACAAAAAGTCCGACCTCCCCGGCATATTAACAGGGATCAACGGTTCGCCAGTGTTGGGACCTGCCTGTGAGGTACTACGGTGATATCGTATTGCAAAGTGCGGGATGTCGCGCAATCACGACGTTGAGTGATGCAAGGTAAGGAAGAGGTCGATGCATATTTATGAGGCAAGAAATTCGCTCATGAAGCGCACGGCTTAACTACTGCCCGTCACGTATTTCATGTTTTGCTCAAAAGTTCCAGTTCATCTTATTCTTAGAAAATTTACTTTTCTCTTCCCCCGTAGATTTGTGTTTGGAACCCCGCGTTATCGCCCGTTTCTCGCTTAGTAACCAAAGACACTCCCCCGGCACGTGGAGGTCAAGCGTGGTTGCTATTTACGCTCCGCCTTCCTTCAACAAACCTGTTATTGACGGCGGGAGAAACTTGGGGCAACAACTCCATGGCTCCCTCAATCGCCGACATCACGTGGTGCTAGGCGTCGACTTACGACAGCGGGACGATGGTCAAGATGGTGAAGACCAATCAAAGCTAATAAGCCCAAGAGAAGGATGACATCAGGCGCGTTGGCACCGCAGTCCGGCCCAGTGACTAACCTGTTTGGCGTGTCCTGAGCACTGCCCACAAGTCGCACGGCCACACCGAGCAACATGACCCCTCAATCGCGTGCAGCATTTGCGGCGTGGTTGAAATGTAAAAACGGTTTCAGCCCTCTGTGCAGAAAATAGGCGTAAATCGGCCAATACGATGACCGGAATGTCGTGGCTGAAGATGCTGACGCGGCAGACACACTGCTCATGGTAGTTGGCCTCGCAAGGCCCAACATCCATCCGTCTGACATCGCCAGAGCTGCAGGTAGATAACAACCATACTTCAACCTGACATTAAGGTAACATAAACATACCCACAAGTCGATCGCAAATCTACCATCACAAAGAGCCGCAAAGACGCAACTGCGATGGGACCCTCAAAAGCATCCCCCTCCGAGGCGGCCCCAGCCTACGATGAGCACGGCTTCCACGACGAGCACCCCGTAAACGCATTTCCCCCTTCAGGATCAGCCTCAGCCTACTCGACGATCCCGCAGAACGACGAGCGCGACATCGAGCTTGCGCACAATCACGCAGCTCCAGACTCATCGGCTCCTTTCAATCACTTCAAGCCGCATCAGCACTGCGAGACATGCGACAAATTCACGTCGGCGCGCGAGGTCAGGGCCAACGAGAGGCACTGCTGTCTCTGGGTTGCCATTGTATTCATGACAATCAGCGTCTCGGTAGCGATCTTGGGAATTGTTGCTGTTGAGGCAAAGTTCAAGCATCACAAGGACTAGATAATGGAGCTTATTGGAGCTTATTGGAGCTTATTCAGAGAATTTATGTCTTGAAACTCTTTCAAAGAGTATTGAGCCGGAGGAACATGCGCGGAGAAAGTTTCTTGGCCAGGCCCGCAAGTTAGTTGAGACTTGGAGCCTGTGATCGCCGTACCTCTATATACTTCCCTGCGACTACTCTTGCCTTGATTAAATTCATTTGCTTTGGCGCGCGGTCGTGGACACTAAACTAGTCCCTGTACTTGTATTTTCCGAAACAGATGGACTCACGTACTCTTGTCCCACCCGCAGCTTTCGCTCCATATGTGGTAATTCGCATTTGCATCTGGCTACTTTTCATGTGTTATGCCTAGTGTGGCATCTCCTGCATGATACCTTACTTGTAGCTCCATGAAGATGATCGGGTCCGTCCTATCATAGAAAGTAAGCAAGATCACCTTCGTCCACACAGGCTGATGGATTCAAACTTGAAGAAATAACTATGACCAACATGTTAGAACACACGGATAGTACGTGATGCTGCCGGTGTGGACCACCTCATACGGGATGCTTGACTATAGTGATAACTCTACGGCGACTCGGTAGAACTAGCTTGAAAACTAAGGTGCCTCGAACAGTACTCATATCTACATGCAACCCTCTTCCCGACAACTTTTGCTATCTTCTTCGCTGTCAACAAAAAAACTAAATTGGTTAAGCGCGGGATGTATCATCTCGCAAACCCTCCTGAAAAACGGACTAACTTACCAGTACCCATCAATTTAACCACGGCTCTCCCACAGCCTTGACAAGAGAAATTGAATCCCCAGGACTCCCAGCACGCCCAACATTGCCAGTAAGAGTGACAATGCAAATAACGCAGCAAGTCCTATTCCCAATATTTTGGCCCCTAGTTCAACGTCCCGAAACATACCCAAGATAAATGTGATGAAGACAAAGACACACACCAAAGCGATTACCGACCAGAAGACTCGACCAAAACGCTTTCGTTTGCGTCTGTACTTTCTAAATTCATCTTCACCTCCCGCGGCTATCTCGATTTCTGCCTTCTGGGCCAAGAGACCAGTTATCAACTCGAGAATGCTCAGAAAAGCCACAAAGGGGAACACGAGGGCTCCCAGGAGAACAACAACCCCAACAAAGTCATATAAGAACGGTCCCAGGTCCTTGAAACGTGTTTGCATACTGAGAACCCTGCGCTCAGTGAAAGTGGCAGAAATATGGTGGCAAGGAGTGTCAATTGACGTACACTACTTGTTTGCGTCATATCGCGACCAAGATTAAGAAACTTGAGGTCATGTTCCAGACCATCACGCATCCTTGGAATTATTCCAGTGATTTCTCTGCTAACGCTGCGAATATTCACCTCTTCCCTCAGAATCTGACGTTCTCGAGGGTGAGTAAAAGTGATGTTCTGCGTGTCGGATATTGCTGCCATGGTATCTGTGGCAAGGTGGATCATGTCGATCAAGGACTCGAGCCTCTCCATAGTTTCTTTGCCAAACGAGTGGAACTTTTCGAGATTAACAGAGTCTTCAGTGATTCCTTGCAAATGCCACTGCTTTAGTCTAGACCGACGTGGGTCATATTTCGCTCGCCGAATGTCCAGATAACCCTCCTCGGATTTGAAGAGGAAAGACGCGAACAGGATCAGATGAGCGTGAAAAAACTGAAGCATGAAGGCTATTTTCCGTATATCAGGGTTCCGCAGTTCCTGTTACATCTCATCGAGATTTCGAAGCTGCGAAATGAATGTTTCGGTGGCAACCGCCGCTTGCCCAGGCAAAACTGCCTTTAGATCTCTGCGTTCGACCGATGTGCAACAAGATACGAAGACTATCAGAGGTCAGCGACTGATGTGAAAATCTTTGCACATGGCCCTAGTTGAGTCAGTTATCTGCAAATGGCCGCTCTGAATCACTCTGCTGAAACACCAAATTGCGTTCGACCCGAACTACAACAGAAACAGCCTCATTTCCACGGCCGCGACTTTGTAGTAGAAGTCGGCTTTTGTGATACCTCATCATTTCGTATTCGAAGGTTTCAAAACTTTCAAAACTGAATGGCTGCATCTCGCGGGTGAAATCCTTTGAAGACAACACCTGTAGAAAGGTTGTCGAGCATTCTGCCGTTCTACGCCAGGGGAATCCAGATGCAGAAACAGGGCGATCGAGTCGGAAAAATCATCGACAGCCACTCGATTACTGCTAGCGTTTTGGGTGCTCACTCCCGGGCCGGCTTCGTGTTTGTCTGGAATCACGATCGCTGGACCAGAGATTCCCCCATCTACCTCGTCGCGAAGCCAGATAACTGTCGACTATATTCCGGAGTCATCCCAGAACCTCGTCAGGTGATGCAATCCATCACCATCGTCGTAACACTCCCAGGTTTCTTCAAGATCTTCGGTTAGATCACGCACCGCATGTTTGAAAATATGGTAAACCGATCGGGTTGACGAAGTGCGGCTTTGGGTATAGGAGAAGACGGTCGCGGCGCTGGACACAAAACTGAGTAGTGCCGCTGCGAGCCCAAGGACCTCAATGGCGCTCATCTTACGCTAGGCTGTGTGGAGCCTTTATTTTCGCGAGTATTCCGCTGTTTTTCTTGGTCGGTCTCTCACTAAATTTGTTTTTGGTTCAACTATGACTGCTGGACAAGTGCCGAGCAGGAGAAGCATAGAATGATCACTTTCCTGCAGGCTGCGCGAGTGACTGATATTATGATAAATGTACCTAAAGAACACAGTCAATGGTAGCACTTTGTCAAAGCAGCCTGATATGCTACTACATGCACTAATCGTGTGATTCCAGGCCGGATTGCATCGATGGGGACGTTGATTGGCACTCAAACTTTCCTGTGGCGGGTGGATGCTTTCTGTTGCGCTTGCATATGAATGCATTGCAACAGGAAACAACTGTGGCTTCAATATTGGCTTCGCACGTTGATGATTTCATTGTTTTGTGTGCTATTCTCATATTTTTTGCTTGATCATGGCTAATTCCAAGCAACCACCCAGCCAAGTCTCACTGCGGCCATTCACATATCATGTAAGACTGTGCCCTCCCCAAACCAGGTAGGCAGTCGGTCCAAAGTCACTTTTGTCCCCGAACAGCTTGAGTGTTGAGATTGAGACGATATCCGTTGAAACCAAGAATCTGCTTTCTATATCCATCTTCATTCCTGAGAGATGGTAATTTATCTATCAATGCGGTGATTTCGCACGGGATATGAGCAACATGGACCAGTCTTATCTCATTAAGCGCGACTTAACGTTATTACATCACCATTTGGGGCAATACCCAGTCGTTCGATGATCCTAACCTATTACCGCCTGGCCATTCCCGGCAATTAAATATTCAAAAAGGCGTAGAATTGGAGAAGATACGGGGACATGTGTTTAACGTTATTTCAGGCTTAATGGAAGACACCTTCTATTCTCTTTTTACTTCCGATTCATACATCACTCTTTGTTCCAAAAGTCGCATACCCTCAAGGAAGCTACGGTAATACTTATATCAGCATGATGATTCTGTCCATCTTTCCTCCGTTTAACTCCCATGTTTCTCAGCTTTGGTTGCTTGGGGTACAAGCTAGCCAAGCACACTTGATGTCGGATTAAGTAGACGACGATGCGACTATCGACATCTTCCTTGGGCTCGGATACTGGTACATGCTTCCAGTATTCTTATAGATAGGCTTTGCCCGGTGGATATCTAGGATTCTGGAAAGGGGCTAATTCGACTAAAGGACGTGTATTTCACGTTAGCGCAAACCGCCTCAGCAAATTGTCCAAGGATCCTATCGTAGCAACGCAATTTTTAACTAATCTTCGTTGTGAGCCCACAATGCGTTGGCATCATACGCAATGATGTTTTCACTGTTTTCTCTGCACTGTACGTTTCCAGGCCAAAGATCAGTGTGACACAGAGTCGGTCTAATGGAGCGACCTCCCGTCTCCAAAGGGCGCAGGTATCGAGGAAGAACTTTGTCCACAAAGAACTTTAGTGTCGCTTCGTCTTCGGCGCTGTGGGCTCCGCGAATGGCCTTGAAGGATCCACCGCTTGGACATCGAGATTATCTTCCATGGGGTCGATTTTGATAACTTTGATGTTGCTGGTCTGTAAATGTGCTTTTGCCTCTTTTTCGGTAGACGTTTTGGTAAGTGAGCAATCAACACTATCGGTTGCATGTGGGCATTTTTCTCTCGGCCATCGGCAAAGACTGTTGTTCAGGTGGTACCTCAGTTCCTGTCTGATATGTCAGGGGCTGGTATTGACATTCATCTGTTGGAAAGGAAGGAAAAGCCAGATTTACCGCATCTACCTTATTCAGTCTTTGTTGCCACCTTACTTTCCGGAGTGCATTCACCTACATGCCTGATTTCATTGTTCTGCAGGGGTTCTAGATGTAACCGGTATAGAATCCGTCAATGATCCTCCTGCAAAAAGCAAAAATCTCAATTTTGATTCAAAGGGGAAGTCAAAAACGATCCATGAGTGCAGCGAGAGGTGAACTCATCCTCCTATAAGAAGGGAACATCGGCCTGTGTTCATTCAACGTTGGATTGCCTGTCTATTTCCATCAAACCGAAATTTATGCGATCATAGCCAAGATGTCGAAGTCTCGTATGTGGTCACTAATATTCACTCGGTCACCAAAAGACATCATTCTGGTGTGAACAGATGCATTTTCTGCTTTCTCGGAAAGGCCATTTATCTCCATGTCGCGTCGGCGTGAGACAGGCCCATCCATCTAACCTACTGATGAGGAGCTTTAAGAGCAATGAGGCAAGAGACTGATTCAAAGTGATGTGATGGCCACCGTTCTGTAAGACCGGAGAACCTAGCACTTGCCAGACTAGCCCTCCAATTTGTTGGCGACGTGGATCTCGCGAACATTAGTCATATTCACGCCTACAAGCTTCCAAGCCATAACACCCTTCTCGATATCACGATCCTTGTGATCGAGCAAGATATAGCTCAGGACAGGATCGGTAAAGTTCGCCTCCTGACGAAAATAGTAATCCTGCTTGTTCTCAATGAAGGCCTGCTCGTTGTCGGCATAGCGCTCGTGCTTGCGGAAGGTATCGACGAGCTTCTGGTCGAGGAAGAGCTGGCCTGCGTGGGTGGCGACGTTGTTCTGGATGGTGCCGTTGGCGAGACGGTCGGTGCCGGGGACGTGGGTCATGATGTGGATGTGGGGGGTGCGACCGGAGTAGTGGCCGGGCAGGTTGGTGCCGAACCAGACGGCGCCGTCGGCGTTGGTCTTGCGGAGGCCGCGGTGGAAGGTCTTGTCGCCGTTGGAGGGGTCGGCTTCACCTGCACCGTTGGCCTTGGAGACAACGCCGGAGTAGATGCCGGTGGAGTTGGTGTCTGCGTGTTGGCAGTTAGTTGGATGTTGAGGGTTTGGGGGCAGGAGAGGGCATGGACTTACGCCAGACTTCAACCCAGATGTCGGGGACGGGCTGGCAGGTCTCGGTGTCGATGATCTGAAGATCCAGGTATATGGGGATGCCAGACTGGCCATCGGTCAAGTCGAAGCGGTCGAGCTCTCCCTCGACGTCTGTGGGTAATGTCAGCAAATTCCGGTAGAATGATACAAAATCAGCGAGAGAGGAAGACGTACAGAAAGGTCCTTCAGTAGTCTCGATGCTCAGAACACAGCCGTCGTCACGGTTAGCGAAGATATCCACGTCCGGGGTGCGCCAGTTAACGCTGTCGTCAGTGATCCCATGGTCAATCTTCAGCACGGAGTCGACATCACGCATGGTGATGCCCAGGTGACGGAAGGTATCGGCAAGCTGGGCGCGGCGATAAGCGGCCTCATTAATGTGGTCGCGCTTCTCGAGCTGGATGTTGTAGTGGGCAAGGTTCATGGCGTTGTTGAGGGCGTAATCCTGGCGAGCAGCGATCTCAAAAGCCTGGTTGACAGTTCCGTGGGCAGAGCAAGGGTGGATGATAGAGAGCATGCCGTAACAGAAGACGTAGCCACCGAGATATGCCACAATGACAGAGATCACAAACTGAAAGAGTGTGTTGGTCTTTCGCTCGGGCAGCATGCTCGCCTCTGTGACGATGCGGTAGTGGGAAGCAGGGTAAGGCGCAATTTGGCCCTCAGCAGTCTCATAGTAGACACGCACGCCGTGAGGAAGAGAATCCTCTCCAGCTGGGTCTGTCATGTCAGAATATTTCTTTGAGATCTATTTAGGTTGGGGAGGCGGGGCAGGATGCTTGAAATATTCGCCAATGCGATGAAAGGAAGGCGCTTGCGTTGTGCAAGTTCAACAGCAAAACGTTTGTTCGAAAATAAAAACATACCAGCGACGACGCGAATATCGCGAATATTCTGCACGTCCATTGTAAGTAACTCTCTGGTGAGTAGTAAAGAGCTTTGTTGTTGTGTCGGTGCAAAGGTTTTGCTGAAGGAGCCAATATCGTGGTGAGTGTTCTGCCAAAGGAGCAGGTAAGAGTGTGGGCGAGGAAGAGATGTCCTTTTTCGCAAGAGGAATTCGAGAAGTCAAGTGGGGGATATTGAGGTAGGGCTTGAAGATGGGATAATTGTCGTATTCCCCCGTGATGAGGAGTGCCTGAGGTACTTGGGAAGTTGAGCAGTGAATATTCACGGGATGAATCACAGTTGAGGTGTGAAGATATGTGTCACGTGTGGAGGTCCTGAAGAAAAGTGTGTGTTATGACCCCAGGTGGTTTCTTTCTACCTTCGTGCCTCTTATGATCAAGATATTCTGTAGCAACATATACCTTACTCAGCGGACCGCCATTCTTTGATCGGCTTCTTCCTCCTCAAACCGTCCTAACCAAGCCCTATCAGTCTTGCAATAGCATCTGTATAGCATCATTTTTTCCAACTCCTCAAACGTCTTGTTTTATACCCAACTTCTACAGCACTTCCATCTCATTCCAGCCCAGTCTCCTTCCACCACTTATACCGATAACACACGAGCCTCGCATCAACCTCCTTCTCAAACCTCTCCCTCCACCCCTCAGGCATCTCCCCATGGAACCTCACAACCTCCAACCCCTTCAACGCCGCCAATACCCCAAAGAACTCATCGTGCTTCTTCTCCGTCAACTTGGCCTCCCAAACCTTGGGATTCGGCGGTCCCGGCCTCGGCTCCCAATCCACAACAAGCTCTGTCAAGTCCTTCGCACGCCGCGCCACCTCGGCGAATATTGCCAGCCACCGGTTCCAATTGGGGTACTCCATGGCGATGAGGACATATAGCCGGCGCAGGCGCTCGAAGCGCAGGGTCCCGTGGACGGCGAAGCCGATGCGCCGATCGCCGTAGCCGTGGGAGTGCACGCGCATAATGGCGTCGGCGTGGACGGGTTGGTGGAGCTCGCGGTAGACGCGTTTGCATGTTAGCATGAGCGGCGGCAGGGGTTTCTTGTATTCCCCTTGCTCGAAGTAGACGTGCAGCGGCCGGACTGTGTCGCCAAAGTCATCGTGGTCGAACGAGAGATAGTACTCGTAGATTTTTTCTCTGATTTCCCACGGGAGGCTAAATAGACCCGAGCAATTCTGTTTCAAGGCTTCGCTCATGATGATTATGTGTGTATGCATGTGATGGTTCTATCATCATGTTAGATCGGGTAAATCGGAAGGATCGGGAGACAGCGGCTGGGCGGAAGGGTGGGCCACATACATTCTTTGCTGGTTTGCAGCATACGCTGTGATGTTTGATGATTAAGGCCGCAATTGACTTTCTTCAGGTTTCTTTACAATTGACTGGAAACATGTTTCTTCAAATGCAAATGTCTGCCTGATATCACGCCGCTGCTGCCTGCGCGTTGGTGGATGTCGTTTCTGCGGGAACGTCTCACGACGTCGGCCAGTGGGGTTTAGCCCCGCTTCCGGCTGTTTAGACCGAAAACACGCGCTTCTTCGGGTTTAAGGTGCTGACAAGCGGGGTTCCCACCTTCGGCCCCGTCGGCCGCCCTCCGGTGCGGGTCTCCCGGTTGTTGCCCCGTCCAGGCCCTTGCGGTTTCCTTCTCCGTCCACCGAATGGCGGATGAGACGTACATGCCTTGGAAAGAATTCTTGCAAATTTCATGGATTGTGCCGACAAAGCATCATGTCACATCGGTATGAGCTTTGCAAGAGTGGTGACTTTTGACTTACTACACAACATGTCCATCAAACAACACCCTCCAGCATAATGTCTCCCCTCCCCGGCGGCCCCAACTTCATCTCCTCCACAGCCTTAACCCACTCCTCCATCGTATTCACATTCGTCAACCACCACTCACACCCAGCCGGCGCATCAACCATCAACCCATCAAGCTCCCTCGCCGTCTCCTCGGGCCGCGGATGCCCCCGCGCAACCCGCTCCGCCAAACGCGACAGCGCAGGCGGCGCCCATATCGCCAGCAGCGGCTCGCATACCCCCTCCGCGGTGCGGAAACACGTCACGGGCACGGCGTCGCGCTTGACGAACAGGTGGAAGAAGGCTTCTGCCGGGATCAGGGGATAGTCGCACGCCAACACGGCCCAGTACGCCCACGCGTCGTAGCGGTATGCTGCAAGGAGTCCTGCAGCAGGGCTGCCGGCAGCAGAGTACTTTGCATCTGCATTTGCGGGGTGGTAGTCGCGTAGAATCTGTATCCTGGGTCTTGATGGTGTTTTACAGCCTTCACTTTCGGGGGACTGGTCGGCGGGAGTGGTCGCCTGCGCCAGCAATTCGTCGAGGAACTCATCTGTCTCGGACTCCTGCGCCAGCGAGATGAAGATCGTCTGCGGCTCCGGGAAGATGGTGCGTAGTAGTTGCAGCTGCCGCCGGTACAGGGGTGTTCCGTCGGGCATCCGGAGGAGGTGTTTGGGTGTGCCCATCCGAGTCGACTTGCCGCCCGCCAACAGGAGTGGCCTCATAGCTGGTAGTCCCATGGTTTTGAGTATTTGATGACTGTCTCTCTTGTCTCGCTTGATAATCTACCCGAAAGGTTGGGAACTAACTGTTGATTCTGAGTTCTCGTGCCAAAGGTGGTTTGATGCTGTTCACAGAGACCACGAATGAAGCGGGAACGGATACACGGCCTAGAGCTTGAGGGGATACCTTTGGTGAGTAAGCCACGTTTGAACGCTTTTACATTGTGTGCGACACGATGTTGTTCCCGGGCGTCATGATTACGGCATGACGCAGCTGGGGCTAGTGTAACAATCGACAAAGAACCGATCTACCCGTTGATCTATCCGCCTTCTATGCGCCCAGACGTTTCCTGTCTGGGCGCCATGCATATCACTTAGCCCAACCTCTCCATATCGTCCGCCCCCAGGTTCCATTGTGCCATGGTGGAAGAGGGCTTCACTTTTTCCACCCTGTCTTACCCTTTCCTCCAGATCCTTCCGCGGTGGAACATCATCAATAGAACCACCAATCATCACAGCATCAGCACCAACCTCCCATAGTATTATTCGATGAGCGTTTCCAGGATGCCATTGGTCTCCAAACCAAACAACGTCCCCCCTCAACCTCAACAACCACAACCACAGCCACCACCCCATGGATCATCATCAGTCCGAACTTCAATCCGTGACTTCTCCTCACAATGGTTCCTCACTCCCCAAGGAACAGCAATAACAGCCACAGTCCTCCACCAACTAGACTACCGCTTCCCGGGCCTCATAATAATAGCCTACACCTTCTGGGCAACCTCCATCCTCCTCCTGCTGCTCATGCTAACCCTCTACGCCGCCCGCCTAACCCTCCACCGGACACACACCATCCGCGCCCTCAAACACGACGACGCAGAACTCGCAGGCCTCGCAAGCATCTCCATAACCTTCACCTCCGTAACCCAAACAGCCTCCCTCGCCCTCGCCCCCGACAGCGGTAACAATAACACCGGAGGACCCTGGAGCGCAACAGTCCACATCCTATGGTGGATCTCCTTCGCCCTCGCAACAATAACCATTCTCATCCTCCCCTTCATCTCCATCAAAGTCTACCCACCAGGCGTAGCCCACCTCTCGCCCTCGACCCAGCTAGCACTCACAGCAGCACTCACAGCCGCAGCAGCAGGCGGGACCCTCTGCACATCAGCGGCGAACCTCACCAGCACCCAACAGGTCCCCATCATCGTCGTATCCTACCTCCTCATCGGCATGGGCCTGCCCCTAGCTTTCGCGCTAGACGTGTTATTCTAGGCGCGGCTGCTAGGGAACAACGAACCTCCCAAGGAGAAGGCCTTTCAGGACATGATCCTCTGCGAACCGTGGGGCCAGGCAAGTTACGCGCTGCAGATACTGGGACAGGCTGTCATCGGCGGCAGCTTCGCTTCGTATACGGGTAGCGGCGCCCTTTTCTCCGCGGATGCCGCTGCCGCTCCGGTGGGCTACCCGAGTATCTTTGCCGGTCTCGTAGCCTGGGGTCTGGGGACGTACTGGTGGCTCTTTGCCATCCTAGGCGTCTTTCGCGCCTTCTTTGCAGGGGGATGGAAGCCGAATCGGATCCCGTATACTCTTGCTGGATGGGCCATGGTTTTCCCATGGGTGAGTTTTTACCCCAGCGTTTTTCTTTGGCTCGGCTTAGAGGGGACTTCTCTAATCTTGCAGGGCGTCTACACCAATGCGGTACTTCAGTTGGGTAAGATTTTCGGATCCCGAGCCTTCAAGATGTGGTCTACCTGTTTGGCCGTTATGTTGGTCCTGATATGGCTTTGGAATGTTGGCTTGATAATGAAGGTGTTTTTTGATAAATGTAAAGCTAAAAGACTAGTGCTGGCCTCTGCATAACCGAATAATTCGTATTCCAAACTTCCAACCTCGAGAACTTTGCCCCCAGGGTTGAGAGTGATAGTCACGACGTGGTTATGGGTTAGGAAATGTAGCCGCTCATGTTTGTTGTGCTTTAGAACTGAAGTACTCAACCTCGCTCCTTGCGTATGCTACCATGAGCAAGGAAATTCCTTATTAGCCCTCTCACGCGTAGTCTTAGGATATATCATCACCAAGAAATATGCTGTCAAAGACTCAATAACTTAATCACGGCATTGATCACCTCTTCAAATAATTCCTTGCCTGTTTCGCAAAAAAATGGACGATGAATCTCGCCTCAAGAATCATTACATGTACCCAACGGCATCGTCATATTGTCATACCCGCTCCAAAGCCTACCACAACTAAGACCATGGAACGCAATCCAAAGCACATCACCAACCCAGATTGACGTCAGCAATTTATCAAAGGAGCCTCCATGGCTTTGGTATCTCAACTGCCATTCTGCGACAGCCTCATTGGCACTGACCGTCTAAGAGACACACACGGGAGAAACTTATATCATCGCGGAACCATTAGAGATCTTTTGCAGCAATTGCCGCCGCATCTTTCCATGTACATCACTTCATTTGTAGCCGACATAGGAGCGACACCACATAGGGGCAATATTGCTTGTTCTCTGCAAAGGAAACCTTTTGTTGACCTTGTGTATGACTGGAGCAAAAGTAGACATTCGCAACTCTTTCAGCATGCAAATGCAAGAGCCAAACGAACAGCATGCCGCAAGTATAAAGGAATACCAAATCTTCCCTCCCTATAGACTCCGAATTACCCTTCGTCCCACGTGCCGAGCCCAAACTCCGTCAAGGTAGCAAGAATCACAGACCCAGAACTTTCCCAAATCAGATTAGGGGTATGATGCTGTCCATCTATGGCGCGGAAACCTCGAATTAACGCCGTTCAAGTGACCCCCTTATTGCTGTGCTTGCATGTTCGTTGTGTTGTGTTGTCGTCAAATTTCAAAATAGGAAAACCGCTGTGCGGGTGTGTACCAAGGTATGTTGGTGTGTTGTCAAGGTTCAACGAACCCTTTAGGGTAGTGCAGCAACGCTGCCCGCCAGTAGAGCGTAGTTAGCGAGCTTGAGAGACAAGACTCGCGATCGAGGGTAATCGGGGCTTATAATCATGCGACCGTCCTTGTTGAATCCGACTTCGCCGAATGACTCACTTAGCTGCTCAAACTTTGCGTTCGGCCGGACTCGATTTAGCTCTGTGAGAATGTTGTCGCTCCAGACTCCGGAACACCAGCCGTCTCTCAGGACAAAGTATGGATTCAAGGGAGGGACGGGAGAGTCTAGCACTAGTTAGCAAGGGGGGAATCTAAAAGATGCGAGACATGACTTACCCAAGTCCACGAAGCGAATCCGCAGGTAGTCCAAAGCCTTGAGAGTCGACATCGAGTGAATGCCTGCCAACACAAGCATCTCGAAAGAGTGGATAAAATTCATGTCCTGAATACCGCTGCCAGAATCATGGAACTGCGGTACGGGGCGACAGCAGTTCTTGACCGTCAGATCAATCGTCTTGAGTCGCGTCGTTCTCGAATCCGATCTAATCGCCGCCATATTGAAGAAATTCTTGCAAACGCGACCGGTGTAGGCCAGATGCTCTAGCGCCGGAGTTGCCTCGGCCAGCTTCGTGCAGAAGTGAACCTGGTTGGAAACCTTCATGTAAAATGGAGGGCAAGTGAGCTCCCGGCGGTAGTCGCTTTCGAGGCACAAGTTGAGGTAAGTGAGATTTGTGGGAAGTTTAGGTAGAATGCTGGCCATGCTCAGGTAACTCTTAGACTTGGGCTTGCTGTAGGAGCCATGCCACTCGTTGAGGTTTGGAAGAGCTGCTAGGAAGGCTGAGAAATCCGAGTCTTCGCGCATCAAGTTCCACTGGCCTTTGGTGACCAGGGTGCGAACGGAGTGAAGGGTCGGCAGATGCCAGCCAGGGGGCCGCTTATGCCAACTGTGCTGTACTTTTGGTGCCTTCTTTCTTTCACCTCCCTCGATGGTCAGAACGCAGACGTCAGGTAGGGCCATCGAAACAAAGGTGAAGGCTTCTTCGAGACTGCAGTTGTTGGCGGGGAGGGTGTATGTCGCATTTGTCAATCCGTCCATTGTGACCGTGGGAAGAGCAAGAGTAGTGCTCAACGCCAGCGGACCGTACTTGGGCTGGAAGACTGGGAACCAAATCTCAATGTGCTTGACGTAGTGCCGGAGATGGTTGTGTTCGCTAAAGTACATCATAGCAAGCTCTAGCGACTCGATGGTGGCTTTTATCTTGATGTGACGATACAGACGCTCCTGGATCAGGATTCTCCAGACAGGACTGACGAGAGCAAGCTCCGACAACTCCCTGCGTCGCGAATGACGAAGTGCGGTCCCCCAACTCTTGGTCACGCTCTGCATGCCCACCGAGCTCTTGGAGTTTGTGGACACTCGGTATCCGAAAAGGTGATCGAGGATGCATTCGTGAATTTCGGCTGGCAAGTCATTCAGATTCAGGGAGGGCGTGACCTCGGGGGTCTCGAGAGTATAGGAAGGAGTGGTGATGCCCGGGCCTCCGTAGGCATCGATGTCGTCGGCCATCGGAGTGCAGCAATCCGAGTTCCGTTGATCGGGGTGTAAGAAGGGCGTGCTGCTTGGACGTGTCGGGGGCACGAATTCATTGCTCTTTGCCTGCTCGAGAGGTGGGCTTGATGGGCCTGGGGATACTGGGTTGGATGAGGTGTTGAGTATGGTTGAAAGGATGGAAGCAGAGGCTGTCATAATCGAGGTCAACTCTTCAGTGGCGTTGGCAGTGGCATGGTAGTCGTCTCGCGACTGTCGCCTATCGATACCGGAGGGGTCTCGGTCTCGGGGGACGTTGTTCGTGACGTCGGCGTCGTCGTCGGTTGAAGGAAAGGACTGTTCGACGCAAACGGACATGGTCGTCAGGGCGGAGAAGATGATTCTTTGGAGCGAAAAACTAAGATTTTCGGAGAAGGGGGAGGATTGAAGCCGTTCCTAGATCATGGCCCGACAATCTCCAAGGGGGAGGGGACGGGGAGCGGCGGCGACGGCGGCGATAGCGGGATTGCTGATCAAGCGGAGGGAAGAAAGGCGAAGGGAGATTGGCTCTGGACTGCTTTGACGATGGTGGGGGAAATGAATGTCCCAATAATTCAGAGACCCTGGATAACCCAGACCGGGGGGGGGGTCACAACAATGCTGAGCAGCTGTTTTGGTCGGCTGGCGGCCGTATTCGTCAGGTTGGTCCCAGTGGAAAGTAGCGCTGCGCTGGGGTCTCTTCGCTTCGCCCAAGCCACTTTACGCGGTCGGTCGCGTGCGCAGCGGCAGGGAAACGGCCCAATGTGTGGAAGCGCCGATAAAGAGGATGCGGACGGCGGCGGGAGGAGAGGAGACGAGAGGAGGGAGGGGGTGGAGGCCAAGGCGGAGGGAGAAAGTTGTATGGCTAGGTATCCAGAGTAGATTGTGAGAGGGCGAAAGGTATGATACCGGATGGAGTGATTGGTGGCAGACAGTACAAGGCTTGGTCGGATGGGTGAAAAGAATGGAAGTGTCGACTCTTGGGCGACTGAGAATGCGAGCCCGAGAGATGATTTGGAGAAGAGAGGGAGGCCAGGAACACACGGCGATGGAGGAAGAGAGAAGAGTGTCCGTAGGTGTTCCGTTAGAGGTGGATTGCGGCAGACGTTGAGGAGAAGCCGTTGTCGTAAGAGGTCACCTTGCGAGACAAAGAGAACAACAAAACTAAGAGGAGGCAGAGGTAGAGGCAGCAGAAAGCGGATGTGGATGTGGAAAAAGGGTTGTTGGATGTTCAATGCTGTGTCTGGAAATGAAACGGGTACCGGACATTTGGAAAATGGTCGAGCGGACGGGAAGCGCGAGGCAAAGGGAACTTGGGAAGGAAAGGGCTGCGCTGCGCTCTGCTGCACTGCGCTGCGTCCCGGTGTCTGCGCCTGCGCCTGTGTTCTGTGTTAGGTGAGGCAGCGGTGGTGCGGGAGCGATGCGCCGGGTTGCGGGTACCGGTGTGGCACGGTAAGCCTGTAAGGTGAGTGTGCGGGCCACCTAGACGGTCAGGTAAAGGAAAAAAAAGGGGAGGCGACCCCGACTGCGGCTTGTTGGTTATGCCACCAATGTATCCGTAAAGCAAGGTAATTACTGCAGTCTGTCTGCTGTTGATGCGTTGGTGAGGCAGGCGAACTGGCGACGGGGGTGGCGTGGTTGGCTTCGTGTTTCCGCAGTGGGCAGGCAATGAAGTGTGGCACGAGATTGGACGGACAGAATGGGGGTAACGACTCCGTGATGAGGTCAATAAACTGATGAAATATCTGATTGAGTCGTTTTGAGAGGAGAGTATGTAGTATGTACCAAAAGGTCAAGAAGGCGAGGAAATTAAAGCCAATATTGAAGTGGTCTGCTTATGATGGACGGATACTCATTCCGCAAGTTATATTTATTGGGCGAAAAGAGGGGAAAGTAACATCAACAAGGCGACTTTTTCAAGGAAGCATGACAGGACAATAAAACATGACGGCACAGAAGGATACACGGAACGGCGGTCGGTAGCTTTATTTTCTCTCCTACTTATCGGTTCCCAAGTACCTTGTTCTATTTCTCTGGGCCAGAGTTTCCATTGAATGCATGGATACCTGTTGAACATACCAAGGCAAGGTAAGTCGACCTTTTGAGTACCAGGGACAAAGTAAATGTGAGGTGCAAGACAGCTGGTTGCAATGGTAACACAAGGCTGGGCCAAGGAATGAAGGAAAACTCTTTCCTCCTTCGCTGCATTTCTCTTTAATTCTTCTTCATTTACGAGCACTACGGCGACAGTTGCAGTAGTAAACATCTTTCAAGGCCAAGAATGTACACAATCTAAACCTGAGTCTAATCAAGGTCCCCCACCCTGATGCACATCTCCCGGCATGCGGATACAAAACCACACGAATGTCCCGTTTGGCTGGCTCATTTGACACTCACTACCTTGAACCTTCACGGTACGTTCAACGTCAGCGCGCATTGCAGCCTAGAACGTCAGAGTCAAGACTCACTGCCCACCTCGTGGATGAGACGTGCACAGCCGTCCCTGCATGACGAGCTCCGAGTGCAGAGTCAGTCCCATCGCATTACCTTCTGGGTTGCAAAAATCGGAAGTGTAAATTACTTTACCTTGTGCTACTTTCTCGAGGTGTCTTATCGGTCGACTTTATCGCTTCGCCTTATCGCGCAATCTTGGCTTATCAGAACCCTGCCAGTCACATGGTCGGGGGTCCACTCACAAAATGCCCGATGGCTTACATCAGCATTTACATGAACTCGAGCAGCGGAAAGACCGACACAATTACAACGTCAAGCCACACATCCCACCTTTGAGCGATACATGAATTTCGAATCTAACAACGGACTGCGGCTTCATCGTGTCATTGGAACTTGCTTCCTTGCTCACGATAGCATGTTTATAGGTGCTGGACTTCCAGCCTCCCAGATCTGACGAAATCATTGGCATGGATCCAAGGCATAGATACTGCTGGCTACGCCTGATCCTAGAGTAGCCATCATGCGCCGTGTAGCCACATATGCTCGAGATGCTAACAGCACAGAGACGACAGGAAATTCGTCCACAAGGCCCAGACCAAGGTTCGGCATCACAACGAAACACCTCCAATTGAGTTGCTCGGGTAGGCTTCGCCAACCTTCTACCGTTTCAACTTGTTCTACAGCAAGCATGGCTGCTGCAACTACCAACCTATTTTTGCGAGTACAAGGTCACGCGGGGCAATTGAGTCAGCTCGAGGGGTCGCCAGACGTTAACCTTGAATCAATGTCATGACAGCGTTCGGCTGTAAGCTTGCCGCTGAGGGTTCGTCCCAGTCGACTGACTGACCAAGCAATCCATCGCAGATAATCGCATTCCGAGTCGTGGCCAAGGGCATACGTTCCGATGTTAATCAGACCCAATCCGGGTCGAGTCAGACTGACAGCTTTCATCGGCAAGACCACCGACCTCAGGAATGCTGCGAGGATGGAACGGGGAATCAACAAAGCAACCCAAACCGCCCCATCTAATGCCAGGCAGAATGGGAGGGAGACGCCTCTTTATCATTACCGCTGAGCCTCGGACTGACTCTTGCAGGCTTGGCTGCAACGCCCAAGCATTCGGAATTTGAAATCAGCCACGAGCAATGCCGAGTCTGGACTTCAAGCGTGCCTGACTCGAACATCGTCCCAGGCGTGGATTTTGCATTTCGCATTCTTGATTGATCACCATCTCGGCGTAAACGCCCAGCAAAGTCTAACAATGCTATTGAAACGACACGTGTTGAGCCGTCGCAAGATTTTGCCGACGTCCTTATGCCAACTGTCTTAGAGCCTCTCGTTCGGATCACAGATCGCCCTGAGATGAAGCATCAGACCCTGCATTCCGGATTGTGGAGGGTAGCACGTCTCTCGACTCTTTTAATAGCAAAAGACAAATTGACTTTCCACGGCGCGCGGCGGATGAGCCGAACCCAGGGATGCGGTGTATCGCGGGGCTCTGCCCGGTGGGGAAGAGCCGAGAGATGGATGGCCACACCCGCGCGGCCGGGCTGGCGGCGGGTAACGGAGATGATATGGTCTGGAACTTGCAGCGGAAGCAGCTTGTTAACCGGCAAACTGCAAAAGGCATGACAACCGGCGAGGCCTTTGGCGACGGCTCCGAGCTGTCGCCATATTCACGCGTCGATATCGAATCACAAACATGATCTACAGTATCTGCAAACATCGAATTGCGTAATTCGCTGCACTATGACACCAGTACAGTGGAAATACGCCCTTACTGCGGCACCAAATGTCGGATGTGCGGTACGAGCTGCTTGTGTCCCCAGAATTCGGTAACGTTTCTGGTACTCGAACGCGCACGCAGTGGTTCACTCCGAGGTTTTGTCAGCAGGATGTCAATAAGCTAGGTGCAATAAGTAATGGAACCATCCCCGAGGGCGACGTCCAAAATGTCTTGGCGGTGTTCGAGCAGGGGAGTATCAGCATGCTTTTTCAACATCTCGAGACGAACAAGCGGAGAGAGAGACGCGCCAACTCCGGGACAAGACAACCTGATGATGGAAGACCGATGACGACTGATGCGGTTTGAGTATGTTCTTGTTGAAACCTGCCAGGGCGTCGAGAAACCCGCGCTGGTAACCACTATCCTCGTATCGTCGGAAAACACTCGCGCCGCAGACCGGCCCTGACAACGACGGTCTCGACTGTATCTGCGACAAGCGAAAGAGAGATGTATGGACCATCTGGTACATCGGATTGTAGCCAAGTTGCGGCGTTCATTCGATATTGCCTGCGGCTCTGGAGAATTCGATCTAGGAATAGGCCAGCGGACAACTTGGAGCCCTCCGTTGGGGATCGACAGGCACATACACACAACTGGGGCTAGCTACAAGCCTAGACAAGGAAGTTTAGGAGACACGGTCGAGATTTCAAGATTTCCAAGGCGCTGATCAATGCAGGTAGTTTAATCATCGCCGGTGTCCGGAAGATGAGAAGCGGCGCCCTTCTCTTCGGAGGCGGCGGAACGTCTACATATCCATATCTGCACATACGCCGCGGCTCATCCTCGTGGGCCGAATGACTGGTCCAACTTCCAGCAATAACATTTCCCGGATTCCAGATTACCTTATTTCGGGTCTGGGATGTAATGGCGGATACGATGAGCTCACAAAGAACGGACCCGAGTCTAGAAGCAATCGATAAATTCGATATCGTCGAAGCGAGGAGACAAGCGAGCGATGTTTGTCTGCAGAGTCGCATCGTGACGGGGGATGGGCCCCTCCTCGAATTTCCAAGCTCACGACGGTGGCGGAAGGCCGAAGTGGACTGACCGAGGAGGAGGGGGGTTCATCGAATATCGCTTACCAACACCAGCAGGCCGAAAGGTCCTGAGCCTCGCAGCAGTTTGGCGCTTGTTGGTGGTTTGTCCCACCAGCGCATCGAAGCCCAAGTCGAGCACAACCGCAGGTCCACCCTGACCTGTCAAGACTCGAGCAGACTACAACGGTTCACAGACAGGCTGAGGAACAATCAGCAAATGCATGCCTGGTGTGCCTGTCGTACCTGTCTACTGCCTGTCATTCAGTTCGATACGGGGTAAATAGGTTGGATGTCAGCCGTACTTTGTTATTATGGGATGGGATGGCGGCGCGCAGGGGACCACGGGCGGCTGTCGAAGCAGCATTCGTCACCTCATCCGTCGTCCACGGCGTCTCCATGCGGCCCCTGTTCGGCCGGGGCCTCCCAACCACGACTTGGGCGAATCTAAGACGGGCCTTATCCCTGCGTGTCTCGAGACGTACGACTTGTCAAGGGCCGTCGATGTTTCATCCGTTGTCATGTCCAAGTCTACAGCCAATCAGAAATGGAGATATCCTCCACGCCACGCCGTTTCAAAGTTCCCGATTGGGTTGTCACTTTTTCTGCTCGACGACATCCTCGTCGATGGCTTCGCCCATGGCCCACGCTGCACGCACCACGCCCTCTCTGCCTTGGTGGGGGGAGTGGTTGAACCCCCTTTCAGCCGCGCAAAAAAAAAAATCAGCCCTTCGCCTCCTGCGTGGGCCTTGTCTATGTACAACACCCATGGACCATGGCATAATTATTGCTATCTATTAATCTATCTCAATCATGGTACCCTCACCGCTGGGAACCTCTCGGTCACTATCCTGTCTGCATCTTTGCTCGGTTCTGTCATCCATCGGCTCGGTTAAGACTCATTAGCAGGGACGTGCCAGTCATGCTCTAGGGCTGGCAATATGTGGAAGGTATCCAAGTATTCGTATAGTGAGGCCTGGGCATTGTGAGAATAACATTGAAGATCCAAGAGATTATCGCAATGGCATATTCGGGTCTGACAAGGCGATCAACCGATGCGATGCAAGTGAGGTGTGCACAAGTGGCTAGCTACTGACACAGCGGGGCCGAGCCTACCATTACTCACGCACATCGTCTTCGTCTTTAGGCCGACGTCGGTTAGTATTCCTCCCACATGGCGTGGCACCACCAAACATTCCACGGGATCCAAACGGACGGGAAACGAAGCTGAAGCGCGCCGTCGTCAGCTGTACGGTGAAAAGGAAGAAAGGATGTGTATAGAGAGCAAATTTCCAGGCTGCGGACTGCCCTCCCGCATCCCGACAAGGCCGTATCGCTGCATCTTCAGCAGTTAGAAACTAGGTGGACCGACCTGCCTTTCTCCTAAGAAGGGGCTGTTTTGAGTCTCTGACTGGTTTCCAATCGCACGCAGAAAAGGCTTGGCTGTTAGACAAACCATACAATGTACAACCACGGGCAGGTAACGCTGCAGCAGTACAGCCGTTATGTGCGACTACGAGGTACGCGGATACAACGTTGAGCAACTCAGCCTCGGCCTTGCATAATGCTCCTACGCATGCACAATTACGCAGGCTCATGTCCGCTAGCAAGCCACCGCTATTCGTGCAAACCTGGGACCCATGAGCCCCAAGAGCGCATGGGAGATCGCTCCATTCCGAGATGGGAGGCTCCCGAGATTGAACGAACGTGCGCGGCCTTTTTGGCTCCTCTCTCGTGCGACATAGCCTAAAAGATTGGCAACGATGTCGACGCACGCCAGATTATGAAAGACGTGCGGGAAATAATTAGAGGGTGTGGACGGTGCTTTGTCGAGCTAAACTCCAAGGGGAATATCTCTCGTCTGAGTCGTCTCTCAATGAGACTCAATCTGCTCATCCTCCCAAAGCGGGGACAACCGTTCGAACTTTGAACCACCAACAGGCACTGAAAGTCTGAGACAGGCCTCCCGAACGAACTATGAATGCCACGATGGGTGTCAGAGTTCATCGCAGCCGGGCCTCCAGATTAAGTGCTGGATACTCTATTGACCCGAGTTGGCAACGGCGGATAGAGTTGAAGCCGTCATGCGGATCGTGCGGTCAGCCCGCCGCTCTCACTTTCGCCTCATTTCGGGGCGGCGGGGGTGGTTTGACCTTAATCCGTCCAGCGAACGGCTCTGCCCCGGCCGACGATCTCCTTGCGGCTCGAAATGAAGTAGACGTCGGAAGTTTACGCACGGCAAAGTTAATTACACTCCAGAACTCCTACCGCGGTACCCGTACTGTGGACGGAGGACTTCGTAGAGGAATGCATCGAGTACTTCAGCCTCGGTGGTGGTCGTCCAGGGGTGGCTTTGCTGACTTGCCATTCGGTCTGGGCGCATTAACGTCGAAAATAGGGTAGAAGGCGGAGCAACCTTGCCGATCGGCTCTAAGCAAGGAACCTTGCAACATCTAGGAGCTGGATATTCTGCCAGCCGGCTTCCAATTGATGAATTGTCTCGAGACTGTAGTGCAAGACATTCAACATCAAAGTGTCGAACACGAATCGATGCCACGGCCCATGGAGATGTTGCGGGCAGAGCAGGAATATTGTGTCACTTGACATTACCACTTACAGATACCTGCAGTATTCGTACCGTCGACAACAACACCAGACTCCCTGCATGCAATCCTACGTAGCTAAGCCTTGTTGCTTGCTTGGCCCCTGGGGGAGTCTCGAAGGCGAGCGACGCTGCACGACGGGAGATGGCCTTGGCACGTTCCCTCTGAGCTTCTTTTTTGGGTTTCTGCGACGAGAGATCGTCAAGATTTCCCACCGAGTGATGCGCTGCACTGGGCTGGGGAAAAGAAGATGCCTGACAGATGGGGTGCAGTGGTGGCAGCAGCATCAGCAGGGGGGAGTAGATGTCTGAGGCCGAGGGGCAGATGTTGGTGTTTGCGACTCGGACGACGACGACGACGACGATGGCTGGCCTGGGCTTGCTCTTCTGGTCCGTTCTCCGCATTGCCCTTTTGATTCCCACGGCATGCCAAAACGATGCCACAGACGTCCGTCAATCTCCCGCGACAATCCCAAGTCTAACCCCAGGCTTGGGGAGAGGGAGGGGGGAGTAAGAAGGGGAGGAGGGCACGGTTTCAACGGTTTCGAGAGCTAGGGCGACAAGACCTCCTCGAGTGTCGCATTCGACCAAACGTCGCTGAAGAGACGGCGGCGTTGGAGTTGTTTACGTTTCTGCATGACGCCCAATCCTTTGACGCGGCATGTACTGATCTGGTCCAGCTTTGCTTCTTGGTGCATTGAGTGGTAATATCTACAAGTCCATTGTCGACGGTGGCTAAGCAAGGCCAAGATGCACATGTTGTGTTACATTGTCGTCGTCGATTAGCCAGTCGGCGTCTGTTGTTTTGTGGTAGGGGAGCCTGGAGGGAGAGAAAGCATCACGGCGCATGGCCTTTACAGTCACACCGTGCTGGCCGAGCCGCAAGTCACGAGTGGTGAGGGAGGTAACTTGTGTTATGCTCACGTCGAGATCGGGGCCTCCGTGCATCGCCCTGACGCCCCCCGTCCCGTGCCAAGGGAGGAGATGGACTTAAGGTAGGTTTGCTAATACTCAGTCGTACCGTTACCCGTGTACTTCGTACGGATGAGAGGGAAAGCAACAGAGCAAAAAAACACATGGGAGGTCAGGGATGCCAAGAAAGAGGGGACGGCAGACGGCAGTCAGTAGTGACAGCGGCGACATCGTCATGATGGTTAACGAGATTAAAAAAGCTTCAGCCCCCTGGGATGAGTGGATATATACTGTACCAATCGATGACGGGGGACCTCACGAATAAGAGACATGATGAAGCTCTGGGGGATGGGGAGAAGCGCAGGAGGAGAGGACTAGATGACGGGTCGAAAGGTGAAGGCTGCAGATGCAAAGCGTATCTATACATGATGGCTGCATCTCTGGGTTTACAAGCATGGCCCGGGGTTACAACTCGGGAGAGAACGACACTGAGGGTTGCACAAGTTTGGAGATTTGTATAGTAGAGACTCTGAAGTTTGTGCAGGAGGGGCTATGGACGACGCATGCCCAGAGGTATAGCGTAGAGTCAAAACATTTTGCTGACGACGAGAGTATCGACGAGACTCACGAGAGTGCTGACAGAGATAAGGCCAAGAGCCCAAGACTAGTCGATGAGGGCATCGACTCGACGAGTACTATGCAGAGGGGGATACGATTCACAAGAGGGAGGGTCAACATTGAGAATCTGACTGCTCAGT